TAGAGGCAAATAATTCTTTAGCTTTCTTAGATGTTTTAGTCATTCGAAATCCTAATAACACAATTGGTCACACTGTGTATAGAAAAAAGACCCATACCAACCGATATTTAAATGGTGAATCTCACCATCATCCTTCACAGTTAGCTACCGTGGGTAAATCTTTGTTTCAGAGAGCACGAGGGATCTGTGACAGAAAACATCTGGCCGCCGAACTTCAGCACGTCAAGCAAGTATTGCAAGACAACAAGCTTCGGGTTCCGCGCCTACGTCACAGTGACCGAGTGAAGCCGGCCACAGTCGAGCGTGTACCTGCTGTACTACCATATGTCAGAGGAGTCACAGACAAGGTTGGCTACATCTTGAAGCGAGCTTCTATTAAAACATACTACAAGCCGCCGAAGAAGATTAGTCAATTTTTACCATCCGTCAAGTGTAACATCCCTCTACAAGATGCAGGAGTGTACAAGTTAGATTGTGAATGTGGTCTCTCTTACATAGGTCAAACAAAAAGATCCATAAAAACCCGCGTGAAAGAACATATAGCTGACGTGAAGCACCGACGCTCCGGGAAGTCTGCAGTCTGCGATCATGTTCAAGATCGTCCCCACCATTACATTCGTTTTGATAAACCACAAATTCTCGCAAAAGAACACCGATTCCTACCAAGGATGATACGCGAGGCTATTGAAATTAAAAAACATCCAAATATCAATAGAGAAGATGGATGGGTGCTGCCACCTGCTTGGGATCCTACAATTAACAAAATTAAACCCAAACCTAAGCATACCACTGCAAGACTTCATGATACTATAAGCTCGTTTTGCGTAAATCGGACCAAAAATTAATATTCAAAAACTGAAGGTAGCCGGACTAACTATGACATTGGGACGTCAAACATCTCAGTCCCCCCCCGTGACCATGGTTGCTGTAAAGCACCCGAAAGAAACGTCGGGAATTAAAAATAAGTAAAAGTAGTGAAATAAACGCGATAAAATCCGTAAATTTAGTTTTATTCAATGTGTAGTGTTCGCCTAAATTTAAGAAATCATTATCATTATCCTCATCCAAATAATATCACAAATTATACAAATAAGTTTTACGTAATGATTTCTTATATACACATTGATTAAAACTACTTTTACGGACTTTATCGCGTTTAATTTTTATATCGATATTTAAACGTTAAATCTCACCACCATCCCTCACAGTTAGCTACCGTGGGCAAATCTTTGTTACAGAGAATATGTGGGATCTGTAACAGCAAACACCTGGTCGCCGAGTTTCAGCACGTCAAGCAGGTTCTGCACGACAACAAGCTTCGGGTCCCGCGCCTACGTCACAGTGACCGAGTGAAGCCGGCCACACTTGTGCCTGTGCCTGCTGTACTACCGTATGTCAGAGGTGTCACAGACAAGATTGGCTACATCTTGAAGCTAGTGTAACGCTTCCCCCTCTCTATATAAAAATTATATAAAATACTAAATGTATTATATTCCCCTTTATATTAAAATTATATATATGTGACTGTGATAAAAAAATATGTTTTGGTCTTTCTAAATGATCTTTCTAAAGGTTTAATAATAGGCCGTTTGTAATATTTTTGGCGTGATCGTCTTAGTTAGGACCCTTATTTACGTTGTGTTTGTTTAGTAACTTAGTTCTTTTAGGTGTCTTTTGGAAGAATGAATATTCACTAGAGCAATTGAAAGCTATTGATAGTGCCTTATAAGCTAAGTGAACCCCGTTCACGAAGACAGGGCTCGAGAAAGGTTAAGAACATAAAATGTCCTATTCCACTTTTATCAGATTTACATTATTAATTTATTATTAATCATCCCTTCCCGCTCGGAAATAGCTGGCGAACCAGTAAAAGAGGCTTGGCCCCTTGTTAGTGCGTAAGCACAAACATCTACCGAAGTCGCGCATGTCAATGCGTGTAAACGCCAAACAGAATACGAACGAATTTAGCCACAGTGAATGTACGTCACACGGTTTAGGCAAATAGGCACAATGACCATAAACCCTCCGTGAGCGCCACCACCTGCCAGACCGCCGCTCCTGCAGACGTGATGTAAGTGTATGGCATCACCACCAATTGCATGATCAGCACGGCTACTAGCCGCAGAGTGTGTCATGAGTCTACCGCTCACCTCAAGGGAATGGGGTCCCACGTTGTGCGGCTTTCGGCCGCAGCCTTGAGAGTCTCCTCAGATCCTCCTGCCAGCTACCACCCGCATGAGGTCGACACATATGCTCCACCAACCAATACAACGGCAGATATAGCCAAAAGGCAGTTATAAGATAAGAGTAATAATTCGCCATCAGAAAGGGTTTGTGTCACTGACGTTGAGTAAATGCATTTTCGATCATGTTTGTCTCACCCACCGACAAGTTGCCTTCCATCATTTCAAAGGTGGGAAAGTTACAGAGATATAATATTATGTTGTTATATAAAACATCGTGGAGGGCAGACAGTCTGCAGTGCCGTAATGAAGGGACCCGACTTGGGCAAAGCTACTCAGGCGTGAGTCAATCCAAGACGCAGAGAGCGCCATTGAGAATAGCGTCCCACCAAACAACCATCGCAGAGACGCAATGCTGCAGAACGCAACAAGCATCAATACGACTATCGTCGGGCTTACACCATTCCAAGGTCCCTCATACATCCCAGCAGACATCACCACCCGCATACCTCCATCGACCAGAACCACAAGAGAGCGTCGAATCAGGCGCAGCACACCCGCAGATCCATCACAAGACGCAATACCGCAAGTAGCAGTAAGCATCAATGCAACTATCATACGGGTGGCGCCCCCTCACAACACACCCACATGATCCCTATCGACTTTGGTAACAAAGTTTGTATTGTTGTTATATAAAAAATATCACCAACGTATCATAGTAGCACGCAACTAAGACGCCAATGAACAAAACTCCACGTATCATAGCGCTAATGCACTAAGACATGAAGTTGAGTATGCCTGTTACACTTAAAAGTGCTACCAAACACACTCATCATCCCAATCCGAAATATAGACGACGCATCGCTATGCGCTACGACGTCGCCCACAAACGGTATGGGTGTGCGATGTCCACGGGAAAGCCGTATTGCTACAACAAACCCGCTTACCACCAGCACTAAGATGATATGTCTAGGACACATCGGTTAGCGAGTCCAAGTTTACCTCGGACCAATTGCTCGTGAAGCAGCACACACGCCACCATAATATTCCTTTTCAAGTCCCTAATAAGGACTAGTCATTTTGCTACAGTACTAGGAGCAGTCGGTCACCCGACCACCCCATGCAATGCTTATGCATCAAGGAGACCTTCCATAATATTGCTTTTGTATCATAGACCTTACTTTCATAAGTCATTCATATATAGGGTTCGAACCCACAACCCTACTATTGTAATGCATATTCATCATAGAGACCTTCTATAGTATTGCTTTTGTATCATTGAGTTTATTATCATAAGTCCCTAATATAGGACTAGTCATTGTGCTACAGTACTTCAGGCAGTCGAGACGGGGCTCCCGACCACCCCATATATATGTACAACTGCAGGTATGTATCTCCGGCAGCTCCTCTATACAAGACATCTATACATGAACACCTTCCATAACTTAGGAAACTTTTCTTTTATACGTGAACTCCTTCCACAACTTAGGAAATTTCTTTTATACATGAACTCCTTCAACAACTTAGGAAAATTTTCTTTTATACATGAACTCCTTCCAAGACTTAGACAATTTTTAACAAATTTTCTAATTATCTTATAAATGTTATTTATCTTTATTTTTATAATATTTCCGACTTGTATTTCTATTAATTATCTTATTTTAAATATTTTTTCAAGTTTTTAATAAATTTATTTATTATGGAAGACAATATTTTGCCTTTAATCTACTATGTTATTGGTCTAATGTCTGAAATGTATTTATATTAACTTTATGGTAATTAATGTAATTTTATTGTTTAATATATATCTTTTAAGACTATTTTTAACGCCCCTTTATATTGAATTTAATTTTTAATAATAATATTGGGCCGTCACACTAGCTTCTATTAGAACATTCTACAAGCCGCCGAAGATTAGTCAGTTCTTACCAACCGTCAAGTGTCATATTCCTCTACAAGATGCAGGAATGAACAAGCTTGATTGTGAATGTGGTCTCTCTTTATAGGACAAACAAAAAGATCAATTAGAACTCACGTAAAACAACATATAGCTGATGTGAAGCATCAACATTCTGGGAAGTCTGCAGTAATCATATCCTAGACGGCCCCATCCATTACATCAGATTTGATAGATCACAAATCCACGCGAAAGAACACCGATTCCTACCAAGGATGATACGTGAGGCTATTGAAATTAAAAAACATCCTAATTTCAATAGAGAAGGAGGCTGGGTACTACCACCTGCTTGGGACCCTATAATCAATAAAACTAAAACTAAACCCAAGCATATCACTGCAAGACTTCAAGAGATAGTCAGTTTATTTTGCATAGATTGGACCATAAACAATAATTAAAAAAACTGAAGGTACTCCGGGTTTAACAATGACATCGGGACGTCAGTCATCTTAGTCCCCCGTGACCATAGGTACTGGAAAGCACCCGCAACGTCGGAAATTAAAAATTAAACGCGATAAAATCCGTAAAAGTAGTTTTAATTAAAAATTATTGGATTGGAAAATGATGAATGGTACTACGTTTGTATCTGCAATTCAACCTACGCCGCGCGCTTAGTCAATAACATTTTCTCAGTGAAGCGCGAGTTCCTGATTTCATTTGAAACTGACTATACAAGATTTTTTTTATCTTTTTAGTATTCCTTTATGTGTTAGCTCTCACTCTAAGGTGATTTTGGGACTTCAGATTCGTCTGGCAAACATGGACATAATAGTAGTCTTCTATAAGTATGCATCCATCAGTGAAGTGTCAATACATTGTTACGTAAACCTTAAAACATAAAAAAATGTTGCTAAACCCACCTGAGGACTGCGACTGGGCGTCGGTAATTGTGGACTAGTTCTCTGTGCTTGCAGTTGTTGAAGAAAGTGTTGAGGAGACATCGAAGTCTGCATCGGTGATTGCTGCGTGTGCATCGGTGACTGTTGAATATGCATCGGGCTTTGCTGCGAATGCATCGGGCTCTGCTGATGATGCATCGGACTCTGCTGCGGATGCATTGGGCTCTGTTGTGGATGCATCGGACTCTGTTGCGGATGCATCGGCGAATGCTGCGTCGACATTTGCTGTTGCGCATGAAGCGGCGACTGGTGTATCGGCGACTGCTGCGGCAAATTCTGCGCTTGTTGCGTGTGCATTGGAGACTGTTGCGAGTGCAGCGGCGACTGCTGCGTATGGAGCGGCGACTGTGTCGACGGATGTAGCGGGGACTGCGAGGTGTGGTGCAGGGGCGAGGGCTGCGAGTGCAGCGGCGACTGCATGGGCGAGGCGAGGGGATGCAGTGGCGAGTGCGGCGCCAGCGAGTGGTGCGGCGACTGCGCGTGCGGCGACTGCACGTGCAGCGGCGACATGGCGGCGCGCGCCGCCAGCTGCTGCTGCCCGAACTGCACCATGCCGCCCACGGACTGCGGCCGCTCCTGCACGCTGGACAGCTGCCTCACCAGCTGCTGCTGCGCTGATCCCGACTGCTCTATCACGAGGGTCCGCCCGCCCTGCAGAATTCTGCCCTGGGCGCTGAGCGGTGACGTGACCAGACCGATTCTCTGTTGCGACATTGGCTGCCCGTCGGAATTTAAAATAGTCTGCTGAGTACGAATGAGTGTCTGCTGTTGTTGGGTTGCTGTTCCTTGTAGACCTATTTGCATCGGCCTATTGATGGTCGACTGCTGTTGCATCTGTGACTGCCCAACATTTTGATTCTGAGTGAACACGCCCTGATTGGTCGTCATTTGCTGTTGATTTATGACAGTTTGTTGAGCTAATTGAGGATTTTGTTGACGTTGTTTTGTTTGGTACTCCTGCAAAAGGAACAAGACATTTAATATTTATTTCAGGTATTGTTTTTGAATTATTTAGTGTTAAGGTTGCCCTAGTCGATGGCACGAACTAAGTGGTAGGCGGGGCAAAAATGCATGCTATCTCAGCCGACATCTCGTGCGAAAGGGATAGACGCTGTGATGAGCAGTAAGAAGCTAGTGCGCACACACATACGCACTCGAGTGACGCAATGCGCGACGGCATCATCGCGTACCTAGGTACCTATGCGTTTCATTTTAGAATAATAACATAAACTCAAACGGCGTTTGTGAACTTCGTGCCGCAATAGCTTAGCAATGAGTAGCTGCGCTGAGTGCCGCGGGTTCGAATCCCCCACGGAACAAATATTTTGTATGGATTACAAATAGTTGTTCCGGGTCTGGATGTTTGTTCTTATGCAATTTATATTTGTAAACTGCCTCCACGATACTGGAGAAAATCGGGGATAACGTATTTTAAAAAGAGAAAGGAGAGAGAAAGCAAATTGGTGTTATTGTAACTTAGAATCTGCTGTGTGAAACGTAATTATTATGAACCCAATTTATGTGCTTAGTTGTTATGATGAAAGTTCTTATGTGAACTTAAGTAGATGTTGTTATTATATAATAATTCCATTGATTTGTTTTTACCTACTTTTTAACCGACTTCGAAAAAAGGAGGTGGTTCTCAATTCGTTGGTTTTTGTTTATGTATGTTCTGTCCCCCGATTTCTCGAATATGCCTGAACCGATTTGGATATATTTTCCAGATAATCCCACGGTAATCGACGATGATCAGATCAGGATCTGATGATGGGATCTTGGAGAAATCGGGGGGCACTTCAATAAATGACAGCAAATCAACCGCGATTGCTGCTATAGCCTATCTATGCATTCTTTACGCAATCACACAATATAATATCACGCCTGTACCCACTAAAGGGACATAACTCTAAACTAAAAACGGTAACATAAAAAACTTTTTTTGAAAAAAAATATAACAATTTCCAAAACAAACACAAAAAAGTGTAACATAATTATGTTTTCTGTATGTTTTTGTATTTTACTGTAGGTTATGCAAATATTACTGTAGGTACTATGTATTCTAAATAGGTATTTACTTTCCATAGCTAGTTAGCTATAATAGCCCGCAGGCAACTCCCCGACCCCGAAGTATATGTCAGCCAGTGTCAGGATAACTTCTTTTTCGACAGCGCGATTTTGATGTGAGTGTGGCTTTTATATAGGTAAATTAAATAAAAAAATGTTAGTTTGTAAATTGTTTATTGATTGTTTGTGTTCAATAGCGGTTTGAAATATTCTCTTAGTACTTAGAAAGTTATTAACAACAGGCATTGCGTCACTGCAGGGACAAGCACAAACGTCTATCAAAATAGTAACGTATATAAACGGAATACTAACAGCATAGACTTCCTTACAGAAGTCCAAAGAACACGTCTAGGCAAGGTAAGTAATTAGAAGAAAACTACAATTTAGAGATCGATTGTAAATCAAATTCACAGTACAGACACAATTAGCGAAATATGAATAAAATTTTTATTTATTTTATGATAGATAACGCTAGTTGAAAACTAAACACTGTATGGGAATGGCATCACTGAACGAGTCAGGTGATCAGTCCAAACAAATAAAAGGCGCGATTGTAGAAAGAAATTCGTTACTTGGTCGGGGCTTGACCTGTTTATGCTATTCATAACGAAGGCTATAAATATGTAGGTATAACTTAGAAACTAAATCCTATGTGTACTTATCTGTATTCATAACCCAATATCTAAGGTAGGTTATTCTGTAATAAAAGTAAAGTAAAGTAAAGTTACAGCCTATATACGTCCCACTGCTGGGCTCAGGCCTCCCCTCATTTCTGAGAAGGTTTAGGGCAAGGAAGTGTCCGCCGCGCTGCCCAAATGCGTGTTGACGAACTTCACATGTCTTCGAAATATTTTTTTCTTATTCCTCAGACATGCAGGTTTCCTCACGATGTTTTCCTTCACCGCCGAGCACGTGGTAAATCAGCACTTAAAATTGCAATTAACAATTTCATTGGTGCCGGCGGAGATCGAACCCGGGTTACTCGCGTTCTGTTATATTTACAGCGAGCGTTAACCACTGAGCTACCACGGCTCTGTAATAAATTAAATCTAATCCAAAATATAGGTACTATAATACCATAGCAAAGCTACTACTATTTTTTTAGTAGTAGCTTATATAGTAGTATAGTAAATTATATATAAAAAAATATGAGTATGTCTGAGGTAAGGTTAAATATAAACAAATATTTTGCCAAGTGCGAATCGGACTTCCGAGCTTCCGAGATTACAAGATTTAAATACCTATACATATTGCTATCGATCAAAAAAGCCAAAAATACACGTTTCTTTTTCTAGTAGAAAATCCTTTAATTTCAACAATAGGTATATTAGGATATGAGATTCCTATACGTAAGCACGGTTATCGAAAATCTAATAATTACCTATTCTAATTCAATTAATAGATAATTTTAAGATTTTCGATAATCGTGCTTATCTATGAGATGTTTTCGTTAGTTAGCAAATTAAAGTAAAGTACCTAATGTGCTATCTGTATCGAAAGTTCATTATTATGTACCAACTTGTTTTCAATTTTAACTAAATGTGCTTCAACAAACTTATGGGAACATTTTAGCAGCTATATTCATCCCGGCTTCAGCAATGGACACGAACAAAAGGAAGCAATTTTTCTAAATAAAGATGTAGATATGTAGGTATTACAACCATAAATAGATAGCAGCGGCTAACCTAGTGAGCATGTGTGAGTGCGCGCTGCGGCCCCCTCCGTCCGTCCCACTGATCGGGGGAAATAATTTGTAGCGAAAGGCAAGATGTTTTATAACAAAAACGGGCGCGCAAAATTTTATAAACAGACCTTTGGTAGTCTGGATGTCACGAAAAATCTATTGAATGTATCTGTTTAATATAAAATTATTTGCAGTTTTGAACAACTAATCTATCCCTGTATGGTAACTGTTTTGCAATTTTCGTTCTTCTTATGGTATTTATTTCCGCCCAAAGATGTGTTAAAAATAGTGTTGAAATTCGCAATTTTCGACGCTTATAACTTTTAAATATACTCTTTTTTTACTTTTTTGTTTCCATACAGGGCTAGATAATGATGAGACCAATTGAAATCATTTTTTATTTTGAACGTACACCATCAAACAGTGGAGTTATCGCCAGACTACGTTTGTATGGAAGAATAAGCGACTAGTGTACCCTTAAGGTTTTTGAATATATAATTCAAATTCAATTAAAAAAAAAAAAACTAGTAAATCAAACCTGAATTAGCATGCTGTGTTGTCTGGCCTGCTTTCTGGCGGCTTCGAGATGCTTTTGTAATGCCTGTTGCTGCGTCGATACTTGTTGAAGAGCCGCCGCGTCGTTTGGCATAAGCTCATTACCGGATTTGCGCAACTGACGCTGCTTGCTGTTCAGCGACTGCAATATCAAGACAATACATATAGGGAATGAATGTACACATTTCATATGAAAAATGCAAGGTGATGGTCGAGCCCCAGGTTAGTCACAGAGTGAAAAACATCGACAACCCGAATGAGATGCACCCCGCGAGGAAAATCAGGGAGATCTACAAAACACTACACAGGACGTAATACGTAACACGCTACTACTGTAAGCACACGAACACGGAAGCGGCTACGGGGCTCACCTTGCGGGTCTTGCGCAGCTTCTGGACTTCGGTCTCGTAGTAGCGCAACTGCTCGACAGCGAAGGTGTTGTACTGGTCGAGCCACTGTTCGTACAGCAGGCGCGCGTGCTGGTCGGCTTCGGTGAGCGCGCGCTCGGGCGGCGCGGGCGGCGCTGGCGGCGGCGCCGCGCTGAACAGCGCCACGCCGGGCGCCGCGCCCGCCGGCCCCGTGCCCGCCGGCCCCGCGCCGGCCGCGCCTCCCGCGCCCGCCCCCGCACCCACCGCGCTCGCTGCGCTGCCCGCTGCCCCGCCCGTCCACTCGCCGCCCTCCCGCTCCTGCTCCCGCTTTTCCTGCTCCAGTAGCTCCTCCAGAAGCAAAGGTTGCTCCTGGTTTACGTTCTGACGGTTAAATTTTGCTCTCGTGACGTCTTTCAAGTTACGTCACCCGCCACCGTTGGTGTTATAACCGGTTGCGTTCGTAACGAATCAGCAGACTGCTGACTTATAATACAAGTTTATTACAACAGTAAGGGGCTGATTTTTTTCATATTAAAATATTTTTATATCTCAAACAATTTACCCATCTCATCTTTAAGCGGTATATAAATAATAGTAATTCGGCAAAACAAAGACAATGATGATGCCGCCTTAGAATAATAATTCTCCTCCACATAAAAAGCATCTACTACAATTTATTAAATAAATTTATTATACGTTTTATTACTGTGTATAACTACTAACAAATTTGATCATTACTAGTGAATAAAATAAAAAAGTGCATAGAATAGAATAATAAAAAGACCTAAAATCTACTAGTAATGTATTACTAAACCTATGTAAATTGAATGTGTAACTTTTATATCAAAAAACACCATGTAATGTTGTGAATTTTATTAATCATTTTATTATATACATTAAAATTAAATACGTAAATATTTGTAATAATACGACACTATTTATTGAAAGGATGTTTAATAAATAACAACATTTATTTATTTCCCAATTACTCTCATTGTAATGGTAAAGTTTTTTTGTTTTAACTGGAGGATAATCACTATATCAAACTAATGGACGACCAATGGACGACAAACACAGTCAGTTCAACTGATCAGTTAAACTAGGTCTAAAACTAGGAATAAACCTTAAAACTGCGATATTTATTATTATCGATATATCGAAAATCCGATATTCAAAAAAATACCAACAGTCCTAGTTTGAACTGATCCGTTGAACCGACCGTGTGTAGTCCACAACATAAATATTTAATAATTACTAGTACCGAGATTTATTCATCAATATGAAATCTTGGCCAAGCTCTTATCACGTGATAAAAAAAGTGTAAGGTGTTTGAATGATTTTTGAAATGATTTTTTCTTATACAGGTACGTCAAACCTTCTGTTAAAGACAGTAATTTATAGTTACTTTTTGTTAAAGAGGGTAATTTATCAAGGTTAAGTTGTGCCCTGCGCAGCGTAAATTGAATTAGTGCTGAATGTACAACGTTTACCAATGCAATATGCCTTAAAACAATACCAGAAAATGGGTACCAACTGGTATCAGGTAGTATACATCAATTCAGGACGACTGGTTTATTATCCTACAAGTATAGCGATATAAAGCAGTTAAGCTTTACAGCTGCTGAGATACGACAACAACTTCTATTTGCACTGAACACAAATGTAAGCAAGCGTACAGTAAGAAGACAAATGAAGAAAATGGATTTGAAAGCACGTGGACCAACACGCGGCCCCGAGTTACTCAGACAACAATAATTAGCTTGTGCCATTGCCATTTGTACCCACAAACAATGGGCTAGGCTGCTCTATACAGATGAGTGCCGAATCGCTTTACGAACTCAAGACGGTCATGATAGAGTATGGGAATAAAATGGAGAACAGTTTCTACTTTCTACCCATTTTTTTCACAAAAATAGCGAGTCTCTACGGTTGCGCTAAAATGGTAAAATGAAAAAAGTGGCAAGTTTCCGTTCCGCTGAGTGTATGTATATACTCTCATTAGTTTTTATTTATATATTCATTTGTTTTCTGCGACATGTATGACTAAAAAATGTTGTTTAAGTTTCTTATTTATATTATAACGATAATTTACATATAAGGCACATAATATCTGTAATCATCGTGACTGACAGCTTGGCTACTTTTGGCGGCTTTTCAAGCATATTAAATGCGTATGTCAGTAAACTCTGTCCATTTGATTGTGTATAGAAAAATATAGCATGACCCCCAAAAACATTGCATAATCTTGATTTCCTATATTGACGCGTACACTACACATTGAACGAAACTAACTTTTACGGATTTTATCACGTTTACCTTAACTTTTAATTCCCGACGCTTCAGGTGCTTTACAGGACCCATGGTCGGGGGGGGGAGGGGGGCTGAGGTGTTTGACGTCCCGATTTCATAGTTAACCAGGCTACCTTCAGTTGTTGAATATTAAATTTTAGTCCGATCTATGAGCTTACATTCTGCGTACATTTAACATAAGCTTGTTTACTGCTATCTTAACTATTGCATACTTTTTTAAAGCCGCTGGTCCTGCGCGTGATCTCTCTCCGATCGTGTCGAATGCTTGCGCATAGACTCAGGCACTGATCCTGTTCTGCGCAAATGGCTAGTCTCCATTGAGACTGGTCGACGTGATCGAAATTCTGTATGGAGGTCATCATAATTACTATTTTGACGTGACAACGTCTAATAAATCGATGAACGCAGGCTGAACGCATGAAAAAGAATTACTCATTGTAACGTTACGCTCGTTGTAACGTTACGATCGGAGCGAAAGCGCTGCACTAGCGAGTGAAAGGTACGATCGGCTTGCGCCGCATCTATCTCTCTTCCACAAAGTATGCAATCAATTCATCAATGTTTCGTTATGACGTTGTCACGTTAAACTATCGTCCGTAAACCGACTTTACCTACAACCTATTTTTTTGCCTAGCAACTACGTTACATCTTTATTAGTTATTACTGCCTGCTTGGCATGCACATGTGTTCTGTAGATTTAATAACTAACTATAATATTCTCATCAACTTGTTTTTCACAGAAATATTTATAATAACAGACAGCTTTTCGACAAATTTATTTATATGATGACTGGAGATTAACTAAAGGTCATTTTCAAACCAGAGCGAAGATATATATATTTTTTTAAATTATCGTTAAAGAGTTATCGTTTATGAGTAAGTTAAAACGAGTGATTGCAGCTGATTGTTTGTAACATGATAAATGTTTGCTACTTTCCTGTAATATGCAGGATTAATCGCCGTAGTTGAAATTGGCCAATCGATAGTAGTATTACTTTCATATATTTTTTGTGTGAGTAGTGTTATTACCATCACCGCTTGATGACGATAGGCCAAAGATGAGACAGGCAATTGATATCTTATATTATATATTGTAAAGTTAAACAATGTATGTTAATAAAGGCATTATTTATTAATGTTAGTAAGTTACGTGTCGGTATTAAAAGTAAGTATGTTTTATTTAACTTGATTGTAGTGTGTTAGGAGAGATGCTGAAAGAGGTTAAAAGGGTTAGTCGTTACGCATGCGTGCGGCATACAAGCAAAGAAAAAGCACAAAAAGGTGATCAGCTGTGACAAGGCCACTAAAGTTGTCTGAGGGAGTTTGCCTAGCTTAAGTGCATAAAGGAGGTTTTTAGGTATGAAGGTATAGTTGGGAGGGATTGTGAAGGATTTTCACCACAGAACTATGTAATCTATAATGTGGGTTTTGTTCATATACAAATGCCTTGCAGTATGTTTCATATTAAAAGAAGTAATATAGGATGTGTTTTGGACAACATAAATGACGTAATTAAAAAGTTATAGGAAAGGAGTTTAAAAAAAGTAGTAAGAGGTAATATATAATTACAAAATGAGTAGAAGGGGGAAGATAAGAGAAAGTTTTTGGATGAGAGAAAATAATTAGGTATATAGATTTCTAGATTACTAGAACTGAAAGGTAAATAAGATAAATACGTGGAGAGTTTAGTAGGGGTTAGTACAGAGGGTGCGAGTTGCAGGGTGCGGGAGGGGCGGGCCTGACCTGCAGCAGCAGCGGGCGGCGGTGCAGCCAGTCGCCCCACGCCTCCGCCGCGTCAAAGGGCGCCTGCCCGCCAACAACCAATCACCGACATGCAAACAACACGCCTGTACTCGCCTACACACGCCTACACTCGCTCCGACACAAAACCTACGCCTGGCGTTCTTCGTATTTTACAAGAGTTTTTATCTGACACAATCCTAGTATAATATTTTGAAATACCAATAAGAAGTTCTTGTTGTTAAAGAAGTTTAGTTTAAAAAAATTTGATAACTTTTTAGCATCTTTGCAAACGAAGCTTAATCTAAATTTAAATAAACGACCGAATATAAAAATATAGCAAATGATAAAAACTCTTATAATTTTGACTAAATGTCTCCTAATACCCATGCAATATTAGTCCTTGAAATTTATCCCACATCAAACAAGCCAATTTTGTTTGTTTCAATAATTACATCAGAAATGCAGCCTCCACCAATGCCAATGTATGATCGAATTAATATTGCTGTGGATATTGTTACATTTAATAGAATACAATTTTTACTGCAATGCGGTCAAAACTAAGCAAATAAGAACATCTTCAAATGTGGTTCACATTTATTTTCTAATTTGATTTGAACTTATAATCATTATAACTTTATAAATTATATTTAATTTAAAGTTATTTCCTTTTGTGTCATTGTATCCTACCAATCGATTTGAAGTCAGCAATGTAATTTACTTCCTTAGTATATTATTTTGTAATAATATCATCATCATCATTTCAATATTATATCAGTGATAATATCTTAAGTGTTATAGAACGAAAAGTAATTAGATTTTAACTTTTTAAACAGTATTTATTTTACCAAATGGTGTTGTGGGAAAGACATCTCAGGTATTTAGAACCATGGATTATTAAAAAGATATTTTAATAGTGAACAAAATATTTTATTTAATACTATGTATGTTAAGATATAATACTTTACGACCGAAACTTCAATCATAAATGTGAACCTTAGCATCAACAACGTACACTTAAAGCGTATGAACCTGTAATGAAGTCAATATAAAAGGTAGGGACGTCAAAACAGATTCAGAATTACAATTATAATCAAATGATAAGATAATTACTACATGCACATATTTAAAAATCTTCCAAGATATTTGTAATGATTCAACTACAGTATGATGTAATCATCCAGTTAATATTTTAATATGAGATGCTTTAGTTGTTTTGTAAACAGGAGTATCTTCGATGAATTAATGGTTATGTTTCATTTTATTAAACTGTTGAAAGTTGTTTTGTTATATGCATATAGCTATGGAGAGTTTAGTGGAAATTATAACTTTAGTGGCCATAACTTTTGTTACAATTTAAAATGTTTATTATGTTTAAATTAAAAATTGAAATGTGTTTATTATGTAAGAACTTATATACTTATAACTTATATCTTATAGCTATTTTACATATGACTTTTTGCCACAATTCATTATTTAAAGAAAAATATAAGCAATGCTGATTTTTAAATGGTTTCAGGGGAGATCATTCTTTTATATACTCTATTTTGCTATTTAGATAACTTAAAATGGGACTTGGCATTTATTTTATCAAAAATACATCAAATGACGCCATAAAGTCTCTTAAATACTATGGAAGCGCAACTCTTAAATAAAATCCACGAAAAGTTGGACTCCAAATATACATTGACAATTTACCTTGAGTTAAAGAATAATACATAAAAACAGGCCAATTAGATGTGATTACGTAACTGTAAGTGGTACGCGCGCCTGCTGAAGTGTCAACTGTTTGTAAAATATGTGGACGATGTTATGCAATTAAGTGTGAGAGAAGAAGTCTTACTCAAAATACTATATATTGTATTTTTGAACTATCCCTAAAAGTTGAATTAGTGTTTGTAAAATACGTGGACGCATTAAGTGTGAGAGCTTAAGTCGTACTAAAAATATACGGTATTTTGGACTATCCCTAAAAGTTGAATTAGTTACTTCTAATTTATTTATAATTGATGTACAATCAAAATTTTATAACTCAAAATGCATTTAAGAGACGGGCCTAATATGACATAAGTCAATCAAAAATTCCGAAAATTAATCTACAACTCTTTTTAGATGTCGCCCTTGATGACTTATTGTATATCTCCATTAAATTCAACTGTTTACAATATTAAAAAAAGGAATATAAAACAATATTATAGTCATACATACTATGAATATAATATTGTTTTATATATATACATAAAATAAATAACAATATAAATTACATATGCAGTAAAAACTGGCTGACTACTAGTTGCATAATATTATTATTATTCAAATTGCTGTAAATGCAATTTTTTTTAAATATGATAAGTTATACCGGTTTTTTTAATAAGGTTCTTCAGTCTTCTACACTATCGGAATTGACCACACAGAAGGTCACTTTTGATAAATATTGAGTGTTTTTTTGTATGTTTATATATAGAAATCACAAGGCACAAACAACTCAAACCTGGCGAGAAAAATGTTTCAGATTTCAAAAGAACTAAAGGCTGCTTTAGTCCAGTTCAGATTAAAACTCATAACATACAGGACCATAAATTAGCTACGCTAGAGGATATGACCTGCTCAAGACAATACAACTCTGTACATTTATTTATTTATTCTTCATTGCAATCCCTATTACTAAAGAATACATAAAGCCGATATAAATGCCTTTAGGCATTATCTACACAGTACTAACAGAAAAATTGGTAAGACACAATGTCCTTTATTAATTATGTCGATATTTAGTAAGTATTTTATAGTAATATTTAAATGAACCCATCTATACATTATCCATTACAGCCTAAAAACGTAACTGAACATAGGCCTACTTTATAGATTGCTGCACGAGAGGATTTTGCTATAGTTGCCACATTTGCCAAGCGTTTTGGCAACCGCAGTTTAATATTATGAGTTGTTATCAGGATTTAAATGAACTAATTGAAACTTAACATTAAGGAAATTCTATATAAATAATAATTTAAATAGAATCGTTTTTAATTAATTGCTTAGACTTTTATACGTATGTACTATATAAAATCTTAAACTTATGTACAATATATTTTATTATGATTTTACTTCAATTTAGATGTACTACAAATGCATTTTAGTTAGTAACAGAACTTATGGCACAGTAGGTATTTTATCAGTTTCTATGTTGTAACTTATGGTATTCAAAAAGTATAGGTGTTTGTGATTTTTACTAAAATTAGCTAATTGAATGTCTTCTGACAGTTTTCTATGTAGATCCAATTACTATTTGATTTTAGTAATGTAAATTAAGTATAGAAACAGTGAGTGTTGGGTCCAATAGTTTAGAATTTTGACCGCTTCTTACTCTTGACTGATTTATAGCACAGGCAATTGTTATACACAAATTTATAATTAAAAGGGGAGGAGGAAAAAACAATAGTTGTGCACTGCGTTTGATAGATTGTATAGGTGTAGTCGGTGTGTGTGGGTTGTTCATCGAAGATACTCGTATGGTATAGCCGCAGGTGGGCGGTGCGGATGTGTACCTGCGGGTAGGGCGGCGGTGGCGGCTGCGGGTGCGGCGGCTGCGCGAGCGGCGCGTTCGGCGCGTGCGGCGTGGCGTGCTGCGGGCCATGCTGTGCGTGCTGCGCGTGCTGAGCGTGCTGCGCATGCGGCGGCTGCGCGCGCAGTGTGCCCGGGTACGGTGGCGGCGGCGGCGCGCGACCCACGCCCACACTTCCAGACGCTGCGTAACACATACGCGCTCATTAAGGTGATACTTCGAAAATTTCTTGTTATTTCTATTTCACATATTTTTTTAATTTTGTAGATTACATACCAAAATTTTGGTATATTATTTTGACTATATGACCTTGGATTGCATAAAAGGAAAACACGATATCGTGAAATTTTCTCGATAGAAAAAAACTGCAAAGTAAGCTCTAATTAACTACATTTTTCCATAACACCATAATATTTTTACGAATAAGTTCATGGAGTTATTTTAAAGGCATAGTAAATAATCATATCTAAGTTCTCATAAACCATTTTTTTAAATCCAGTAAGTAGTTTTGTTAAAATAAAAAAAAGTTTTTTGGCGCTTACTTAGTTTTTTTCTGAGCTTGTGTTCGGTATAGCTATTATGGTGTCCACTAATTTAAGTGTAGGGTTTTAGTAAAACAACTATCAGTAAGTAGGTACACAGCACAACGACAACGTCCACTCGCCACCGATGACAAATCGGCAATGCGAGTGAGGCACCACCGTTGGTCTGTGTACTATATTTAATTATACATATATCACAGCTATCTCATAATTTGCGTACTATGGAGTCATTGCATCACTTTCATTTTGACACTCCCTCAGTCATCTGTTAGCTTCACCGACAAAGGAATAAGCCACGCCCCCAAAACTACGATTCATTTTCAAGGTATCCTCTTAAACTACCCTTCGTTGTTCTAATATTTTGTTCGTTCATTATTACAAGCTATTGTAGCGTTCAATAAATAAAAAGAAGTAGTTAACAATTGAAGTTTATAGTTGTTATTATGTTATATACCGGAGTGCGGCAGCGCAGCGAGCGCGACGGTACGGTCGTGGCGCACGACGCCGACGGCGCCGTCCGCGCCCAGCAGCCGCGTGCCGGGCGCGATGGCACGGCCCGCCGCCAGCGCCGCCTGCACCTGCGCGCTCATTGCGCTCACGATGCTCTGCGTGTGCGCACTCGCCGCCGCACTCTGCACACAACACATTACACTACATTATTTATCTTAAGGGGAAATATAACCTCAAATGGCTTAGCAAGATCCTCCGTTATGCCGAAAATATTGCAGCATTAATTTTGAAATAAATATATGATAAAGTTGAGGATTAATGTTAAGGACTATGTTAAACGAAAACACGATTCCGTAAAATTTTCTCGATCGAAAAAAAAATCCAAAGTTACCTCCAAACTGAAAAATAAACAGCTGTTATTCATAAAATACTTTAAATAAGATCATGAAACTTTGCATACTAACTGAATTAACTATAAAGCAGTGCTTATGTTATTTACTTTTTTTTAAATACCATTATTTTCACTGTAAAAAGAAATTACCTAAACTATCGGCGTCTTGAAGCTTGATTCCTGCCGCCCGGTCAGTTTCGCTTCGGCCTTTGAAGGGGTAATTGTGTCGCTTACGATCATAATACACATTACGCAACAGGACGACGTAATAATAATAATAATGATTTATTTGCAAGAAATATGGTAGTTACAGGATTAGTAATTTGGTATGGTACAATCATATTTTGCCAGTGGCATGCAAATATATAATTTTATAATTGTCAGTCTAGTGCTATATAAATGTTTTATGGATATCTATGATTAATTACAATTTAGTGATAAACCTTAGAATAAAGTGTCACAAGATAAATAACACACATATACATAAACGTTAACAAGAAACGTAAAATTAAAATGGGAAATAACCGTAATAAAAATAAGAAGCGACTGGGTTGGCGTTAAGAAACAGGTATATATATGATAAACCTAATGAAATAAGTATCTGACGACCTTTCTACTTACAGTATTAGTGATTACAAACATGTCGGTACATAGCATACGACGCGCGGGGAAGTGGGGGCGAAATTAGAATTTGAGCTGACTTACTATATCCCCTTAATAACTATAATAATAAATCCAAAACCCATTCATACAACCTGTCCGATACGAGCCTGTGAAAGCATACCTTAATTGTTCATTATAAATCACAACAACCAACAATATTAATTTTAGAACCCATATCAATTAAGAATAGGGTATTTTACACCATGTAAAAAAATATATAGTTTATGATAGATTTTGTAAAAAGTGAACGAGGAAGTGATTTCTATTTATAAAATTGCATTATAAATTTTTATATTTCAATTTTAAGCACATTTTCTTTGTCTATACCTCAAATCTGCAAAATGATCCACCAATTTTTATTTGTTGACACATAAAAATTGATATCTGTGTAGTATGAAGAGTACATATTTATGAAATGATTTAGTAGTTTCTTAGCAAGCAGTTAATTTTTTTTAAATATTGTACAGGATGACAAACGCGCACACAGTGCACCTAATGGTAAGTGGATATTGTGACCCATAGACATCTACATTTATCTTATACTCACCATGCTGAAAACAGCAGCGTTGAGCTGCTATTTTACGCTGGTATTCCTTGAGAGCGTTGGCCTTACCTCGGTCGAGCCAACCTAGACGTGCTACAGTTAACTGCAGCGTGGCTCTAATGTTGGTCTTATGTTAGTTTAATGTTAGCCTCTGATGCCACACACCAGATGTACACAATCCGTCCAATACTCTCTTGCAGTATATGTTTATCATGCTCAATCCTATTTTAAGTGACATTGATAGCATAACTAATAGACAAACAAACTTTGTACTCAACAATCTTGTCCTATTTATTTTTATCTGTTTAAAATTTACATCAAGCTTCATCGCAGACGCAGTTGCAAAATAAAACTATGATTCATAGCATTACCATTTTACGACTTAATATCCCGTTGTACGAAATTGGGTATCCAATGAAACGTTGCATATTTTATGCCACAATAAACATTTATTCAGTTTTTTGATACACTTTAATCAGTTTCTTTGTAATTTTAAATAAAAAGTAAGAAGTATTGGCGCCCGCAACCGCAGCAAGGCTGTAATGGGTACTTGTCACCATGGAGCATTGAACCATTGAAAGGTTAAAATTGATTATAATTTTCTTTAAATAATTGCGAAATTTTATTTAAAGTACAATTCATAATACGCCAGGATGTTTAATTATATGGAAGTAAGATTTTCTTATAGTTAAAACCTATTTTAATATTATTTTTTTTAGTAATGGAATAAATCGATTTTTTATTTCCAAGTTATTATTGTTACGAGCTTGAGGTTCGTGACAATAAAAATTGCCGATAAAATTACCTAAATTAACACTTTAATTTACTTTACACAATTAAAGTTAAAACACTAATTCACTTAATTCCACTCCGAAGCTTCGCTTGTTTCGCCCAAATCAACACTGCCTCGATCGCATCTTGCAGCGCCTATATATTTGAATTAGCAAAGAAATATCCAGAATGTTCAAGTAAACACGCGGAAGGTATCGAGCGTTCGAGTTTCGACTAGGCGCTGTCAGTTGAGCGATTTGTGATGTCATTTTCTCAATGCTCCCCTCGCTCTCGTTCCTGACACTAGATGGCGCTAGTTGACTTATTCATGCAACACTGCCCCCTCCTAAGACATGCTCGTCCCGAGCATTATCGGTCCCATAATAACGCGCCAAGCGATCCACATGGACGATCTTAGGAGTCCCTCTTGCGCCTTTCTGTATCCGGTAGGTCACATCGTTGATCCTGGTTACAATCCGGTACGGGCCGTCCCATTTAGCTTGAAGCTTAGGAGATTTCCCTTTGCTGCGGACTGGATTGTGCAACCACACAAGTGAACCTTCGTCGAACCCTTTGTTGTTCATTTTGCGGTCATACCGGGTTTTCATCTTTTCAGACATTTGCTGGCCCGATTGTCTGACGTGCTCATAAACGTCATTCATTTTTTTCCGCAAGTCATTTGCATAATCTGTTATACTGCGTGGAGCATCGGGTGGTATCCCGGTGATCAGGTCTGCAGGCAGCCGTAATTCTCTTCCAAAGTTTGCGAAAGCTGGTGTCACTGCTGTACTTTCGTGAACAGAACTTCGATATGACAACAAAAACGGTTGTATGTGCTTGTCCCAATCTCGTTGCCGATTGTCTACAACTTTTGCTAGGTACCTCTCCAATGTCTGATTAAATCGTTCCACCATTCCATCAGATTGCGGGTGATAAGAAGTCGTTCTTGTTTTATGAGTACCCATAACTCGGCAAGTTTCCTGGAATATTTGAGACTCAAAATTCCTTCCTTGATCGCTGTGAATCTCTAAAGGTACTCCAAAACGACAGAAGACTTCATGAACTAGTTTATCTGCAACTGTTGAAGCTTCTTGATTTGGAATGGCGAAGACTTCTGGCCACTTAGTGAAGTAATCCATCACAACCATGAAATACTTGTTACCGCTTTCACTCTCCGGAAACGGCCCCGCCACGTCAATGGCTATTCTCTCCCATGGTGCACCAACATTGTACAACTTCAATGCACCTCTACTACGAGTCTGAGGTCCCTTTACAGCCGCACAACTTGTACATTTGCGACACCAGTCCTCGACATCGTTTCGACAGTGGACCCAGTAAAACCGTTCTCGGATCTTCAGTAGAGTTCGTTTAACTCCCAGATGGCCTCCTGAACAATCATTATGGTACAGCTGTAGAACATCCGGTACTTTAACTTTAGGGACAACCATTTGCAAATGACAGCTGTCTCCCCGAACGTTTTCCCATTTACGACACAGAACTCCATCCTGAAGCAGCAAGCTGTCCCACTGGGCCCAATAGCTTTTAGTGGTCGAACTCATCGCTGAGACGTCACTCCACTTGGGCTTGGGAGCACTGGCCTTTATCCATTCCAGAATCGGCTTGATGTCCGGATCTTCCTGCTGTGCATGTAGTAAGCTGTCCTTCCACTCGTTGCTGAGGTGGTCTGCCCTGAGCATCCTCACGGATACCACTTCCTTACTCTCTTGCCTAGTACAATGTTTGCAATCTTCAGGACAAGGTCTTCTTGACAATGCATCTGCGTTGCCATGAGATTTCCCGCTGCGATGTTCGATCTCAAAGTCGTATTCCTGCAGTAGTTCAATCCACCTCGCAACTTGTCCTTCTGGGTTTTTAAACTGCAATAGCCATTTTAGTGCAGCATGGTCAGTTCGTAAGTGAAATTTTCGTCCCAGAAGATATTTGCTAAAATGTTGCAACGACTTTACCACAGCTAGCAATTCGCGTCTTGTGACACAGTAGTTCCTTTCCGGTTTGACAACGACTTGCTGAAGTACGCTATCACGACCTCTTGGTCACCATTCCGTTGAGACAACACACCGCCGAGTCCTATATCACTTGCGTCTGTGTCAACTATAAATTCTTTGCTTGCATCAGGGTATCCCAAAATAGGTGTTTTGCACAGACGGTCCTTGAGCTCCTGGAATGCGATATTGCAACTTTCATCCCAGCAGAAATGTCGCTTCTCCTCGGTTAGCTTGTGCAGAGGTTTGGCTATATCTGCAAAGTTCTTCACGAATCGCCGGTAATAGGAGCACAAACCCAAAAATGCTCTAACCTGCGTCTTGTCTTTTGGAACCGGCCAATCCTTTACAGCTGCGATTTTCTCTGGATCCGTGCGGATACCTTCTTCCGACACTACATACCCCAAAAAGTTGACTTGCCGTTTGAATAGTGAACATTTCTTCGGACTCAACTTGAGGTTGGCACTCTTAATCTTCATGAGCACGCGTTCCAGGTTTTGAAGGTGTTCCTCAAACGTACGGCCCACGATGATGATGTCATCCAAGTAGACCAGACAGGCATCGCCAATTAGCCCGGTAAGTACAAGTTCCATCAGCCTTTCAAACGTTGCTGGGGCATTGCACAACCCAAACGGCATTACTTTGAATTGCCACAGACCCTTTCCCGTCGAGAACGCAGTTTTCTCCTTGTCCTTAGGGTCAATTTCAACTTGCCAGTAGCCACTTTTTAGATCCAGCGTGCTAAACCATTTTACTCCTGTAAGCATGTCCAGCGTGTCATCAATTCTTGGCAAGGGATAGCTGTCCTTCTTTGTAACGTCGTTCAGACGGCGGTAATCAACACAGAACCGCATGCTGCCATCCTTCTTTTTCACCAGCACCACTGGTGAACACCATGGACTAGAGGAAGGTTCAATAACACCATCCTTCACCATTCCTTCAATCATGGTTTTCACTTCCTTTTCACGTGCTACCGGCAATCTTCTTGGCCGCTGACGGATAGGCAATTCCTCTCCTGTGTTTATTTTGTGTTGAACTAGGCCAGTCTTTCCTATGTCAGCATCATTTGATGAGAATACATCGGCGTACTTGAGTAACAACTTCTTCGCCTTGACCAATTCGTTCGGGGACAGAACACTGCGACAGTCTTCCAAAAGTGTGGTCACTCTCGTTTCTGAATCCTTGCTGGGGGTCCCACTCGATATATATTGGCACTGACGTAACCAATCCACTTCCTCACAAGTACCAACCAGTGTGCCTTTTTCTATAATCTGTTCCCGGTCGCAAAGGTTCAGCACACGTACTCCTGAGATGTTAGTGGTCCTGACCAAGGTTCGAGCTACTTTCCATGGAAGGTCATCGTTTACCCTTTCCACAAGTACACAACGGTGAGCTTGCCCAGCGTTTCGAGGAAGACTAACCGGAACAATCGTTTCCGATCTCGGCGGAAGAACAATCTTCTTGATGCTGTACACGTTCCCTGGTAACGCACCTTCCATAAAAAAGTTCCTCCTGTCCACATTTCAAAACACCTTGCTTAACGTCGATCTCGCAACAATTATTCCTCATAAAGTCTAAGCCTAGGATGCAGTCGTCCATTATATCAGCCACGATGACATTATGCAGGTAGATCACGTTGCCTAGCTTCAACTCCATCTCCTTCTCTCCACGGACGGGTATACGCTGACCGGTGGCTGTTACCAAATTAAGGCGTTCTCGGTTGTACGCGGAGTCCCCAAGGAACTGACTTATAAGTTGGGAACTAACAACCGTACGAGAGGCTCTAGTGTCTATGGTCAGCTTACACGGCATTCCGTTGATCTCGCCCTTTATGATTAGGCTGTTCCCATCATGGGTTTGTGAGATCGAGATCCTTGGGGCTCTTTTAACATCAGCCAGCACCCGCCCCGCAGTTCTGGCTTTTACTCGTTTCCCTGCCGCTGCTGGGCGGTGCTGTTGGCCGCACTACCCTCCTTAGATCGTTCAATTTCCCTTTCTAGGGTTCGCTTAGGGCAGCTGGATCGAAGATGGCCCTTTTCCCCACAGCCATAGCACCTTGGGCTGTATCCTTTGTTGCGGTCGCGAACTGTAGCTGCTGCAACCTCCCTGACGCGATGGGAACGATGATCCTGCCGCACGGCTTCCACTTCCAGTGCATGGGCCAAGGCGTCCTTAAGCGTCTCGTGGTGCCCGAGCCTCACAGCAGCTCTGACTTCCAGGTCGCGGATGCCGTCGATGAATGTCTGCACCAGGTTCCCTTCAATGAGCGCAGGTACAGACCGGTATGCTTTTCGAACCATCTTCTCCACCTCAAGGGCCCACTGCTGCAGGTTCTCGTTGCTGCGCTGCACGCGATCTTTAAGCTGCGCGCGAAAGACGTGTTCCAGATGAGCGTCGCCATATCTCGCTTCCAAGACCTCAAGAAGCTGCTCATAGGTCACTTTCTTACCGAGAGCTTCCAACACAGTTAAGGCTTGGTCACGCAGGCCTAGGGTGAGTGCAGTCATGGCTTGGCTTTTATTCCAGCCGTTCGCCTCCATGACGGCCTCGAACTGGATTTTGTAGGCCGACCAGGAAGAGGTCCCGTCGAACGGCGGCACTTTGAATCCACGTAGCGAAGGTGCTGCAGCTACTACGGGAGCTGTAGTTCCATCCCCAAGTTTGAGGTCGTTTAGTGATTTCTTCATGTCAGCCACTACGTTGTCAACCCGATTGTTTACTTGGTCGATTCGGGTTTCAGCTTTCTCGATTCGGTTTTCAGCTTTCACGATTTGGGTTTCGGCTTCCGACAGGCGGTTGTCATGCTGAGCAACCCTATCCTTCACCTCCTTTATCTCCTTCCCGAAGGTAGCGTGAAGGTCCTTCATGAGGAGCATCTGCTCTTCCAACCGACGGGCCTGTTCCTCCTGTCCGTCCCGCAGCTGCTCTTCCAATCGGCGTGCCTGTTCCGCCTGCTGGCGAGCCTGTTCCTCCTGCTGCTCTTTCAACAGGCGAGCCTGTTCCTCCTGCTGCTCTTTCAACAGACGGGCCTGTTCCTCTCGTCCGCGCTGCAGCTGCTCCTGTAGCATGGCCATCAGAGCACCTAAGTCAGGTGCTGCAGATGTAGGAGCTACTGACGGGCCCGCAGTCTCCGTGGCTAGCTGTTGGCCCTCCGACGTCTGCGGCGTTGCACCAACAAACCTCCTCTGGTCCGTCTCCTGCTGGCGTTGACTTCGGGTACGGACACCCTCCGTTTCCTCCTTAGGTAAAATCGGCATGATTTAATCCCACTTCTGACACCAATTGTTACGAGCTTGAGGTTCGTGACAATAAAAATTGCCGATAAAATTACCTAAATTAACACTTTAATTTACTTTACACAATTAAAGTTAAAACACTAATTCACTTAATTCCACTCCGAAGCTTCGCTTGTTTCGCCCAAATCAACACTGCCTCGATCGCATCTTGCAGCGCCTATATATTTGAATTAGCAAAGAAATATCCAGAATGTTCAAGTAAACACGCGGAAGGTATCGAGCGTTCGAGTTTCGACTAGGCGCTGTCAGTTGAGCGATTTGTGATGTCATTTTCTCAATGCTCCCCTCGCTCTCGTTCCTGACACTAGATGGCGCTAGTTGACTTATTCATGCAACATTATTATATTATTGTTTATTAGGAATTAACTTACTTGTGCAAAATGCATGTTATGTTGTCCAGTAAGCTGCAGTTGCGCTCGCTGTACAAGTTGTTGGCTTATCACTTGCTGCGTGGGTTGACCGAACTGTGACGGCCGCTGACCCATGCTTTGTTGCTAAAACACACCGAATGAAATTCAGCACATTGTAGTTTTCATGTTATCTTATAGTCAACCAAATCTAAGAAATACCTTTTGACGTTCCACATTAATCATTCCGCAATAACTTTGCACAAGCGTACTCACACAATTTAAAATAACCTTTTACGTAAATCTGAAGAATTATAAAGTTATATATATTTCATTACAACGAGTGTAGTTTTTTATCACTAATTTAAATTTGAATCTTTCAAACAAAGCAAAATATTAAAAAATAACCACTATCAACTTTTTGTACTTGACGTCGTTTCAATGATATGTCGCTATGTACATTACCGTAGTGTTTGAATGATTAAAATTAATTGTTATGCGAATAATCGGCAAAAATATTCCAATAATCGGTAACAATATTCAAATAATTGAATCATAAATTTTTTATGTATTATTTGTTTAATTTAATTTTTATTTTTAAAATTCCTTAAATTACATAAATCATGAATAAAGAAGTTTATTTTTTTTAATTTGTCAACGTCAATTGGTGTAGGCAAAAAAACTCATATACAAATTCGCGACATAAAAACCACTACGTAATTTCAATATCCCGCAATTTCGGGAGCTTTGTGTTTTTCTTCTTATTTTGTGACTCAGCTTTAACTTTTTGCACTGTTTCTTCAATATTCGTTGAAGCATGTGCCCGTTTCAGAAAGGATAATTGGGCAAAAGTGATAGAAAAAACAAATAAAATTATTATGGAAGACTTTGAAAGAGACATTAATTTTGACTGAATTATTGAAAATCAAACAATGACAACTCAACTAATTGTACTGATAGTGATTGAATAAATTAATTTTTAATTTAGGTATAACCTTAATTTTTTATAACTGTGCCTCGAGAAATAAGCAGTACCCAACATAATAAAAAAGCAAAGTTACAGCCTATATACGTCCCACTGCTGGGCACAGGCCCCCACTCATTTCTGAGAGGGTTTTAGGGCAAGGAATTGTCCGCCGCGCTGCTCCAATGCGCGTTGGCGAACTTCACATGTCTTCGAAATATAATTTTTTTTCTTATTTCTCTGACATGTAGGTTTCCTCACAATGTTTTCCTTCACCGCCGAGCACGTGGTAAATAAGCACTTTAAATTGCAATTAACAATTTCATTGGTGCCGGCGGGGATCGAATCCGGTTTGCTCGCGTACTGTGAAATTTACAGCGAGCGCTAACCATCTGAGCTACCACGGCTCTACAACAACCTAATAGAAACTGATAAATCTTGTGTTTTAAATTATCCCTATTTAATTTATTCTGGTGTTATTAAAACCAAACAGTAAATGCTTTAATTCTGGTATTAATAAAAACAAACTCTAAATAATCGATATCGATTTTTTTAAGAATCGAATATTGTACGTTCCCATTTTTTGGTTGGCATGCTTGGTGCAATAAGTCTGACAGCTGTCAAAATGTATTTCTTAGATTTGGTTGACTATAATTTACTAAATAAATGTATGACGCACGAAACATTTGCATTTTGATGAATTTTATTTTTATTAACTACCATTTACGGGGAACAAAAAAGAATAGAAATTACTTGTATAGGTACTTGAAGCCTCTGCACGCCGCCGGTAAACATTTGCGAAAAGACTGGCCTTTGTGGGGACTGGACTGGGCGCCATTCGCCTTCTGATTTCACTTCGTCTCCTTCCAGCTTTATCTCCGATTTTATTTCATGCATTGCAGTCTATAAATAATGCTTAGTTACGTCAATAATTAAGAATATATATATATATATATATATACGAGGGTGGATTGAAAAGTACTCGGCCTAACCAAGAAAATAAACACATACTAAATCAGTTATATTTTTATTTTTCTACATAATCACCATCAAGTTCAATACACTTTTGCCACCTCCCCTTCCAAGCATTTAGACCGTTGAAAAAAAATGATTCTTCCTTAGAGTCAAAATATGCGTCTACAGCTGCTTTGACCTCGTCGTTTGTCGAAAATCTTTGACCTCCCAAGTGCTTTTTTAGGTTAGGGAACAGAAAGAAGTCTGATGGTGCCAGATCAGGTGAATACGGCGGATGCGGTAACAGTTCAAAGCCACAGTTGTGAATTTCAGCCATTGACTGTACTGACGTGTGAACACGGGCGTTATCTTGATGAAACAGGACTTTTCTTCTGAGCGTTCCTCGACGTTTTTCTTTTATTTCCTCTCGTAAACGATGTAAAGTGCAGTAGTAATCAGAGTTTATAGTCTGACCCCTTTCAAGATAATCAATCATAATCACACCTTTCGAGTCCCAGAATACTGAAGCCATCACCTTATTTGCCGACAAAATCGACTTAGCCTTTTTAGGGGGTGGTGAACCAGGTCTTCTCCACTGTTTTGATTGTTGTTTTGTTTCCGGTGTACAGTAATGAACCCATGTTTCGTCCATAGTAACAAAACGATTCAAAAAGTCATCTGCATCGGCTTCAAATAACTCCAAACAGTCGCGTGAAATAGTCAATCGCGTCCTTTTTTTTCAACTGAAAGCAGTCGCGGAACCCACCTCGCAGACACCTTGTGGAACCCCAACTCGTTGACAATGATGTTTTGAGTTCGTTCATAAGAGATGCCTATAATCTGCTATCTCTCTAATTTTTAATCTGCGGTCTCCCATTATTAAATCAAGTACTTTTTAATATTTTCGTCAGTAGTTGACGTCGAAGGCCTTCCAGAGCGGGGTTCATCTTTCACACTCTCTCTACCACGCTTAAATTCTGCTATCCATTTTTTGACGGATGAATATGACAGAGCACAATCGCCTAATGTACTGACCATGTCATCATGGATGGCTTTTGATGATAGCCCCTTCTTATGGAGGTACTTAATGACGGCACGCTGCTCGATTTGCTCCATTCGCGGAAATTATGTCTGATTACTTTGTTAATAAATTTATAAAATCACAACTAATTATCGCACACGTTTCGAACTTCACACAATGAATTAGTCTGAACTGAACTAAATAATGTGGGTAGATTTGATTTTTAGAATTGAATGGATCTGTGTTAGGCCGAGTACTTTTCAATCCACCCTCGTATATATATATATATATATATATATATATATATATATATATATATATATATATATATATATATATATATATATATATATATAAATATAACTGGGAAGAACAAGATAATATTTCAGACGTCATTCATCCACTCTCAAGTCAAGCATGCTATCAAAATATATATCAAAGAGAAATTAATAAATAAAATACAACATGTACCTGAATAGACATCTGTTGATTCTGTGTAATAACCCTGTGAACTCCTTCTGAGAACATTTGTCCGACATTAGAAGTTGAAGAAGTTACTTCTGGTTTTACTTCTTGGTTTTCGGACTTGATTATGTCCATTTCAGATTTAACTTGGACCTTGTCTGTTTCTATATTATGTACAGCTTTTTGAAGCTCACTATTAACTTTGCTCTCTGTTTTATTTTCATTTTCGTCACTGAAACAAAAAACAAAACATTAGAAGCGACGAAAAACTATAATACAAAAGTTGTTATTACTTATATTTGCTATTTGCTGTGTTAATGCGTGTGTTCGTCGCGGTGGAAGTGAAAACATTAGCAATATTACAATATTTTTATAATTGTCGAACTATAGAAATTGTGTGTAATAATGCTTACAATAATGTATGGTTGCATCGTACACTTCAATTATAAGGAACTTCACATACAGACCCTTTGAGGTTGGGAAGCAACAATTAACTATTAGTCTTTCATTTTCACTTTCATATTTAGAAATTGTATGGCATATAAGGGCATAGCCGGCTGATGTACTACTACATGGACGGCGAGCACGAGCCCGTCCAGCAGGTGCGCGTCGTTGAGAGAGTTGTTGAGTTAAGTTAAGGCGAGGCACTCACTTGGGCATGCGCTTTGCATGCGGGTGCGAGTGCGACTGTGACACGTCGTTTGTGAGCTCGAGCCCGTCCAGCAGGTGCGCGTCGTTGAGAGAGTTGTTGAGTCAAGTTAAGGCGAGGCACTCACTTGGGCATGCGCTTTGCATACGGGTGCGAGTGCGACTGTGACACTTCGTCTGCGAGCTCGAGCCCGTCCAGCAGGTGCGCGTCGTTGAGAGTTGTTGAGTAAAGTTAAGGCGAGGCACTCACTTGGGCATGCGCTTTGCATGCGGGTGCGAGTGCGACTGTGACACTTCGTTTGCGAGCTCGAGCCCGTTCAGCAGGTGCGCGTCGTTGAGAGAGTTGTTGAGTAAAGTTAAGGCGAGGCACTCACTTGGGCATGCGCTTTGCATACGGGTGCGAGTGCGACTGTGACACTTCGTCTGCGAGCTCGAGCCCGTCCAGCAGGTGCGCGTCGTTGAGAGAGTTGTTGAGTAAAGTTAAGGCGAGGCACTCACTTGGGCATGCGCTTTGCATGCGGGTGCGAGTGCGACTGTGACACTTCGTCTGCGAGCTCGAGCCCGTCCAGCAGATGCGCGTCGTTGAGAGAGTTGTTGAGTAAAGTTAAGGCGAGGCACTCACTTGGGCATGCGCTTTGCATGCGGGTGCGAGTGCGACTGTGACACTTCGTCTGCGAGCTCGAGCCCGTCCAGCAGGTGCGCGTCGTTGAGAGAGTTGTTGAGTAAAGTTAAGGCGAGGCACTCACTTGGGCATGCGCTTTGCATGCGGGTGCGAGTGCGACTGTGACACGTCGTTTGCGAGCTCGAGCCCGTCCAGCAGGTGTGCGTCGTTGAGAGAGTTGTTAAGTAAAGTTAAGGCGAGGCACTCACTTGGGCATGCGCTTTGCATGCGGGTGCGAGTGCGACTGTGACACGTCGTCTGAGAGCTCGAGCCCGTCCAGCAGGTGGGCGTCGTTGAGAGAGTTGTTGAGTTAAGTTAAGGCGAGACACTCACTTGGGCATGCGCTTTGCATGCGGGTGCGATTGCGATTGTGACACGTCGTCTGCGAGCTCGAGCCCGTCCAGCAGGTGTGCGTCGTTAAGCGCCGCCAGCTCGGGGTCGGCATACTCCAGGATGTTAAATTGTTCGCCCATTTCTGCCGTCAGTGACTCAAGTAGCGCTTCGTCGTCTTCGCCCCCTAGACCGGTCAGGATATCAACCTGCGCGCACATAACATGCCTTATTTAATTCTACGTTTTACTAACCGATATCACCATTGTCAGTGTACCTTAAACAGTTACGAAATAAATGGATATTTTAAAAATTATAAGTAGCCAAAAATTAAATAATTATTTTTTGCACATCATGGAGATGTTACTAGTGTGGCGAGACTTCTAGTACTATGAACGTCAATCCCTTTGACGAACGTGACCATTGAGGCAGGCATTCCTACAATGGATGAGGCAGCGTACTTGTAATACTATATTTCTCCCAACAATAGTTTGTAAGATGTGTGCGAAAGCATTCGCTAGGCTGGTCCATCTGGAATGCAGTTGGGGTTTAATTCAGTACTAATACGATATAAGTCCGACATTCGTATGTATTTCTCCATGAAATAAAGGGACTTTTAGTCATCATCTAATTAATCTTTCAAATGACCATCTCAGTTCAATGAACCTCCATCGTGAATACTCATAACTATATGCCTGAGCTAATGGACTACTATATCATTGCCGATTTTCCAAGCTAAGGAGTTAGCAGTGGCTTTTTGCATGTTTGGCAAGGGGATAAACGTTCGCAGTAACATTGCAATATTTTATGTTTTGTGTATTTTTAAAATGGTTTTTTCACAATCTGATATCAAAACTTTTATTCAGTATATACTTGTAAAAAGCTTCTATGAACCTCAGAATATACAAAGGTTCGCATAAATACCTTCTTGGTGCAGAACCGGCGAGAAACTCTGGGTTCTTAATTTTTTTAAATGCCTTGCTACAATTTCATTTATTACATCTTACAATAAAATCAATACATTGTCAAATTTCTATATTTTTTTAAATGTCAGTTTCATCAATATATCACAGTAGCCAGGGGACTTGCACATGCAGAGTAAGAGTAATTTTCACACATATTTGTTCTTAATATACCGAAATAATAAGATATAGAATCTATTTTGTAGTACTACTACCGTATTAATATAGAAAGGTACCTCGCCAATATTTCCAGCATCTTGTTCTAGTTTATCCATATCTCCCATATCCATTTCATCAGTCCCATGTTCGGGTGCGGAGTCCTGCTTATTGTCTCCGCTCTGGTTTGCTACTAAAAAAATGACAAGAATAGAAAAGTAATATTAGTAAATTCTCAAGCAACTAATTATTATGTGGTGTGTATAAGATTTCAAGTATTACAAATGTCGGTTATTTGGCTTTACAAATCTGACAGAGAATGAGATAACCCATTAATCAAACTTGCGCTATGTGTACCAAATAGCCATTTTTTTCTTCTCCACACTAAAAACAAGGCGATAATTTCTTCAATCGACTCGTAGAACGATTGTGGAGGTAAATATTTAATAGTATATTACGTTACTAGGGAGGAAAATATGACATTACAACTATTGTGGTATTATCACCAGAGCCGAAGGCCAGGCTTGATATAACAACGCGGGTTGCGATATCATACTTTTCTCCCGTAGTGCGTATACTATTTTTTATCAGACTAGGATCGAAAGTTCGATTTAAATTCAAGTAATATAATTTATTCTCAAAGTATCATGCTTAGAGTAATTACATAATATATAAATACGTATGCACGGAGAGAACCTACAATTCAACATAAACTGAATCAATATACTTGTCTCGCTTTTTCTAATTTAATTTTCGAATAAGGCAAAAAGAGCTAAATCTGTAGAAAGATGTTGCGTGTAATTTATGCGTGAAAATAAAAATGTCAAGCGGTCATCTTTGGTCTCTTTATACTATGTCAAATATGATAGTAAGTACACTCGTATCTTCTGATTTGCTAGAAAATGACATCCTCATTGAAGTAGTATTATATTCAACACATGACATCCTTAACCTATGGTGTTTTCGTTCATAATATTAGCAACAATCGACATCGATATACTCCTTTTTGTTAATAATTTATTTTTATTGCTTTATTATTTATAAAAAAAAATAAAGAAAATGGACTAGACTTATTATTATTCAATCAATCAAGTAAATTGTTTTCTAAATCAAGTGATGATGATTATTATTTTACATTGCAAATATTCGTTTCAAAAACTTTAAAAACGAATAGTTAGGGAGGTATGAATACAATTAGGGCATATAACTATGGCAAATATTCCCTCTACGTTCAACAAAGGACTTTTGATAAGCCGGAATAAATTAATTAATGATGGATAATATCTTTAAGGGAGCAGAGCGGAAATCAGAAAATACATGTGTAATCGATTTATAGGTAGTTGTGATCAAGCGACAAAAAAGAAGGCAGAGCGCGGTCGTGGCGCAGTTATTGTACTATCGTGGCAGTGTCCTCTGTGTACGTTCCGTGAAACAAACACAGTATCGACTAAAGAAATACAGTTATTACTCCCTGTGAAACCCATAATAAGTCAAAAACCCACACTAAGGATAATTTGGCGAAAATATACCGGCTGAATTTAAGAAGATTTCATAGTGACCTTATCACGATTGAGCTGTGGTAGCTCAGATGGTTAACGCTCGCTGTAAATATAACAGAACGCCAGTAACCCGGGTTCGATCCCCGCCGGCACCAATGAAATTGTTAATTGCAATTTTAAGTGCTGATTTACCACGTGCTCGGCGGTGAAGGAAAACATCGTGAGGAAACCTGCATGTCTGAGGAATAAGAAAAAAAATTTATTTCGAAGACATGTGAAGTTCGCCAACACGCATTAGGGCAGCGCGGCGGACACTTCCTTGCCCTAAAACCCTCTCAGAAATGAGGGGAGGCCTGTGCCCAGCAGTGGGACGTATATAGGCTGTAACTTTACTTGTCACAATATATTTTAAATTATACAGTGATAGTACAAAATTCCTCATTATTCAACTACGTTTTTTGTGAGATGTGAAATGAAGCTTCAATAAACTTTCATCTATTTAAATAACGAACCGGAATAATAAAACTCACCTAATTTACTAAGTCATAGACTAAACGAAATTATCGACAACGTTTTTTGTGTCGCTAATGTCACATCAATAGAAGATGTCTATGGAATGGAAAAACGGCAACAACCTTGTAAAAGAAAAAAACCAAGTCCACCAGATGGTAAATGGTTGCTGTGGCCCATAGAAATCTACATCTATTCTCAATTACGAATCAAGATGCAGATGCGTTGTCACCCGTGAGGACTAAGATGGAATGCCTCGTTTCCAGTAAAAAGGGTCTCCGGTTCTCTACACTCACCATACGAAACCCAGCAGCATTAATCTACTATTTTACGCTGGTATTGTGTGAGAGCGGATATTGTGAGAGAGATTGTTTTACAGTACGAATAATCAGAGTTCGATTCCCGCCAGCACTGATAAAATTGTTATTTGCAATTCTAAAACACAATGAGGAACCCTGCACTTTTGAGGGTTAAAATATGTCAGGATGTGTTAAGTCTGTCAACACAACCAAAACCGTGAAACCGGTGCCCAACAGTAATTTATTTCACAAAAACCCATTAGTTAGCCCATTTCATTATTATTTCAAAAAATATATTACAGTGTGAATGGAGTCTTTTAACATGGGTATTTTAACTTTACTATAAAAAGCAAAACAAAGCAATTATATTATTGGTTAAAGCAAATGTCGTACGTACGTACCATTTGATTGCGATAGAATCAATTGTTTCTGGTCTATCAAGTGCTGTGCAACTGGGTGAGGAATATTTTGTTGCATTTGATTGGTGTCCGTCGATACAACACGTTGTTGCATTATTACTGTAATTTAAAACAAGAAATGATGTAAATTTTATATTAATAGCTGCATAGTTATTATCACTTCAGCACATTTAGATGATCATGTTGAAAATTATTGCATTAGGCACACATAGGGATGAAACTGGGTGCGTTTGGCAGAAAAAAGCCCTTGTAAGCAAAATGGCGATCGTAAGCGGTAAGCGCTGTCAAATCGTAAGTAGTTATTTTCCTCTAGGACACGATGTTAGTTTTAACCGGGGAACCTAACCTAATTTAATATATATGTTTGTGAAGTATTCATATTAAAAACTTACCAATCATGAATTTTTAATAACATGTACATGTCTATTCATGTCATTATATTACTTAAAACAAATATTGCAAAAAAAAAACAACTTATAAACTCTACTACAAAACAAGCAAATTAAATAAGCAAATGGCGGATTGTGTCAGCGCTACGGAAGTAGCAATCGTGTCCTGGCCGAAAACTATTTTAGCGCTAGTAAGCGCTTGCTAGCGCTTTTTTCTGCCAAACGCACCCAATGAGTACATATTAGCCGCGCAGTTAGAGAATAGATCTGAAAATGGTGTCCGCTCGCATGCGTTCTCGCTCACTCTCTATCGCCGTCTATACTCACACAGTGAAATACGCGCTACAAAAAAATAGTCAGTCAAGATTCGCTTTCCACGCTACTTGACGCACTCCGAGTTATCGTTAAATTCGTTACGTTATTTTGTTGTTTTCGTTAATATTCATTGTTGTTTTTGTTGAGTTTGATTGTTATTTGTTTGCGTTACGTTTGAAAACGCTTGTGATTGTTAACATGCTTTAAAGATTCTTCACAGTATCACGTGACATTGTTTACAACGTTATAAAATACTTTGACGAAGAGAAGAACTTGGAGCGTTATCATCCGTTAAAGTATAGCGCCGCACGCGCAGCGATGGCGACTAATTTATCGATGGCTACTATATCGAAAATAAAGAAAGAAGGTAATGACATGGTACCTACACATTATTTACGCGGTTGCTTTATGGGCGTGACCAAGATTGATAGATAAATCAATTTATTTGAAGATGATTAGCCTTACCTCTATCGAGTATGATTTTTTATATAGATTTACTGGCCTGGAAACGAGTCCTTTTGGCAGCGAGTATGACTAAGTTCAGTGTCGCTCTATAACGATAACTGAGAGTAACAGTAATATTTTACTCTTATTTCAGATAAACTTGCAGAACAAACCAACACCAAGATCCGTACGCCGAATAAGGGCAGAAAAGGCAAAAATAATACGCGCCCCCATGGACAAATACGATATATGTGCCATTAGAAATATTGTGGCCTCAATATACGACGTTCGAAAAGAGGTACCTACGCTGAACCAGATTCTGGCGTCAGCAAAAGCTGAATTAAACTATAAAGGCTACAAAACGACATTAAGAAAGATTTTAAAAGAAACGTTCGGATTTAAATTTAAAAAATGCCGCCAGAACCGAATGGTGCTCATAGGGCGCGATAATATAAAAGCGTGGCGAGTTAAATATTTACGCCGCCTCCGACAAAATTATGCCATGGGTGCGGAAAAAAAGAAAGTAGTATATGTGGATGAGTCGTGGATCCATGCCCATTATACTGTCAGCAAGTGCTGGCAGTCATCCACCGAAAAAGGCGTTCGCAAAAATGATAGTCCTGGACAAAGGTGGGTGATGGTTCACGCCGGCTCAGAGGATGGGTTTGTGGAGGGTGCAGGATTATTACTTAAAGCTAAATCAAAAAAATTCGACTACGATGACGAGATGGATGGTAATAACTTTACGAAATATTTAAAAGAAAAATTAATACCAAATCTGCCTGAAAACTCCATTCTCGTCATGGATAATGATCATCCTACCACAGTATGCGGTTGGATAAAGCGCCAACGACTGCAACCCGCAAAGCGGGCGTAAAGATATGGATGCAGGAGCACGGTGTCTCATTTGAAGAAGACTGGACCAAAGCAGAGCTGTTGGTCGTTTCAAAGCCATAAAAATAAATTAAATTTACTTCAAATTCTCTGTCTGATTCGTACATTTTTAGTTTAGTTCTTGTGTCTTTTAGAGAACTAATAATCATTTAACTAGGCAGGTACCGCCTGTCTTGTCCAAAAACCAGCGTGAATTGATAGCACAAAACACGCGTACGCGTCGGCGGCGTCGGTCTAGTGTCACACCTATCACATACGTCGGCGACGTCTCAGACGTGTGCGTCGGTCTAATGTAGTCCCGCCTTTACTTTACTGGCCTAAGGGATAAGGACGTGACTTTATGTATGTATGTGAGGTGGTATTTTTGTAATATGATTCTGAGATGTAACAATTAATAAAGACAAATTTTAAAATCCAGTGTCATATGTACCCTTGCTTTTTTATTTCATTAATATTTTTGACATTATTTCTATTATTATTAATTAATAATATTAAAAAGGAATAATTTATAACAAAAAAAGTCAATAAAAAAATAAAAATCGATGTTTGAGAACTTGTTTTGCCAACCGTACCATGTGTACCCGCCGTCATTTTCAGATCTATTCTCTATCTGCGCGGCCTATACAAGTATGTACTCAATACTTATTACTATTTTATATTATATATACTATATATATTATTATTACTTCCGATACCAAGTACTTTAACCGAAGTATTTGTATATATGCCTATGTAAAGATTTTATTTTAACATATTGATGGATATATATTATAATATACTCATCTATGCTAATAAATTTTTTTTTTGTGTATTATATATATTGAAATTTTTGAACGCGTCCTAGTCCATTTGTTAGTTTTGTGTAGTTTTTTTTAAATTTATTAGGATCAACAAACAGTTTACACAATATTTATTAATCTAAAATACATTCACTACAAAAATATAATATAATAGTGCAACCAACACCGTCGACCACCAATTACTTATTAACAAATGTTGAGATTGAGAATAGCGTACAATTTTTTCATCTAATACAATGATTGTGTTTTCAACTAACACAATAATGAAGAAAAATACTAATAATTGTAACAACCAGTTACACAAACTTATTCTCCTCTGAGTACTGAAAGTAATTCTTTTTTTATAAATACCCACCTTGTGAGCAAAAATGTCAATATTATTGAAAGTATTATTAAACAATTTAACAACATATATATAGGGGATCTTTTACCTACGTTGGTGCGACATTTATTAGTAAAAAATGTATATTTAGTACGAACTCTGCAAAACAATGTCCTATATGGTACTCTGTATTGTATCATCTCAACTAGTTCTATACTATCGTACCTGTTATGACAGATATCATATAGTAACATACCTTGAATCTGTTGACGTCTGGATTCTAATTTTAGTAAGGTATATTCGACCAGCGGTTAATAGTAGGGTAATTTAACTCGTCTGCACTTGTAATATAAACTACGCAAAAACTTTTTCCGAATGGATTCTATTTTATCTATATATTTATTATAATACGGACACCAAATAGCTACCGCATATTCGAGTTGTGATCTTATTAAAGATTTATAGAGGTGCAAATAAGTGAGAGGTTTTTAAATTCACGTCCAATACGCATCACGAAACCATACATTTTAAGAGCCTTATTAATGACGTTTTCAACATGTGTATCATAGTAGTTAAGTTTACTATCTAATATTATACCTAAATCTTTAATTTTATGAACTTTTTCTAATGGGACTCCACATAAAGAATAATTAAAATTACTTTCCTGTCGCTTACGGGTAAACGTTATGGCTTTACATTTATTAACACTCAAATCTAACTTATTGTGTTTACAGTAAGATGTAAAATTACTAACTAAATCTTTTTGAAAGTTAAGGTGGTCATGATAATATTGAATTTTGCGATAAATTTTTATATCATCTGCGTACAGAATTAAATTACAAAACTTAAAACAACTACGAGGGTGGATTGAAAAGTACTCGGCCTAACACAGATCCATTCAATTCTAAAAATCAAATCTACCCACATTATTTAGTTCAGTTCAGACTAGTTCATTGTGTGAAGTTCGAAACGTGTGCGATAATTAGTTGTGGTTTTATAAATTTATTAACAAAGTAATCGGACATAATTTCCGCGAATGGAGCAAATCGAGCAGCGTGCCGTCATTAAGTGCCTCCATAAGAAGGGGTTATCATCAAAAGCCATCCATGATGACATGGTCAGTACATTAGGCGATTGTGCTCTGTCATATTCATCCGTCAAAAAATGGATAGCAGAATTTAAGCGTGGTAGAGAGAGTGTGAAAGATGAACCCCGCTCTGGAAGGCCTTCGACGTCAACTACTGACGAAAATATTAAAAAAGTACTTGATTTAATAATGGGAGACCGCAGATTAAAAATTAGAGAGATAGCCGAGATTATAGGCATCTCTTATGAACGAACTCAAAACATCATTGTCAACGAGTTGGGTTTCCACAAGGTGTCTGCGAGGTGGGTTCCGCGACTGCTTTCAGTTGAACAAAAAAGGACGCGATTGACTATTTCACGCGACTGTTTGGAGTTATTTGAAGCCGATGCAGATGATTTTTTGAATCGTTTTGTTACTATGGACGAAAAATGGGTTCATTACTGTACACCGGAAACAAAACAACAATCAAAACAGTGGAGAAGACCTGGTTCACCACCCCCTAAAAAGGCTAAGTCGATTTTGTCGGCAAATAAGGTGATGGCTTCAGTATTCTGGGACTCGAAAGGTGTGATTATGATTGATTATCTTGAAAGGGGTCAGACTATAAACTCTTTTACTACTCTACTCTACTCTATTACTACTGCACCTTACTACGTCGTTTACGAGAGGAAATAAAAGAAAAACGTCGAGGAATGCTCAGAAGAAAAGTCCTGTTTCATCAAGATAACGCCCGTGTTCACACGTCAGTACAGTCAATGGCTGAAATTCACAACTGTGGCTTTGAACTGTTACCGCATCCGCCGTATTCACCTGATCTGGCACCATCAGACTTCTTTCTGTTCCCTAACCTAAAAAAGCACTTGGGAGGTCAAAGATTTTCGACAAACGACGAGGTCAAAGCAGCTGTAGACGCATATTTTGACTCTAAGGAAGAATCATTTTTTTTCAACGGTCTAAATGCTTGGAAGGGGAGGTGGCAAAAGTGTATCGAACTTGATGGTGATTATGTAGAAAAATAAAAATATAACTGATTTAGTATGTGTTTATTTTCTTGGTTAGGCCGAGTACTTTTCAATCCACCCTCGTATTAATTACAGTTATATAGTTAATTCTAAATTTTACAAAAATCGACCGATATGAGAAGTATCGATACTTTACGACACGTATTGTACCTAGTAAAAGTATCGGTACCCAGTGGTATCGTTTCATCCCTAGGCACACATAACTGACAGTCAGGCGTTCTAGTGATTGAATAGTACAAATAATTAGTATTATTATTATTTTTATTGTGGTGTTTTGTACAGGGTGATCAAATTGTAAAAAAATATTTTGGGAATCCATTTAACTAGTTGCCATTTTTAATAATTTAATTCTTATCTATTAATGTATTTTAATATACGTTTTTATATAACAAGATGAAAAACTTACACTGGTGGTCAGGTCTTTGTCCAGGCTGCAATGGAGCCCGTGGACGAAGGGAAACTGGTAGAGGCTGCCTAAATGGTTGCCCTTCTAAATTTACACCCTGAACTGGACCATCTTCACTACTTGCCTCTGTTATAAATGGAAACATTTTTGAATGAATCAATTATGAATTTTCTATGTTTGTGTTGTAACAGTAAAAAAGGTGCCGCGGAGGCAGTTTAAAGCAAGAGAAGAAACAAGAGCAGAAATAAACATACAGACATTGTGACAAACTTGTCTGTAACTCACGCGGTGGCCACATCTTGTCTGGATGTCGCTGCAATAAATCGCGCAGCTGTCTGTTAATGTCGTCGTTGGTCGCGTAATGCAGCGGAAAGCGCTGTGCTGGGAAGGCGCTCCGTGGAGCTTCTGCGGAAGGCGTAGGCGTCGTCGGTGCAGCCGCTGGAGGCGCTGCAGGCGCCGCGCTGCCCGCTCCGGGAGTGCCCGGCGGAGGACTACTGTCCGGCGCGCGCATACGCTGCATCGCTGCTGTAGAATAAATTACTATGTTGTTACAACTCACAATGTTCGTATCTATCGATTTTAATTCAAATATATATTTATAGTCAACCAAATCTAAGAAATACCTTTTGACGTTTCACATTAATCACTCCGCAATAACTTTTCACAAGCGTACTCACACGATTTGAAATAACCTTTTACGTAAATCCGAAGAATTATGAAGTTATCTATATTTCATTACAACGTGAATAGTTTTTTTTATCACTAATTTAAATTTGAATTTTTCAAACAAAGCAAAATATTAAAAATAACCAGTATTAACTTTTTTTACTTGACGTTTCAATGATATGTCGCTATGTATATTACCGTAGTGTTTGGATGATTAAAATTCATTGTTAAGCGAATAATCGACAAAATATTCAAATAATCGGTAAAAATATTCTAATAATCGAATCATAAATTTCTTTAATGTATTATTTGTTTATTTTAATTATTATTTTCAAAATTCCTTAAATTATATGAATCATGAATAAAAAAGTTTAATTTTTTTCAATTTGTCAAAGTAAATTTGTGTAGGCAAAAAACTCATATTATACAATGCTACTACTAAAATAACCACTACATAATTTCAACATCCCGCCATCTCGGTACCAGTTACTCGACTCCACAGAATCAGTAATTCATTCTTGAGGCGATGTATACGCATTTACAACAAAATGCCAGAAAATATACAAAATTTGACGTCAGTACACTAAGTTCAAAAACTTTATTAAACTAAGTTTGTATAAAAATGGTTATTTTAATAATAAGGAATTTATGGATGATAATAACCCCTGGGAAGGGTGATCGCTACCAAGCTATTTCTAATTTCTTTTGTGTTGTTAATTGTAACACGCATGATTAATAAAAAAATAAACTAGTCCCGTTGTGTTTCTTGCTAGTTTTTTCCAGGACAGAGGGTTTTTTTCGAAACAGTGGTAAATGAAAAAAGTGACCTTCAATAAGTATTATTCATAATCTATATTGAATAAAAAAGTTTCTGTTTCTGTTTCGAGAGCTTACTGTGCGTAATTTTGTGATTTGTCTTCTTATTTTGTGACTTGGCATTAACTTTTTGGACTGTTTCTTTTATAATAACTTTTTGTACGTGGTAGAGCCACGCTACAATTTATATTATAGTTGTAGCACGAATACCACTTCTTTTGTAATGGGTCGGCTCAACCAGGGCAGGTCCACGCTTCGTGTGGTGAGTGTAGAGAACCGGAGACCCTTTTTACTGGAATCGAGGCATTCCATCTTAGTCCTCAGGCGTGACAACACATTTGCATTTTGATTCTTAAGTGAGGATAAATGTGTATCTCTATGGGCCATAGCATCCACTTACCATCAGGTGGAGTGTGTGCTCGTTTGTCACCCAATGCTATAAAAAATATTCGTTGAAGTATGTGCACTTGTCACAAAGGATGATTGGGCAAAAGTGGTAGAAAAAACAAGAAATTTGATTATGAATGACTTTGAAAGAGACATTAATTTTGACTGCATTATTTAAAATTAAATAATATTTAGTATAAACAACGACATCCATACTAGTTGTACTGAAAGTGATTGAATAAATTTATTTTTAATCGAGTTTCAATCTTAAATTTTTATAACTGTGCCTCTAGAAATAAGCAGTAACAACAAATACGAAGAAAGTGATAAATCTTGTGTCTTAAATTATCGGTTTTTAATTTATTTTGGTATTTTTCGCACCAAACTGTAAATGATTACTAACTCTAAATAATCGATATCGATTTTTTAAGAATCGAATATTGTACGTTCCCATCTTTTGGTTGGCATGCTTGGTGCAATAATTCTGACAGCTGTCAAAATGTATTTCTTAGATTTGGTTGACTATAATTCATTCGTTAGTTACAGCCTATTAAGTCTACTGCTGAACATAGGCTTCCCGAATGAATTGCTTCACAGGAGAATATTTGTCGCAGTTGCCGTGCCTGACAGGCAGTTTGATATTGTTTCGAGTTTCTATCAAGCAGATGCTGCTATTTCATCAGTATCATTTCCCTCCGTCGTCTTTTACAACTACGTGACGATATGGGATAGTGGATTTTGGAGTGGATCTTGCCCACCACATATCAATTTTAAAATGGCGGTACATCCATTCGTAAACGTCTAACCCAAAATACAAAGACTGGTAGTGACAGTCACCAAACCTTCCCCTGCAGTGTTATTAAAATTGATAAATTTTTCAAGGCTACATTCCCATTTGAGTAACCATAATCTTATGCCCCATTTACATTCAGCCCTGTTGGGCAGGGAAGTGAGCAGGGCAGTGAGCAGGGCAGTATGTAAACAGGCTACTCGCGCTGACACTGCCACTGCCCGACGATCCCTCAAATGTCGGTTTTTCGTGCGGAAGTCAAAGGACGGGCAGCGAGAGCGGCAGTGTGTGAGTGTTCACATTCAGCTCCATCGCACACTTCGGGCCAAGCGCCTGCATGAACGGACGTGCGTGCCGTCTTGTTATTAAATAAGTACGATCTACTAAAATGCCTTTCGAGTGGAATAATGAAAATACAATAAAGTTTTTAGAGCTGCTGGAATCAGAAAAAACTATATGGGATTTCAACGATAAAAGGCACAATTCATCATCTTCTACGAATACGACTTTTCTTTTTGAGATAACATAGTACCTATGTACATAATTAATTATAAATTCGTCAAATTTATTATACTAATATAAAATTTAGTTTAAGGAATTAATGAATATTGACATTTTATTTCTAAAAACGATTAGTAAATCATATTGATTATTTATTTATTAAAATGTAAAATAAGTAAAATGGTAATAATTGCATAATAGCCTGAGGTTTTTAAATTATCATTTTATTGTAATTATAATATATAAAAAAAAAAATATATATATATATATATATATATATATATAATGAATTAATTTATACTGTAGCGTAATTATTAAAATAATAATAAATTAACTAATCTCATATAATATTTAATATTATTTATGTAACAATAATGTAATACTTCAATTAATAATTTATGAACAATTTACTGTATAAGAATTCAAATAGAGTGGATCTATATAAGTATTTAATTGTACATAATATTTGAATTCAAAAAGAATGTTTGTACCTAACTTTTAAGCAATGCAATAATTTTAAAATGTAACATTGGGTTTGTGTAATTAGCTGTATTTAATATCATTTTTGCATGTCAATTATGGCAAAACATGTCCGTTCCACGTCATTGATCATCTTATGTATACCAAGTTTTTAAGCAAATAAATTTTCTATCTATCTATCTATCTTCTTTTGAACTTATATATTATTATCTATTAACATAATTTTGTATTGCAAGAAGACACAGCGCGGACGCTGTAATTATTTCGACGTCTGCCATAGTCGAAAGCCGAAAGTGATGTGAGTGGTAGGGCAGAGTGTGAATACACACTTCCCGCGATCCTGCTACGGCAGTATTTAGCGAAGTAATGGCGGCAGCGCGAGGAGCAGTGGCAGGGGCTGAATGTAAATGAGGCCTTAGAATTCTGTAGCCTCAAACCAGTATTATATGCGAAGCATAATTTATACTCAGATAATGAACGGGTCAGTCGCTATATGTTTGATGTAACCGCGCCCGTATATCTCTGGATCGATTTAAAAGAGACTGATAAAAAAAATTAAGATTGCTTCAGATTATTCGGAAGTTGTCGCCATGCCCGGATATGGTCCAGGGAGATTTAATCAGAAAATGTTAACAGTTCATGGTAGGTGGGTACCTTGTATCCGCTGGTCTTGTATGATCTGCTGCTGCTGCTGCGTCTGCTGCTGGCGCATCTGCTGCAGCTGCTTCCACTGGCGCTCCTGCTCGGCCTCGCGCGCGCTGCGCTGCTGGCCGCACGCGCGCTCCTGCTCCTGCGCACACACACACAGTCCTACACGTCACGTCTCCAAACAAAACACACCTATCACCACTACAGACTGACTTTACCATCTGAACGAAACACTTTTTTATTTTTGTCGAACTTGCTAAAATTATTGTTTTAAATACAGTGTTTAAAACTATAGATTCACACAGAATAAAATGGCAGCCAAGAAGTATTCCTAACACTAAAGTGTTACGAATTTATGAGAGCATAGAAGATTTTGGTGCTGGAAAGCTTTTATTAAATTTTTCCAAATTCTGCTATGTGTTTTTTTTCTCTGGCACAGCTGACACTGTGTCTGTGGACATAAAAACTCAGGTTTCACTAAAAATCAACGCTAATATGTTTTTTTTAAAGAGCCAATAGTACTGAAGACACTTTACTTGCATTTTTGACGGTTTAATTTTTCCTGTTATATATTTTTACTCGAAAGTAACTAAATTACAACCAGATTCGATTTCTTATATTTACGCGAACACTACACATTGAAATATTACTAGTTTTTACGGATTTTATCGCGTATATTTAACTATAAATACCCGACGTTTCGATCGCTTTACAGCACCCATGGTCACGGGGGGGGGGGGACTGAAATGTTCAACGTCCAGATGTCATAGTTAACAGCGGTTACCATAGATTAAAATTAAAATTTTACCATATATTAAAATTAAAATTTTAATCGCTGCTAATATGACATCTGGACGTTGAACATCTAAGCCCCCCCCCCCCCCCCCGTGACCATGGGTGCTATAAAACGCTCGAAACGTCGGGTATTTATAGTTAAATATACGCGATAAAATCCGTAAAAACTACTATTATTTCAACCAGATTCGATATTTAAAAATAAATTTACATTTTTTACTATCAAATTGTTTTATTTAACAAATTACATACCATGGTGGTAAACAAAATGGTGGTTTTAGATTTAATGAATATATGTTAACCAAAAATTTTAGCAGTGCATGTCTTAAAGTGAAAACAATTTTTTATTACACCCGTTCATGCGGTTACACGTTTTTTTTAAATTAACCTTCAAAAGTCTTAGTTTGAACTTAACTAGTTTACCGGGTTCGGGAAATTACACTATTTTTTCTTCTCCTTCGGTATTCTTTAAAAGTACAAAGAATATTATACAACTAGTGTTGCTAATGAGTTATGGAACCGCGACGTGGGCTTTTACTGCTGGCCGTATGGCAAAACTCGAAAGTCGCTAAGCGAATTATGCTCAGTTTCCATGAGTGATAGAATCCGTAACGAGAATATCCACAGTAGAACGAGGGTGATGACTTATAAACCATAAATGTAACGAAAAGAAAAATAAGTCTTCTATCACTACTAGATGGAATTACAGCCAATGGTCAAACATGAATCCGCATAAAACGCAATGGCGTAGCTTAGTTCTAGCGCCGCCTTCGCTAAGCGCTATGTGGTTTCGCTTTAATAACGATTACGGCATAATCATTCGTAAATCATCTTTCATTGTTTTTACTAACAAACATCACAAAAATGGAACAGTTGTGCGAAGAACCTTTTTTTAAAGTACATACATATAGTCCACCTGATGGTAAGTGAACTGTGGCCCACAGACATCCCACATTTATCTCCAACTAAGAATCAAATTGCAAATGCGTTGTCACCCTTGAGGACTAAGACGGACAACCTCGATTCCAGTAAAAAGGGTCACCGGATCTCTACACCCACCATACGAAACACAGCAGCATTACGCTGGTATTCTGTGAGAGCGTGGTCCTTCCCCGGTCGAGCCGACCCATTCGTGCTACAACTATAATATAGCTGAAGGGTGGCTCTACCATGTAAAAATCTGGTTAGAAATGCGGAGTTGACGGATGCGGATTGCCGCTTTGTGCAGGACTATTTTGACGAACATAATAACGATAATGAACACAAAAGTGATCAAAATTATATTCATATTCATATTTTTGAGAATTGCAACGGTTTAACCACCGGAGGGTAATTTTGTGAGCAGTAAAAAAATTATTTTCGACAAATGCTTTTTTTTTTTTTTGGAAATAAATTACATGCAAAAAAATTTAGAAAAAAAACTACGTAATGTCTCTCATGTTTCGTTCAGATCGCAATATGTTAGTTGAACTACAACGGATTGGCCAGAGTCATGGTATATATTAATATTATTTCATTGTTTTTTCATTCTTTTAGGACCTTTCCCAAGAGAGCGTATCCAAAAATAACTCCAATGAAAGCATAGGTCGCCTATTTTTATACTCTAAAAAGTTGATTTCCGTACACGATGTTACTCAAATAAGACTATTAGAAAAGAGAAAGAAGTAGAGTTTATGTATTATTTATAGGTATATAAATTCTGTATAAATGTCGATGAAAATGGTATATAATATATAAAAAATATATAATATATATATATATATATATATATGTATGTATAATTTTAAGAGTAGGCAAAATAACAAGCTGTCAAAAATTATTTATTTCAGATTTAAATTTAAATATTATATTCCAAGTTATATATAGTACACAGATGACTGCTTCGTTGGTCTAGTGGTTGTTAGTGCGACTGTTAATCATGTGATCTCGGGTTCGAATCCAACCAAACAATCGGTTGGTCTAAAATCGCTTATTGAATTTTTCGGTCAATTAATTTTCAGTAGCAGCCGTGTAAGAAATTTTGCGGAGTTTCACACCCGTGCCGCGGAAAGCACGTATATTGCGGTCACATTAACTTGACGTATCGCTAGAATGCGAGCCCACGCCCGCTAGCCTCCGTCAGTATGGTTAGCATCTCTGTTACACTGTTGTAAATGACGTCATCAAAGCCATGCGTCAAGTTAATATAACCGCGTTGTAAAGCCGTTGGCTCTGCGGCGCCTGATTTTTTTGCGGGCGTGTTGGGTTACTTATCGGACTATAATGTCGCGTCCGCACGCAAACTCCCAATCTGTACAAACGTTTGGCTTGATTTTGGGAACCAAACGTCGCCATCCACACGCTTGCGAGTGCGTTATTTTGTTCTGAAGAAGCTAGCATATAGGTAATTATAAATTATTTTATTATAGATAAGTATTTTCGCCACCACAAAGGAGACTGAGTGCGCACAAACGTGTGAACGCGTCGCAAGCGCTTGCGACAAATTTCCATTGATTTGTGACAAAAAAACCGACACTCGAAGGATCGGCTACAAGCGCTTGCAAATCTCCGTAAACCATGCCAAACACTATCCACACGTTTGAATTTGTGACGTCTTGTTGAGGTTTTTGCAAGCGTGCGTGAAAATACAGATTACACCTGAGCTAGCGCACACACTCGGCTATTATGGCCGCCGACTGGCCGCGCTGACCGAAATTTAATATGGAGAAGAATTGCATGGATGTTGTAAATGTATATAAAAACTTGTTCGGTTGCAACTGGGCAGGCACAGTCAATAGGGTGCGACTAACACTAACAAGTCATCGGACGCGTAACTTCCTTTGCAAAACCTAGTAAAATTTCATGGCGATGACTCACGAGCCATATTCATAAAGCATACGCGTATAAAGCTCGAGTCATTGTAAAGATTCTCGTTTGGGAAAGGCCCATCTTTCCGTAACAATAATATTATTTAAATATGACTTACAGAAACATTAACAGGCAAATTTCATCAAGTGTCTATGATCTTGATTAACACAATATTAAAATGTTTATTAATTTATATACCATTACATCTGACTAATCATAAAATGTATTACGTAAAATACATTATTACAGTGTGAATGCTCTATGTACAAGGTAATTTATTGCAGTTAATTGAGGGTAGTTGTGCGTTACAAATTTGTAGATCTGCTTAATCTATTTTACATGCTTGTGTTAAAACAAATTATTGGTATGTAAAACCTATAAGTAATTAATTTTCGGTATCACAAAAAATTGTTTAAAAATTAAATAGATATAATGTAAATACGAGTGAACTTTAATATTTTTAAATAACATAATTTCAATGTTAATTTTCTTTACAATAATATTAATTAAGTGTCGCAATATATTACAAATGCCTATTTAATTAAAGACATTCATTATAAAACTAATTAGTGTTTTATTAAAGTTGTAAACTTAATACTAATTAACAAAGCTACATACAACTATGCATAACAATGCAAATCAATAATCAACTACTACAGTGATTCTGTTAGAACTGTTAGCACACCACAACCAGCCACCGACGACCAATGTTAAAGCCAATACTACCAAGACAAAGCGTTAAATAAAATTGAAACAACATTACGGAGAGAGGGATACGAGTCCGGGAGGCGATCTGAGTAATGGACATGGTTCCCACATTCGAAAACAAGCTAAAAGAAAAATAAATAAAAATAATCACACAGCTTTACAACGCCATCGAATTGCCAAACTCGTTTGTTGGGTGACGACAAATTTTGAGTTAAGTTAAAGAGAATCGCGAAGTGCAACGCGCGATCACCCAACAACCAACGAAATGCGTCTCGCATACACACATCTGCCCATGTCATCGGTTTGAAATATAGGTTATGTGCTTGTAATTAAGTTGTAAATAGATTTTGGTGTAAGTTTAATGTGTGTGTGGCCGTGAATAAGTTTATAATATAAATTTTGAGTTTTGTCATCAAAAATCATTAAAGCTCGATAAAAATAAAATAGTCGCACTTCGTCTAAGACAAGTTGGGTTCAAATGGTTCTAAATAGTCTATACTAGCTCCTCTTTACGGCTTTGCATCGACCTTCCAAACTACCTGTATATTTAAATGTAAAAGTAATATTTTAGTTATATTTAAAAATATACTTTTGTAATATCCAGTGACTCAAATAAACTTCTGCTGTTATTCTATATAAGTCTTATAGTTAATAATAATTGAAATTAAAAAAATATAAATTTAAGGAATTTCTTTATTTTAATTTTTGCACAAAGAACACCATTAGTTTCCTTGAATTATAAATGTAGAAGCAGGATTTGCTAGCACTATTTTTCGCCATATATTCCGTATGCGTGACGCGATTGGTATATACGGTGTGTGTGTGTGTGTGTGTGTGTGTGTGTGTGTGTGTGTGTGTGTGTGTGTGTGTGCGCGCGCGCGCGTGTGGGCGGGGCGCAGGTGCGTGTGCGAGCGGAGTGTGTGCGAGCGCGGGGCGCGGTACCGTGTGTGCGTGCGCGAGGCGCGGCAGCGTGCGCATAATCTCGGACGGCGTGAGCACGCGGATGTGCGCGTCAGCCTCCAGGAGCCCGTCCGCCGTCACCGTGACGTTGGGCGCGCGCACCGGCGGGCCCGCCGCGCTCACGGCGCTCGCGGCGGCCGGCGCGCTGGCGACGCCGGCTGGCGCGGACGCAGCGCCCACCGACCCCGCCGCCCCCACCGCACTCGGCGCGCTCGTGCCGCTCGCCGCGCTGCTTGCGCCCTCGCTCTCCACGCCGCTCGTGCTCTGTCGCGCGCGCAACTCTTAAAATCTCGCGACGCTCGATGCGCTCGTGTCGTTGTATATTCCAACATACGAGGCAAAACCCACGTCCGATTACATACACTACAGTTATGCCACTTTATAATTTGATCCCACTCTTAACAATTTTTAAGAAATATTTAGAATAAATAGAATAATATCTAAAATCTCCTCTGAGTATATTTAACACTAAATAATATAAAAGAAGTAAAATAAATATATTTACATTGCACTTCAAGAAACAGTACAAAAGTGTTTGCTTTATAATTCGAGTACTTCTGTATTTATTATCAAAATAAAAATATATTATTTGCTTTAACAACAAAAACAAAAAAAAATTGCATAATAAATAAAACCTTGGAAATATTAATAATTACATTATGTAGGGATGCACGTAGTGATTCGAGTTTCACAAACAATGGTTAAAATGTTTAACGAATCGAATTGAATAGATCAAATATAAAAAGGGTAGCTTACCGCCACATTTAACAATTTTATACCAGTATGTATGGCATGTTAATCCGCCGCTATTTTATTGATTTCTATTAAATCCAATTAACATCTTACTGATAATATTCAGTAATTATATTTTACTAGTAATTAAATTTGCTACTGTTATTCAGAAATACTGACGTCAAAAATTTGCATTATACAACTTATGCTACCTACCTATTTTTTACTTTACAAGGAAATGTTTATTGTGATCTTTTAGTATCGATTCAATCGGATACAATCTGATCTGAGAATTGACTAAGAAGCATATGATATAATTCATTGCGGTCCAAAAAAAAAAACATTTCAATTAAAATACCGTGCATACCTATCATAACATTAACATCGTTTAGTAGTGTACCCACGCGTAAACTTTACACTTGCGGTCTTAAAAACTTTACACTGAATAATATATTTGTCGTTCACATCTGTACATTTTGTCCTATTCTCTTTGGTGGTTAAACATATTATATACCTTATAAGCTTTCAATAAGAACTGGACTTAGTGGTCCATAAGAATTAAAAAAAAAAAACTTTATAACTATGTACTAGTCTCATTCCAAAATTTTATATTATGTTATGTTTATGTCTGGGTACTCGTAAGTAATTTTATATCCTTTTGAATAACACAATAAAAATACCTATCTCAATGTAATTCTTCTCAAATTTAAGTTAAAAATTGAATGCAAAATTACTTATACATTCTCACTCGTTTATATTCCATCTAACAAGTGTAGTAACTAAATGCCACACTCTTAATTCATCAACAGTATTAAAACACTAGCACACCACTATAGTGAAAATATCTAAGAATAGTTTACATTTCGCATCTTTATAATACTAGTTTTACTACACATTCTGAAGTTATTGCATTTTAATACTATAATTGATAGATGATAGAAATGAAAAGTATATATAAGTATATATACATAAATGTACTGTAGATCCTTTCGCTTTTAATAATTCCAGCTTTATATTTTATTATCATTAAAAATATCTCGCAAGTCTTGAGACGCAATAATTTTGGAAATAAAACATGCTTAAAGAAAGTGCAGACCGCACTGAAAGTCTCATCTAAACTTGGATTTACTTTAGTATGCACTTGTCACGGAATCTAAACGCATATCCTTAGAATTAAATAAATCGCATCGTAATAGACGAGCATTCAGCATATTTGAAGGTGTGTAATAAGAATAAAGGCGATCATTTTGGGTAAGTATTTAGAGAAGTATTATTACAGTACCTAGGCCGAGTTTCACTAGGCGTCAGAAAAAGAAAGATTTATCAGGAATAACACCTATCTAGATAAACTAAGAAAGTAAAACATTATCTAAATACAAAATTTTATCACAACCCTTAGTAACATGTTTCTTCTATCCTCTAATATAAAAAATATATCATTTTTTTTAAATATTTCAGTTACACTTTGTCCCAGAAATGACGGGAGGCCTATGCCACTTTAACAGTCTCATTTACACACTCAGTGATTGCACACAATATCATTGGGTTTTGCTTTTCTTTCCAAATTATAGGTAAATTATTATAAAACATAATTAAATGTAAATCGAGGTAAATTTAGTATTTGCATATATGTCTTATTTACAAGTGCATTTTGCTGAAATAAGCGATAGAATCTACAGCCTCCGCGGTGTCAATTTCACTGTGAATACCTTTTTTTAGAAAAATGTGTTACTTATACATATTTATAATATTACCAAAAGAAAATGAAAATTCGTTACTGCATAAGGTATGCGCATTAAAATGATATCGTAGTTTTACTTCACCAAAATATTTGAATGCAAACAAAATATATTATTTACGTGATGTTAAATTGAATTACAAATTGCTCATTATTTGTAAAGGTATCTTGTTTGACAAATATTTCGTGATATTATGAACAATCGTATATAATAGGATTGTGAAGAGGCACGCATTGTAAACACAGTGGTAAGTGAGTTGGGTTAGCACACACGTCTTACACGCATATAAAGCAAGACTTACCTGTTGCGCTTTCTTCATTCGTATTGCACTCCGGTTGTCTCTAGCGCGCTGGAGGTAAGGTGCCTTTTGTTCAGAGGGCAGAGCGCGCCATTTTTTAAGTATCTGCTTGCATCGGTCAACCCAGTTAGGAAACTCGGTTTTCCATTCAGGATGATTAGTGTTTGCGTAGAGAACCGCGGAAATTGTAGCTGCAGACCCTAAGCCTAAAGAAGAAAAAAAAATTTGCAAATCTCAAATGTGTTTTCTTAGGGCATCTAAGCGCTCACGTCAATTTTTTTAAGTATTTTAAATACACAAGTTTTCACAAATAAACTTATTACTATTACCTCTAATATTCCGTTAATTTTATGCCAAACGTCTATAAACGAACTTTGAAAAATCCAAAAGTTCAGGACTCATAATGCTCATATGATTGTGAAAAAATGTAGAAAAAAAATTCTTAATCAACAATAGACAATCTTAATATATAGTATCAATTACGTGTCACGTTGTTTGTCCGCGATGGACTCCTAAAGTACTCAACCGATTTTAATCAAATTTGCACACCGTGTGCAGTTTGGTCCAACTTGAGTGTTAAGATAGATTTTTGCCCACAATTTTTTTTGCGAATTTAAGGATTTTTAATAGGACATGTTAAATTGTCGTCGAAAAGGGCAGAACAACGTCTGCCCGGCAAACTAGTATTTTTTTATTTTATGTTATTATTATTGAGTTTCAAATTTGTTCATAATTGTTAATTGAAAAAACTTTTAACAGAATTATCTTAAAACTACCAGAAAAAAAATCTTTAATTTTTAGGTATTTGTACTCATGCATTATCGTATATCGTAAAAACTAGTATTTTTAACTGACTCGTTAATATTTTTATCTCATCAATTTTATTTCGTTTTTAAAAAGTTTTTCATCTACGCATAACCAGTATTTTAATTTTGCATTCACCAAAGTACACCCTTCAGGTCACTCCAAAAAGTCGAAGACGTAAAAGTATAGTTATATATAAATCCCATGTACTTTTAATAAACAATATATTATAATGAAAATCTGTGATTATAAAAATAATATCTTATTTTGACATGTACGAGTATGTATTTGGTTTTTGGAATATTTTGTATTTCTACAGGGTGGGGCAGCATAACTTCCTTATTTGTAATGCGCGCCATTCGGTCAGGTGACATCGTAGTGGAGCGCTAGTGGTCTCGTTCGAGAGGGGGGGCTATAAAGTTTAGTCGAGACAGCTCAGTCGCCATAATGCGTTGGAACAGTGAGGAGCGTGCGTTTGCTGTTGAGGCTTACTTTTCGCGCGGATGTTCTGTGATTGCAACTCAGCGCGCCTTTCGAAATCGCTTTAATTTAGCCCCGTTGGCCCCTGTTCCAGACCGAAAATCAATTGTTATGTGGGTCACTACGTTTAGACAAACTGCAAGTGTGACAAAACGAAGAACTGGAGTCCCTCGGCCCATTAGATCACCTGAGAACATTGAGGCAGTCAGAGCTTCAATGTTGCGATCACCACGGCGTTCTGCGCGCAAACATGCATCTGCCCTTGGACTTTCCAGTCGTTCTGTGCGGAGAATTCTCCATGAAGACTTACATTTCCATCCATACAAGATGGCGACTGTACAGGAACTGTCAAAACGTGACTACGATTCTCGCAGGAACGCATGTGAGATTCTTCTGGATGTCGTTCCTGAGGACGCTATTGTTTTTTTTAGTGATGAAGCACATTTTCACTTGTGTGGATCCGTGAACAAACAAAACATGCGCTACTGGGCTGACACCAATCCTCGAGAATTGCATGAAAGGCCTTTGCATTCACCTAAGGTCACAGTGTGGTGTGCAATTTCCTCAGCTGCAATTATTGGTCCCTGGTTCTTTGAGGAAAATGAAGTCACAGTAACAGTGAATTCGGGCCGGTATGTAAACATGTTACAGGAATTCTTTTTACCCCGGCTGAATGCGTTGGACTTGGGAGACATTTGGTTCCAACAAGACGGTGCAACGGCACACACTGCAAGAGCATCGATGGCTGTTTTGAGAGAACACTTCCCAGAACGCCTTATCTCAATCAGGGGCGATTTGCAGTGGCCGGCCCGATCTCCCGATTTGTCCCCTTGTGACTTTTTTCTATGGGGTTTTTTGAAATCCCGTGTTTATGTGAACCGTCCAAGGACCCTACAAGATTTAAAGAACAACATCCAGGAAGAAATTGCCAACATAACGCCTGCTCTGCTTCAAAGAGTTATGACAAACACCAGAAATCGGTATACTCAATGTATAGAGAATAAGGGACGTCATCTACCTGATTTGATCTTCAAAACTAAATAAAACAAAACTTTAAGTATGTACTTACATTGTAAAAACCAAATAAAATTTTTCCGATTCATACAATGTGTTTTATTAGGTTTTAAAAAAAGGAAGTTATGCTGCCCCACCCTGTACAGCGATCGCGCCGCTGTAAACAAACGATACTGTAACCCACTCAACGACAGCGGCCAAGCCCGCAGTTAGTCAAAGTGGATATGTATTAAGTTAAATATTTTATTACAAAGCTGCTGGAACACCCAAAATTTCGGAACTTCTCAGCCGAAAAAAGTACTTATAACTAAACAAAATGAAATTAAACAGCCATTTACATTCCACGGCTTCCCACGTGATAGATGAAGAGATTAAAAATTAGATTGAGTTAAACAATAGATATTTTCAAAAGTCATCGTGTTTACCTCGCCATGCAGGCTTGATAAAATGACACCTTAAGCCAATAAAAACACTTACGTACAAATAGCAATAAATCGATTTAAAAAAATATAATAAGTTCAACAGTAATTTATCTTTCTAACAATGTGCTTTTTATATACATGCAGCAATATCGGTTTTATTATAATTTTGAATACTCATTTTATATTAAAGTTTTTTTTATTCTATCTTTGGGTTTAAATGCTATCAAGACATGAATAACTATTTTTAAATATTGTATATCCGTTTGCCTGTCTCTCTGCCCGCGCTAATCTTAGGAATGGCTAAACCAATAATTGAGGTAAAGAAACTTCATAAACAGATAGATAACAACGTCATAATGGTTTAGGCTAGACTTAAAGTAGTTTTTCGATATTATGACTACTTGCTATAATTTAGAATACTTTCACAAATAATAATTATAGATCTACAGGATTTTTTATTTCCTCAAGTCACGGGTAAAAGGTCGCTTTAAATAAAACGGTCGGTGCGCCCGAGTCGAACTGCGACAACAGCTTGCTTGCTGCAGCGATGTACTATAAGAGGGCGCGGGGGAGGGACACTCACTCTCGTCGGCGCGCATCTTGTCGGCGCTACGCTGATTGTAGGAGGGCGGCGGCGCGGCCGCCTGCTCGCCCCAGCCGCCCGACCCGCACTCCGAGAACAGCCGCACTATAAGAGGGCGCTGGGGAGGGACACTCACTCTCGTCGGCGCGCATCTTGTCGGCGCTGCGCTGATTGTAGGAGGGCGGCGGCGCGGCCGCCTGCTCGCCCCAGCCGCCCGACCCGCACTCCGAGAACAGCCGCACTATAAGAGGGCGCTGGGGAGGGACACTCACTCTCGTCGGCGCGCATCTTGTCGGCGCTGCGCTGATTGTAGGAGGGCGGCGGCGCGGCCGCCTGCTCGCCCCAGCCGCCCGACCCGCACTCCGAGAACAGCCGCACTATAAGAGGGCGCTGGGGAGGGACACTCACTCTCGTCGGCGCGCATCTTGTCGGCGCTGCGCTGATTGTAGGAGGGCGGCGGCGCGGCCGCCTGCTCGCCCCAGCCGCCCGACCCGCACCCCGAGAACAGCCGCACTATAAGAGGGCGCTGGGGAGGGACACTCACTCTCGTCGGCGCGCATCTTGTCGGCGCTGCGCTGATTGTAGGAGGGCGGCGGCGCGGCCGCCTGCTCGCCCCAGCCGCCCGACCCGCACTCCGAGAACAGCCGCACTATAAGAGGGCGCGGGGGGAGGGACACTCACTCTCGTCGGCGCGCATCTTGTCGGCGCTGCGCTGATTGTAGGAGGGCGGCGGCGCGGCCGCCTGCTCGCCCCAGCCGCCCGACCCGCACTCCGAGAACAGCCGCACTATAAGAGGGCGCTGGGGAGGGACACTCACTCTCGTCGGCGCGCATCTTGTCGGCGCTGCGCTGATTGTAGGAGGGCGGCGGCGCGGCCGCCTGCTCGCCCCAGCCGCCCGACCCGCACTCCGAGAACAGCCGCACTATAAGAGGGCGCGGGGGAGGGACACTCACTCTCGTCGGCGCGCATCTTGTCGGCGCTGCGCTGATTGTAGGAGGGCGGCGGCGCGGCCGCCTGCTCGCCCCAGCCGCCCGACCCGCACTCCGAGAACAGCCGCACTATAAGAGGGCGCGGTGGGGGGGACACTCACTCTCGTCGGCGCGCATCTTGTCGGCGCTGCGCTGATTGTAGGAGGGCGGCGGCGCGGCGGCCTGCTCGCCCCAGCCGCCCGACCCGCACTCCGAGAACAGCCGCACTATAAGAGGGCGCTGGGGAGGGACACTCACTCTCGTCGGCGCGCATCTTGTCGGCGCTGCGCTGATTGTAGGAGGGCGGCGGCGCGGCCGCCTGCTCGCCCCAGCCGCCCGACCCGCACTCCGAGAACAGCCGCACTATAAGAGGGCGCGGGGGAGGGACACTCACTCTCGTCGGCGCGCATCTTGTCGGCGCTGCGCTGATTGTAGGAGGGCGGCGGCGCGGCCGCCTGCTCGCCCCAGCCGCCCGACCCGCACTCCGAGAACAGCCGCACTATAAGAGGGCGCGGGGGAGGGACACTCACTCTCGTCGGCGCTGCGCTGATTGTAGGAGGGCGGCGGCGCGCCGGCCTGCTCGCCCCAGCCGCCCGACCCGCACTCCGAGAACAGCCGCACTATAAGAGGGCGCGGGGGAGGGACACTCACTCTCGTCGGCGCGCATCTTGTCGGCGCTGCGCTGGTTGTAGGAGCGGCGGCGCGGCCGCCTGCTCGCCCCAGCCACCCGACCCGCACTCCGAGAACAGCCGCACTATAAGAGGGCGCGGGGGAGGGACACTCACTCTCGTCGGCGCGCATCTTGTCGGCGCTGCGCTGGTTGTAGGAGGGCGGCGGCGCGGCCGCCTGCTCGCCCCAGCCGCCCGACCCGCACTCCGAGAAAAGCGGACTCAGCGCACTGTTGCTACTGCGAACAAAACTCACAATGAGGACTCAGTTCATTTTATTTATTACAATGTCATTCATATTGAAATGTTACGTTTCAAATATATTTTTGTCGATTTTTAGTGTATGTATATAACACAAAAAAATTCCTCAGTACTGTGTTATTTAATTTTTTTACACATTTAAACTTTTTTTAATTATTCTTCTTTTAGGAATACCCATAGTTTGGTTTATCCATCGTTAATGTAAATAATATAAACTTGTATTTCAGAAAGAAACATTAATCTCGACTTTTTTCTGACAAATCTACTTCCCCCACTCCATAAATATTTCCCCTCAATCCAAAGTGGCGCCGTCCTGGTGGCAAAAAAACGTGGATGCCCTCTGTTCGGGAATTGTACGAATATTCAATAATAGTATTTAAAACTTATGTTAAAACCGTTTATTACACGAGTGAAAATATAAGATTAAAATATGTTAAATGTTAATGTTATTATGTTAAACGTTATGTTAATGAGTTTGCGTCCGTCGCGTTTGAGATGAATACGTGAACTAAAACAATTTTTGTTAATTGTCAAACTATAGCGATCATTCACATAAAATATTAAAGCTAACAGAAATGTATGAGTGGACCGTACACCTTCATTACAGATGTAGTCGAAAATTTGACACCTTTGCAACAGACAGTGATATAAAATCTGTTCCTTAGGTACCAACAGTACACTGCATCAATAATAAACTTGCTTCTAATAAAAACAAGAACCTCCTCCAATATAAGTTTAAAAAGTTTAGTACAGCTTTGCCTGACTCATCATCATCATTATTACAGCCCATCACAAGTCCACTTCTCAACATGAGCCTACCCAAGGAATACCACAAAACACGGTTCCAACCTGCATACCCGACTTCCTGCATCTCCAACATCATCAATCCACCTTATAAGGGGCTCCGTACACCTAGTAATACTTGGCTGCCACTCTTAAAACTTTCTCATTTGTTGTGGATTCTTCAAGTCATATGGTCAGCTCATTGCCGCCAATTTAGTGATTCATTGAGCTATGTTGGTTACTCTGATCCTACTGTGTAGATTCTTATTACAAAGTCTATCATGTAGAAAAATCAGCGACCAACAATAAAGGGTGTTTAGATCCATAATGTCATTACTAGCAACACACACTTGTTGTACACTCTTGTATTCAAGTTTTGAGTTATATAAGGTTGGGGAAAAGCTTTCGTCGTGTTTATATACAAATTGAAGACAATTTTTTAAAAAATTAATGAGATTTAATTATAATATATACTTATGTGCCATTTTATTCGATAATTTGTTGCCATCTTGCAGGTAGTGAATAATCCCGTTGCTGTAGAAATCTTTGGACCTCTCTTGATGTTAACACTACCTAAAGAATTTTGAAGAGACATAAACAATTGAAAATCTAAAGGTTGCAAGGTCCGGATTATATGGTGGATGCATTAACACTCCCCAACCAAGCTCCCAATTTTTCTGAGGAACAAAGATGTGTGGTCAGGCGTTATCATGATAAATGATCACTCATTTTCTGTTGATCAATTCCGGCCATTTTTTCTCAATTTCTTCCATGAGTTTCATTAGTTGTTAACAGTAGAGATCCCAATCGATGGTTTTGCTGCCCGGCGGTAAAAGCTCATAATAAACAATGCCCTTCCAATCCCACCATAGACACAACATCACCTCAATGCATGTTAATCCTGTGTTGTTGTTGTTGTTAATGTTTTACTACAGTCTGTGGAGTTTGACTACCCTTTGACCATGACCTTTTTCGCACGTTCTTGTCGTAGGTGATCCCCTTTTCATCATCAGTGATCAATCTTTTCAAAAATGGTTCAGTTTTATTAAATTTCAATAGAAAATCGCAAATGAGTACACGATTCATTAGGTTTATTTCATTGAGCTCGTGTGGTACCCAAATATCGAACTTTTTTGTATAGCCAGACTTTTTCAAATGGGTCAAAACTGTTTTGTGGTCAAAACTCAATTCTTCGGCTATGTCCGTATGTATATCGATCTTGCTCCACTTTTTCAAAAATGGCATCGACTTTATCCGTATGAGGGCTACCAGAGCGAGCGGCATCTTTGACATCAAAATTCCCAGACTGTAAACGCTTGAACCAACTTTGTGCCACTCTTACTGACATTGCATTACTGGACTGGAGTTGCATTATTCCCTTTTTATATAATAAAACTTCAGAATGTATAGAATTTCTTCGTTAGATTCACTCATTATGGACAGTAATACAATTGAAAAATGGCGGGAAGGCGTATTTTACATTTCACTTTTCTTTTTCTTAATGTCCTATATCCTATATTTATTGATATTAAAACCAGTCAGATAGAAACATCTTCCAATGCAGCAGTAAATAATTTCGAGTACATAATGTTACTCTGTTTTACGTCTCTTTGGAATAGGATAGGTTTCGTACTATGGTTCTGTTCTGTACCAACTCAAATAGCCATCGTAGTTACTGTACACTTTGAACTTTTTAACAAAAGAAAAACGAACGAAATCATAATGGGAAGTTGATAGAAAGGACAAACCAAATCACACACGCCCACCCACCGCTTTTTAAAACACACCTCACACTGTCGCAATGCACCAGAGTGGTATTATCTTTTTACAACATGATTACAAAACAAACATTTCTCAACTACCCTTAATCAAAATATTCTTCCCTTAAACTTTTCTATAAGCCTTCAAGTATGATAAAATACTTTACCTGCTACCAAATTCGGTGTGGTATGGTGATGCATAATCCATAGGGCTCTGCAACTGTTGCCTTTGCTGGGAGTACGGCGTGCTTGCCATAGAGTTCACATAGGATACAGATGATTCTTGAGACTCCTACGACAATGTACATTTTGTAATCTTAATAATATCAATAATAATAAGCTTACCACCAATGAATAAAAGCAAACTGCACTTAGGTAATTTAATGCATACCTATGTTTGAATATTTATTTCTAGTAGGTTGTTTTAAAGCACAAGAAAAGTAATAAAAACAGCCTTACCTGAGAATCATCAGTGAGCACGCCTTTAAATATCTCATCAACATCATTGCCATCCATATCAGGCAGCGTATCCCTTACCATCGCATCCAGGTTTACTCCCAGTAGTGATAAGTCGTCTTTGGGTGAAATTGTTGATCCTTGAGATGATCCACCTGTTTCTGAAAATATAGTAAAAAAAGTTAAGAATTAAATTACCAGATAAAACTTGAATTATAGTTTTCATTTATTAATAACGTATTATGCTTTGGTTCACAAGGACCTTAGAATCCATTTAAGCCACTTTAAAATTTTCTTCTTATTAGCGTTAGTCTATAAGATCAGGACCATGAAATACGGTGTTGTATATATATTATATATTGAATAAGGTGTCGTATGTGTGACTTTGTGTATGAGGTACTTTTGCAATAAGTCAAGCATTGTCATTGAATACGTAAAAATTTTATTTATTTAAAAATAACTATGAGTACATTGAGTGCAGCAACAGCCGAATGTATCGCTGACTTATACATTATGCATTTCATGTATGGGGGCGTTAAAGTACTACGTAACGCAATTTGGGGGAGGGGGAGGTCTTGTAAAACGTTACGATGCGTTACAGGGGCGGGAGGTGGTTCGAACAACGCGTTACGTAACACTGTTTTTTTCATTCAAATAAAAAAACTAGGTAATTCAAGTGTCCCAAGTTGGCAACCCTTTTCGTTTATGTTTCGTGGGGAATCTCTCTCGATTGTATTGTAAGTCATTTTTATTTTGTTCTCTTAAGTTAGCAACCCTTTTCGTTTATGTTTTACGGGGAATGCCTCGACTGTACTGTAAGTCATTTTTATTTTGTTGTCCTTGTCAGTATTCGTTAGTGTTTATGTATAAATACATTGCAAAATATAGAAAGTCCGATGATAGCTTGCAGGATCCAGCAGAACCTAATCTGGCGTGGTACAGCGCTCACGTTCGTGAATTGCAATATTTCTTGTAAGTGATGAAATGTGCAGACGAATTCTGTTGTTTCCGTTCGAGGAGTGCATTGAAATCTGTAATTCCGGATATTTTCTAGCCGCCACCCTACGCAGTTATTCAAACCCCAAGCAAAATCATGGTATCTAGTCAGCTAGACAAAGTATCATGCAAGTTCTCACCACTTGTTGTGAGGTTTGCCGTTGATCTGTCGCCTCCTCTAGAAAGTTTTAAGCAGATGCCTTACGAGTTATTTTGCCCATCAGTATAATCCCACATCTAGAACAGAATATATCCAACCCGTGGGGGATCTACAATTTCATATCGCATAACAGTGTACAAATGCACAGTCGGTAAGTGCATGGCAAGACTGCCTAAGAACGTCGTAAAATTAGAGTACGCCCACAGAGTCTTGCTGCCCGTACGGCAAATGAGCTGCATTGTGCACCGCTTTAAAATATTGGGTTGGCTATAGACATCCGGTACTTGATTTTGATAATGTTTTTAGTCTAGAAGGCTTGTTAGGGTTAAGCTTGAACCTATTACACCTTTTTTTAGATGTCGGAAATGCGTTTTGAATTAATTACGATAAAAATAAATTTCACAAAAAATTGTGTAATAATGAAACGCAAATATTTCAATTTGTTCTCGTATTATGAAGTAGATGTCCGGTGCTTGATTTTTTAATTTTGTTTTCAATTTAGGAGGATTGTCAGGGTTAAGCTCGAAGCTACACTGTTTTTGGATTTCGAAAATGCCTTTTGAATTAATTACGATAAAAATCAATTTCACTAAAAATTGCATATAACGAAATGCAAACAAGTCAATTTGTTTTTTTAACACAGATACACTCATAAAAAAGTTAATCACTCGGACCCAGACAATCCAATTGTGGCTCGAGACTGTGGCTTATATACAACAAATTGAGTCGCAGTGGAGAGCAGTCAAGAGGTTTTTCAGAAAACAAAATTATAACAATTCACATTACATTATTTCATTTACCACCATCATAGCAGAGTTTAGGGCCACCAGACTTTATAGATAAGATTGGTCGAATTGGTTCTAATACCGAAAAAAATCAAATCAAAATAAAACCGAAAAGATCAAAAAATCTTCAAAAATTGCGTTACGTAATACTTGTACGCCCTATGTTAAAAATACATCTTACTTATTGCTAAAACGTACCTATATATAGGATTAATTATAAGCATCCCTTGCTACAGCATATCAGTATTGTGCTGGTATTGCGTAGTTATTGATTGTTTATTGGAACCTTTAGAGTTTCTATTTCAATGCAGTGACATTTTACTAACTTACCGCTGCTAACAGTTTCAGTTTTCGTGCTGTGTACTGTAGGTATATTTTCTGGTGTAGCAGTCGAAGATTGTTCAGATTCGTTTGTTTGTGGACCAAGAATTGCATTTTTCAGTGCTGTAGAATCTTCAGTGTGTTTTAAATGCCCATCTTCAGGATTTTCAAGTTTAATTTTTACAGTACCATCAGGGTTCAAGCTAGTAGATGAATCATCCTTTTCTTCTTTTGGTTTTAAGGAATTCAGGAGCTCTATTTCTTCCTGTAATATAGAAATATATGAAGTACAACACAGAAAGGGGTGTATAAACCACTTTGTTTTGTTTCTCCATTCAGGGAACCAAGTCACGAAGATTTTTACGTGATTATGAAACCGATATATAAGAATACCCATAATTTAGGGATATTTTTCTGTATCGGTACTATTCATTTATGGAAAATATGTTAGTATAACAGTGTAAATAAGTACTCAGTTTCACCAAAATAAAAAACTTACTAAAGTAAGTTAGCCTTTGTATGTATCCCATTGCTAGCAATATTTATATTTACAGATTTCTTTTAAAGACGTATTCACCGTGCTGCCTAATGCGTGTTAGAGGCTTCACGTGTCTTCGAAATCGTATTTTTATTTCTCATTCGTGACGGTTTATTTACGACGCTTTCCTTCACCGCCCAGAACGCGGTAAACGTGGTGGAACGTGACTGCCGAGTATCAACTGACATGGTCCGGCGTCCGACAGGCAGGCTGTGTTCCTAGGCTGTGCTGTGCCGACTATTTCTTACGATCCTACAAACCGAGCCAAAACTCATGTGACGAACGACATACTTTTAGGGCGTATCATAGAATACTATAATTACATACATAATAGAACGGGGGAGTGGGCGCAGCCCGTGTAGCCACTAAAATGTCACTAACACGTCAATTCACACGAATAAATGTCAACACGAGATGTGTTTTGATGTTACAATCGTTTCCAAATTTCGCATGCAAATTGCACGCTACTTACAGATAAATATGTATTAAAATCCGTCTGTCAACACAGCGAATCGGGTTTGTAGTAGTTATTAACTGATAATACGACGTAATTTTTTGTATGTGTGCTCCCGGCGACACCTATCCTCGTACAAAATGAGGTTGACAGCCATTCTATTGTGTATTATAGTATTCTATGGGGCGTATAGTCTAACTAACCTATAAAATATACGTCTCGTGGGTGTCATAAGAGACGACAGTGGGTACAAATCAGGAGATGGGCAGAACCTTTTTTTAATATAAACTTGTTGTAATGGTAACATAGACCTACACAATTATTTTAGTCACTGCAGTGCATTGCCAGACAGAAGCTCAGTGGTTTTTAAGATTTTTATAGAACGACAAGATACTTTATGGTAATATTTGATCAATTAATATTTACACTGCTGTGCAACTACTTATTTTTGTAAGCGTGAAAATGTCTCGACAACTTAAATCAAGAAAATATGCAGCTAAAAGCGCTCATAAAATGAAAAGTATTTTAGACACCTAAATTTAATCTTTCTCTCATCCAAACCATTCCTGTGTTAATATTTACAACAATTGTTTACGGTTTGTTAGTTGTTACGGTTTACGATAAAAACATAAAAAATATCTATAGATAGTAACATAATTTTTTAAGTTTCTCTTTTTAATTACCGGAGTCTTTCATGCGCCGGTGGAAAACAAAACAAAAATACCAAAATAGGTTCCAAGTAAATCCATATTGAGTATCTTTGGTTTTGAGAATAATCACGTATATTCACTGTGTGGCACTCGCTTAGTAGTATTTTTTCAAAATCTATTTACATACAATCGTACAATTGTGCGCTTACATCCCTAGTTACCTATTAAATGTAAAATAAATACTTTTATAGCAGACAACTAGGCGGTATAGTTGTAGTTTTATTACGGCATGCTATATCAACAGCATGAACGCTATTCTCTACACTATCTTCTTCGGATGTGTAACGTGTTTGAAAAGCCCAATCACCTAAAATCCTTGACGAGTTTTAACGCCTTAACCAATGAAAATATTTTTAGACTAGAATAGAATCATTTTCTTCAATACAAGAATAGAAAGTCATCATATAGAAAAAAAAAAACCTTTGCCGTAGGAAAAACTAGCAAGAAACTCAGCGGGACTTTAAATTAAATTAAGTTACAATACTTATAATAACTTATCCGAATTTCGTGTCACCAACCGTATTCAGAGAAATAACAAAGGATGTGTCGTGGTCATTGAAAGTAGTCAAAGCACCGAGTACATCCTCGCCTTCACTGTCCGAATTCTCAAAATCAAGCTTGAAGTCACGCAGCTCTCGGTAGCCCTCTGGTGTAGTAGCACGCACTGATCCACCGGGACTTTCCGAAGGATTATTGCCTATAATAAACAATCATTTCAAATTGATACCTAAATAAATACTAAACTATATAATATTACATTTAATTTTTTATCGCTATCACAAATTATACTAATTGAAACAATATTTTTTTTTTTTTTTTTTATTTTTTTTTTTATAAAAAAGAATATTAATAATGCTATAAATTACTAAACCCTAACCACTCTTAAGCTTTCTTTAACAGACCTTTTGCCAAGGCTACTGTCGCTTATATATGAATCTAAAATTTCGAATACTTTTTTGAGATAAGGCAATGTGAAGAAAAAATAGACTTATTATTAAAAACTAATTATAAAGGAACTTACCAGTAGAACTAACAGCCGGCTTGACGGGCTCTAGTAATTCTTTTCCGAAAAACGCTTCTTGCATGTAAGATGGAAACTGTTCCATCAACTTCGAACGAGGTTTGCGACGTGGCTTTCTCTTATTACTCGGTGATTCTAGATAATAATAAAGAAATTTTGAGCATATTCCATCAAGTTATTATTCTAATATCTTGAAAAAAAGGGAGGAAAGGTTAGCTTAGCTTACCTCCAGACGCCTGAGTCCCGTCTCCATCCTTCTCCTCGTCGGCTTGTGCTTTTATGGTTGTCTGTCTCTGACGAACTACAAAGCCGCCTATACCAAGTTTGTTAAGGTTTCTCTGCCGTTTTCTGCGTAAAACCGTGAGTCCGGATTCTATAGTATATACCGTGAAACCTTCGGGTGGCGGACCGTCGTTTGCCACATTCCAAAGCGTGCCCTCTTTGTGATTTGTGTTTGATGACACACCTGGGATAAAATATATCAATATTTACCTAAACTTAGCTACATTTATAATTGTTTGTAAAAATATTTTAAACTCATATCAATTGACGCCTGACAAATGATAAATTCCTAATTTTGTTTTATAGATTTTATTATTTAGAAGTGAAGAAAGTAATGTTATATGCCTAGAGTAGTATATTAACAACAAACTACAGCGGTTGGCTTTACCAATTAGTTCAGTTTTGATTATATCTACAGAGATTTTTAAACAAACCAAAAAACTAAGTGTGCCACACACCAAATAAAAGAACAAAAAGAACATTGCTTATTATCTGTCAAATGTAACTTAGCTGAGCATAACATGCCACAAGGCGTGCTCAAAAGCCCTCTTAACACTTGGCATAAATGAGCCTTGGGCGTCCTTGTAAACACATGTGGACTGTAATCAGGGAATATTCTGGCTGGCAAAGTATAGAAGCAACGCCACATGTCATGGCGTTACATGTTTACGAGAGGAGGTGGAAGCTGCTGATGTCATTAGAAATTACAACAGTATCGGGTTTTATCAGCTTCTTGACGAAGGTCAGATGATAATCGCCTCAGTGTGTTCTTTACTGCATGAGAAATTAAAAAATGGATTAAATGATTGGACAAAGATAAAATAGCTAAAGGTTTTTAAAACAGTCAATTCTCTGGACTATGACTGTTTTGGGTAATTGAAGAGATTGTTGTGAGGAAACACTTCATATGTGAATACAACTAGTTTGTGTACAGAAGAACATTATTGAAGTCTCATTAACTGTAATCAAATCTATGTTTTGAGACTAAGTAAGCTTCTAGATGTTGTCAGCAAATAAACGACAGCAAAGGAAATTATGCATAAGTTTCTTCTACTTCTTCCTGGCCTTGACCCTTTATTTAGGGTTGGTTCGGATTTTGCATAAATTTATAACTATGTAATAAAGGATCTTTTACTACTACTATTACGTCAACAGCACATCATAAGTCCACTGCTTAATATAGGCCTCCCTATGAAGTGCCATAGAGGATCTAAGAAATATTATTTAAAACTATTGTTACAAAATAAAAGATTAATTTATTATATTTAAATATTTATGTTAATGGAATATTTATTATTATTATTTATGTATAAAGTATAATTATAACATTTATAATAAAATATCTCCGAATACGGTATTCATGAAAAAACACTCCTAGACATATTTTAAATAAAAAGATACTAATCAAATTAACAATATTTTGGCACATGACTAAGTTTAGAATAATAAAAGAAAGAAAATAAATTAGAGACACTAACGTAAATAATATCTTATATATTCAATACATTTAAGACCAGATATAAATTAACATTTAGGTAGAGAAAGGATAATGAGAATATTGTAAATATATCAAATTATCAACTCTTGTTTTTGGGTTTCGCTAAGTATGTCCAAGAGATTATATTTAAATAAAAATATAAACGCACACATACATACCAGGTTCATCTTTCACTTCAGCGGTGCTGTCTGGCTTGGAATCCTCAGCCAGCTCGTTGTCAGCATTCTGAACCACTGTTTCAATAGATGCCATTATTTCTAGTCCATAAAGCCAGCGACCAACACAGAAAAATTTAAGTTAGACTCAGCTTATGTTTTAACTGTATTGTTTAAGTTATGAGATGATATGATCGGAAATATGTTATTATGAATATGAATATGATGAAATATTTATTTTTTAGTTTCAGTATTTATTAGGAAATATATGGGAGTAAATAGTTATAAATAAGTAAGTCGTTGCATACATAATTGAGAAGGCTTCTAAATGTTTAATTATTTTTATAAATTTAGCTTATATTATTTTTATAAACGAAGAGCATTTAGGGTCAATCACATGCATCTCGAAAGGCATAACAATGAACAGGAGAGGGGCAGGCACTCAAAAATTATTTTCCTTAATGTATTCAATTAATTGAAGAGTAACTTTTTTTAATAAGTATATTTTTTAAAGAGCTTATGAATTTACTTATATTTGTTTCGGCTTTTAAGTATTGTGACAATTTATTATACATTTTTATTGACATAGAGAGGACCAGATTCAGATTTTGTTAGCAAAAGGTTATCATTATACCCAAGTATTTAACGCCGGAGCGCGTCTATGATTTTGGTGTAATAATATGGGTGCTTTCTTACAAATTTACACACATTTCTAATATTATTTATAAGCACGGTAATGATAGAATATTCAGGTTTTGAAAGTGAGGCTTGCACCTTTCTCTTTGTTTGATTCTACACTGTTACCCCCCAGTATGACGCTACGGTTAAACTACGGTTTAGCCACACTTGCGCCGTAAGCGTGGTAGGCTGTCACTGCCGTTTTTAAATTTATAGATTTTTTTAGTTCTTTTAAAGCATATATAAATTGTGATAATTTTTACGTACTTTTTTTTAAATATTATATAATATTTAAACTTAAATCCGTGAGCAGTTTGTGTGGTACTGTGATTTTGATAAGCTAATTTATGAATAAGCAGGCCGTTACTGTTACTGTGTGGTGGTCGACGTAAGATTATCTAAATCTGATTTCGTTCTGAGGATTTCGCAACAGGCGACGTAAATAAAAAATATATTTTTAAAAAACTCTATTTATACTTTGATAAGGGTGTGATCAAATGGAAATAGGCTTGAAAACTGACAAGTTAGCAATAAATGTTACAATGCGATCCAAACATAATGGCGGCTGTGAAGTTGCGCAAGTGCAAGGCGCTCTGCAATAGCAAATTTTGGTGCCCACGTTCACGTGTTTTTGCTTAAGTATAGTCGCGTTCATATTTATTGCTACAAACCAGATTTAATATAATTTCAGTTTCCCATATATTATACATGATATATTTTTTTCTTTTATTCTTTACTTTATAATGCCGCATTTGCAGCGAATTTCATAGCCGCCATTAAGTTTGAATGTTGTTATATACTATAAATAACAGTGACAATACTTTCTAAAGAATTAAGTAAAATTAAAGCTTATATACGTTTGACGACTGAGTACAGGCCTCCTTCATTTCTGAGTTTGCAAACTTTGCAAGTTTTTTATTCTTTTTTTTATTTCTCAGTAGTGCAGATTTCCGCTATAATGTTTTCGTACACCGCTTAGTATGTCTTAACTAGAGATAAAACGGATATCCGGTAACTATCCGGTATTCGGCCTAAAATTACCATCCGGCCAGATAGGGTTTTTATTGATCTTTTGACTTAGCGACCTGACCCGCGTTAAAGAACATATAGCTGATGTGAAGAATCGACGCTCCGGGAAGTCTGCAGTCTGTGAACACGTACAGGATCGCCCCCGTCACTACATCAGATTTGATAGACCGCAGATCCTCGCTAAAGAACACCGATTCCTTCCAAGGATGATTCGCGAGGCTATTGAAATCAAAAAACATCCTAATTTCAATAGAGAAGATGGCTGGGTGCTACCATCTGCTTGGGATCCTATAATAAATAAAATTAAATCCCAACCCAAGCATACAACTGCAAGACTTCAAGATACCATAAGTTCATACTGCATAGATCGGAACAAAAGTTAAATTTTAATCTATGGTAACCGCGGTTAACTATGACAGATGGACGTTGAACATCTCAGTCCTGCCTGTGACCATGAGTGCTGTAAAGCGTTCGAAACGTCGGGTATTTAAAAAGTTAAAATATACGCGATAAATTCCGTAAAAACTAGTATTATTTCAATGTGTAGTGTTCGCGTAAATATAAGAAATCATTAGGTGATGTCATATCGCTTTGGACGCTTAGTTAACTTCGAGCTGTAAATTTATTGTGTTGTAATTTGAGTATCACAAGAAGAAAGTTTTTGATAAATAGCTAATGTTATTCATAATATATCGTAATATTATTTTCATTATAGTTTTGCTACCACGAACTTGTTTTACAGTATTTAAATTAGACCATGTGCCTAGCCAAACAAAACAGTTGCAAAAATCGTTTTAGAGAATCGTATAAGAAATATTTCTGCTAAAATGTTTCTCCTAATGGGAGAAATTATCATGAACTATTGTTATACCTTATAAAAAGATATACACAGTGCTTAAAATAAATCTAAAACAAAATTATAAGAGGATGTCTCGAATAACCGTGATACGGTGGCGGGACGCCCCGAATTCTGATTTCATAATGGCGGCGAAATATAAATTTACAAATGAACATAGAAGTCGTGGAGACTCTATATATATATATATATATATATATATATATATATATATATATATATATATATAAAATATGTATCTCAATCGAATTTTTTATAAAGCTAATTGTTTATTAATTGAGGTATGGAAATTATATATATATATTTATTATTATATTATATATATATATATATATATATATATATATATCTACTTAGTGTTTTAAATTGTTTTCAGATTTAGCTATATAGCAGGATAAGACATATAGTGTGACAGTATTTCAATATGTCGTAAGTACTTCACTGTGATATTTTAACAAGTTGTACTTGCGTTTATAAAGTAAATATATTTGTAATTAAAATTTTACTATGTTTCTCAGGATTTAACAATGCAGAAATAAGGGTTTGTGGAAACGGCCGAGGTGGGGAGAAATTGCGCAGGGTTTGCATTGAATGCCGTAAACGCACCCGCGTTTATTGCCCTAATTGCAACGTGACTTTGTGCCCGTTTACTTGCTTTGCACAACATCACGCCACTAAGTAATAATTTTCAGCTTTTTAACCGACTTCTTATAAGTAGGACGTTCTCAATTCGACCCGCATGTTTTTGTCTTTTTTTATAATTTTTTTCTAATTTTTGTTTTATTATTATTATACAATTTATCCAACTTTGCCATTGTTTCATTTTCGTCAAGTTGACCCATAAAAACCATTTAAAAAAAATTTAAAAATATTTTTCACCATTAACAAATTAAACTAAACATAAAAATGTAAAAATAAAAACACCCATGAATTTAATACATTAATATATGCCTTTACAAATAAATATAAAATATTCGACGAAAGACGACTCTATACATTTTATGTCCTTAATTCTCAGTTTGGTTCGAAATTTCGTCAATGTTTTTAGTTGATTTTAATAACTCTGGCAAATCATTAGAAATATGTGTTTATGTTTATTCATTTCATATTCAGTATAGTTATTGACAAAACAATTCATTTATAAAATTATCAAACAGTTTATTTTTTACAGCCTAATCTTTAGCAGTGGTATTTTTTGTGGATTTTTTTTTGTTTCGTGAGATTATAGAAAATCTCACTACTTAAAATACGCGATGTATTATAAAAGAAACTCGTTAACAAGTTGAGCATAATAGGGGACCACAAAAAATATTTTAAGTGGCTAATCAAGGCCAAAAATGGCTTTGAACTCACATCTGTTGCAAGGATATTATTTTGCTTTCGCAACTTCGCTTTCAAATCTATTTCTTTGACTAATTTTGTGAGAAGAGGATGATTTTACCTATTTATATTAATAAAACCACTAATAAATAACATTATAAGACCTTTTATAATGGTATTAATGATTCATATTGATTTTTAAATGCATTTTTCTACAAATACGTGTACACATTTACACATTTGTGTGATTAGACCGCTTGAAATATTTCAGAATTATATCAGAATTAGTTAATTTTATATACATGATAAAGCAAATTTCATGCAGTTTCTGAATATATATATATTGATTAGTGTTCATAAATGAATTTACGTCGAAATCAGCATTTAAACGCTGACCGCCAACTTAAATTCATACGCTAAATTTGGCCGGGGCGCTTGTCGACTTTATGACGTTTGACGTTTGGGCGCTCGAGAGGTTAAGGGTCACGATCGCGAACAGTTTGCACTGACTTTACTTTTCGCTTCTTGTGTAAACTCTTCAAAATGTGTCTTCGGAGCTAGCGAGGTGTCTTTCTTAGGACACCATATCTCAGAAGCCAGTTCTAAGCCTTTGAACACAAAAGTCGAGGCCATACAAAATTTTCCACCTCCGAAAACCATACGCCAGCTAAGGAGAATCCTGGGCATGGTTAATTTTTACAGGCGCTTTCTACCAAATGCAGCTAGGATTCAGCTGCCGCTGAATGCTTTATTTTCCGGTTCGGTCAAGCCGTCTCAACCAATCGATCTCACCGGGGAAGCATTAGCTTCCTTCAATGAGTGCAAGAACAGCCTTTCCCAACCCAAGCTGCACGACTCGCACACCCTGACTGCAACGCCAAACTTGCTCTGGTAACAGATGCATCAGATTTGGCTATGGGTGCAGTTTTGCAGCAGTTTAAGGATGGCTTTTGGCAACCTCTTGCTTTCTTTTCGCGCAAGCAAGTCCTTCCCAAATGAAGTACTCACCATATGACCGCGAGCTTTTGGCGATATATGAAAGCATAAAATACTTTCGGCACATGCTAGAGGCCAGGCACTTTGTAGCATATACTGACCATAAGCCGCTCAGTTACGCTTTTCATGATAGGAAAGTCAACTGTTCGCCTCGCACCAAGCGGCAATGTTCGGCAGAATATCCGGCTATCCGGTGATAAGACTGGCCGTATACCGGATACGGGATATTCGGCCAGTCTTATCACCGCAAACAGCTATCCGTTTCATCTCTAGTCGTACCTCAGCACTTAAAATTTGTAATTTTAGGTCCCAATTCCCACCCGGATTTGGTACCAGGTTACATGCATATTGTTAAACTTAACATTTATATAATGATTTGATAAGCTGTAGTTAATCAATTAAAAACTACTGTTTACAGACTACTGTCCGAGGTGTCATATTGTTCAATAGTGCAATTGTCCCCACGATAAGTAAAAACGGTAAGGTGGCGTCTCACCGGCATCCTTGTCGGTGTTGTCGTTCTTGAAGCGTCGCTTGCGGCGCGTGTGCGTGATGCCCATGTCGGCCTCAAGCTGCTTCATGTGGTGCGCGCCGCGCTGCGACAGGCACACGTCGTCCACGTAGTACTCGCCCGCCAGCCCCAGCTCCTGCGCGGTGAGGCGCGGCGCGGCACCTGCGCGCGCCCCGGCCCCTGTGCCGCCTAACCCCGCCGCGCCACCCGCACACGCCGCCACCGCTTGCGCCGCCGCCGCCTGCGCTACGTGCGGCGGCGGCACCTCGCGCCCGCGGCACATCACGCACTTGTACCTGCACCACACCTTCCTATTATACAACACTCATAAACAAACACACTCCGCCTATGTTAATTGGATGCTATGACCATCTACATCAAACAATTAAACATCACCCCCTGTTAACCATGTTATTCTAAACAGATTTACTGAAAATTATAATAAAATATTAGAGTACGTAGAAAATAATGTATATCCAATGATTGTAGGTGATTTCAATTTAAGCCAAATAGAATGGAGTGAAATAAATAATACATCCTCTGCCACTCAATCAACACTATGTCAGACACTAATTGATTTTGCTTGTATGAATAACTTTAAACAGTACAATGAAATTCCGAATTGTAAGGGTAAAGTCCTGGATCTAGTGTTTTTGGAGCAATCACATTTATTAGTTCAAGTAGACCGCGCAACTGATGTTTTGTCTGCAATCGATGTGCTGCATCCTCCATTAGAAATACTTTTAAAATCAAAAAAATATTACAACTTAGCACAAAACTATAACTTCACTAGTCGAAATTTTTTTAGGGCTGACTATGAAATGATTAACCGAAAACTGGTGGAAATCGACTGGTCCCAAGTTTTTTTCGGAATAGAAAAGGTAGACATAGTAACAATATTCTACGATAAACTTAATAAAATCATTAAAGAGTATGTTCCAATGGTAAAAAAACGAAACAAAAAATTTCCGAAATGGTTTAGCTCTTGTTTGATCAAGGTATTGCATGAAAAAAAATAAAATAAGACTCAGGTACAAAAAACATAACAATCCGTTAGATAAAATAGAATTCAATATTTGTAGAAAAAGATGTGAAAAACGATCGTTGAATGCCTACAATTCCTATATAAAACACACCGAAGAAATTATAGCTAATAATTCCAAATTCTTTTGGTCCTTTATCAAATCGAAACGTGGCAGTCTGTAACAACTTCTGATGATCAACATATTTGTGATCTTTTTGCATCGCACTTCTCCTCTGTCTACAGTGAACAGTCTTATCAATCTGGTCAACAGTCACAACCGATCACATATTGCAATGATTTTTTCAGTTCCATTAACCTGACAGAAGAAATGATTTACCAAAGCTTGAGCAAGCCGGATGAGCCAAAGGGAGCAGGATATGACGAGATTCCAGCCATTTTTTTGGTTAATTGTGCATCAAATTTAGTCACTCCACTACATTACATATTTAATTTTTCTCTCAAGTCTGGAGTTTTCCCCGAAATCTGGAAGATGTCTAAAGTTGTGCCAGTTTACAAATCTGGCGGTGAAAATATAATAGGAAACTACCGACCAATTTCAATCCTTCCTCAAATGGGTAAAGTCATGGAGTCATTGATTACACCCCTAATTCAAAATTATTTCAAAAAATTTTTAACAGACCAACAACACGGATTTACGCGCGGTAGATCGATTTCGACAAACTTAGTGTGCTTCACCGATAAACTGATTAAGTCTATGGACAAGAATAAACAGATTGATGTTATTTACACGGATTTTAGCAAGGCGTTTGATAAAGTATCTCATTGCCTCTTTCTTCGTAAGCTTTCAGCCTTTGGTGTGCATGATTCCTTATTGAAATGGTTCAGTTCTTACCTAACTCACAGATCTTTTTTCGTTGTAGTTAATGGTTATTCATCTAAAACCCATAAAATATCATCAGGAGTGCCACAAGGCTCGCACCTCGGCCCTGTTTTGTATAACATCTTCTTCAATGATGGCTCTCTTAATCTTAATAATGTTAAATCTTTTTTATATGCTGACGACCTTAAACTTTCTCCTGCAAGCAGACTTGGATAAGTTGACAAGGTGGTGTCACGAAAACAATATGGTACTCAACGCGAAAAAGTGTACACATATAAAATTTACGCGCAAACAAAATATTACAAATTCGTCATACCAAGTCAATGGCATCAAATTACGAGAAGTTGACAGTGTTCGTGATGTGGGCGTGCTGCTAGATAACAAGCTTACATTTATAACACATTTCGACCATATTATAAAAAAAAGCTTCCGGGATTCTCGGTTTCATTATACGCAATACAAAGATTTTCACGACCGTTAAGACCAAGATGATTCTTTATAACAGTTTTGTGCTTATGGAATACTGCAGTGTTGTTTGGAGGACCCATTTCGCAACACATACGTTACGCTTGGAAAGGGTTCATAAAAGGTTTCTATGGCACGTAGCGTTCTCTGTAGATAAAGCTTGATCGCTTAAATCGTACAAAAGTAGGCTTCTTACTTTTAAGTTACTGCCACTGGAAGCAAGAAGTGACATTTCGGATTTGATGTTTCTAAACAAGCTTTTCCATAAGATAGAATGTCCTCCTTTGCTAAATTCCTTTTCCTTCAGAATACCTTCTCGGCTTCCGAGAAAGCCTATTCAGCCTATGAACCCACCAATGCGTAGGACTAAACTTGGTCATTTCTCTCCTGTTCTTAGATTGAGTAGACTTTACAATGAATGCAGCACATTGGTAGATCTTAATTTTGATTCTTCTGAACATTTTCGTAAGCAAATCAGGGACTTTGTCACAAAAAAAAAATCTTCTGTAATTTGTTAAAATATAACTTAAAATAGGTTTAATGATTTTTCTTTCACATAGAGGTAACTTATTATTATTAAACGAGCGATGTGTTCCCCTATAAGTAGTTATGCACTTATCGTAAGACATGTTGGAACTTGTATTATTTTATTGAAATGTTTTGTGTTAAACTGTTGGAGAACCTAATAAATAAATGAAAAAAATACATCATCCTAAAAAAATAGAAATGTATGCGTCTTTTCACTCCTGAGGACTAAGATGAAATGCCTCATTTCCAGTAGGGCCACAGTTCTCTACAGTGACACATGAAACAGCAACATCATTTAGTCATTTATTCTTTTGATAGTAAACTAACGTTCCGACCCATTTTCGATCGGATGATTTTGACAACAGCACCACCTACCGAGTTCAATTGTAAATCTAAACCATTCAGAGACCCGCTCAAACACATAAAGAAGTTAATGAAAATCAGTTCAGCCATTTAAGAGTTTAAACACAAACACACGTACATAAGAATTATGTATATAAAGCAGGTCTTGATTGAAGTTAAGATATGAGGTTACGCTTCCGATTTAAAATATTTGTATCGCAACTTTTTAAAGTAAGACCTGTTTAAAGCGGTTAAAATTCACCGATTCGCCACCGATATACATTTTTCAAAGTATCGTTATACCTTTGTATAATCTTTACATAACCGAAATTTTATTGGTAACAAAAAAATATCTGTTTGTGTAACCAAAAGCATTTGATGTTTTAACAACGACAATTAAGAAATTCTAAGAAACTAACTGAAAACTAAGGTAAATTTGAACAGCAAGAAAAAGAAAACCTATAAGTTAATAATTCGGTAGCAAATAAAATAACACCACTGTTATTTTTCGGTACTGAAAATTTTGTGTATGTTTTTAAGATACGCAATTTAAATATATGACTTCATACCGTTATAATCCATAATTTTTAGGACATGTAAGCCCTGATATAAAAGTATAATTTCAATTAAACATATTAACATTTAAAAAGGAAACCTACCCCGCACGACAGCATATCTCAGCATCATTTTCATTACGTATTGAGTCGCAGGAAGCATGTAGCCATCGGCGACACGTCTCGCATTGAATTATCAGCTCGCCATCCGAGTAAGGTTCCGAGCACACACAACACATCACTAAAGAAGCACAAGGAGCGCATTCTGCAATTAAAAAAATGTTATTATTAGTAAAATAATTGTATCATGCACAATTTTTTTTGTAAATCTTTTTTTGGTAGGAAGCCTCTGTGAAGGTGCATTTGGTATAATCCACCTATTTTCCAAAGACTAGATTAGATTAGGATATTCAACTTAGTTTGTATAGGTAACATTGTGCTTTTTTATTTTTTTTGTAAATCTTTTTTTGGTAGGAAGCCTCTGTGAAGGTGCATTAGGTATAATCCACCTACTAATTTCTGCTGTAACCAATTGAAATATCAAGAACTATTGTAATTACAGATTAGGATATTCAACTTAGTTTGTATAGGTAACATTGTACTTTTTTATTTTATAAGTGATAATAGGTTATTGAAAGGGTTTATTATTAGGTGGATTGCAAGTTCATTTGTTATACTACTGTTATAAGCATAGAATACTATAATACATAACAGAACGACTGTCAACCTTATTTTGTACGAGATTCGGCGACGCCGGGAGCACACATACAAGCAATTACGTCGTATCATCAGTTATCACTACTACAAACACATTTTAGACTTTTGATTAATGTTTTTGACACATCAATATTTCTTTATTCTTGTTTCTAATATTCCCGAAATATAGATAAATAGTTTCGACTTACTGGTTGTAGGATATGTCTCCTTTATTAAATTCCATCTCCCGCTGTTCTTTCGACACGTAATTATTACACAATTTGCAATTTTTTAAATAATTTGCATGCAGCGACGCTTGACACGAAAATTGGAAACGATTGATTGTGTTGACATTCATACGTGTGAATTGACATGTTAGTGGCTACACGGGCTCCGCCCACTCCCTCATTCTATTATGTATGTAATATAGTATTATTCTATGGTTATAAGATACAGAAATTAGAGACTAACGTACTTAGGTAAATCGAACCCATATGAATTCGGGTGTTATGTATTATATCTTTATAGTAAATCGTGTTTTTGCAACTATTATCAGTTGCTTTAAGTAACATTTGACAGAAACGAGAAAATATCTTTTCAATTTTCAAAAGCAATTTTGAAGTTTAACTGAGGTGCGAGCCTCAGCACGTCGCCCAGCTGCGGCCGCGCGCAGTACGTGTGCCGCGCGCAGTACGTGTGCTCGCGAGTACAGCTGGTGGAGTGAGGAGCTGTGCTGTGTGTGTGCTTGTACCTGTGTAGTTGTCGCGCCAGGCGCGCGTGTCGCGCGTGCCGCACACGAGGCAGCGGCGGCAGCGCTCGCAGCGCCAGGCGCCGCGCGGCACGTCGCCCAGCTGCGGCCGCGCGCAGTACGTGTGCCACGCCGTGTCACAGTCGTCGCACAGCACCAGCAGCGCCTCGTCGCCGCGCGTGCCGCAGCCCTCGCACACCGTGCAGTCCAGACAGCGCCAGCCCTGTCGCACGATCACCTGCGACACCTGCGCACCCACATCAACACATTACATACGGCCAACTACCGAGCGACCTACATACACCAACATGGGCCACTGGCGGACCGGACTAGAGTAGCCATAGCGTTTTTTCCCGATACAGAATTGTCTGTCATTTTGAGGTGAGGTATGATATGTGCGCACACAAAAACAATCATATGTCGTTACGAAACTCACACAACAATTAAAACAATATACTAACAATTTTACCCAAACATACAACATACATACATACATTATAACATTATCGCTCACAACAGCGAAAACTCGGATTAGTTGCTCAACCGATCCGTGTATTGTATGATGGCGATCTGTCTGTGTTAGTAAATTAATTATATAAAAGTTAAAAGTTGAAGTTACAGCCTATATATGTCCCACAGCTTGGCACATGCCTCCCTTCATTTCTGAGAGGGTTTTAGGGAAAGGAAATGTCTGCTGTGCTGTGCTGCCCCAATGCGTGTTGGCGAACTTCACATGTTTTCGAACTAATTTTTCTTTTTTTTTTAGACATGCGGCTTGCATCAAAGTTTTTGCTTTTTGTTGCTGGGTGGGTTTTTGTAGGACGTCAATTCAGCCGCGCAATTAGATTTAGTATAGTAAGCAGAGTAGCTGTAACTAGTATTGGTGTACGCATAGAATCAAATGGATTGGTAATTTGATAGAAGCAAACTCCTATGTATTTGATTATATTATATTATACATTGCTTATATTTTTATATTATATATTTTTTATATTATAATATTATACATTGATTATATTTTTATATTATATTATATTTTTATATATTATATTATACATTGATTGATGCAGTGGCACAAAAGCTTATTACTAAAACCATTGCCGATAAGTTTGCAACCAGTTTTGACAGGGCAGTGAAGGTAATTCCTAAGTGTAGTATAAAAATACTGGATTCTAATACATACAACATAAAAATTTACTCAACTTGAACAATATTTCAGAAAGCTTCAGGTTGTAAAATAAATAAAATCATGAGTAAATTAAACCTGAATAAGGCCCAGGGCTAGACAATATTAACAAGCCGATATTAAAATGGTAGGGGAAGACATATCATCAACTATTGCTAACCTAATCTACTGTAATACGAAATATTAATTTTAAAATAGTTTTTATCAAACACTGTATTTTTTTACAATTTATATGGAATTTGAAACATACTATTTTATATTAATTTTATAATCCTTAAATCTAGAATATCAATAGTGAGGAATAATATTTAATTGCAATCATTATTCTGAGTTAATTTCAAAATTCAAACTTGAAACTTAAAGTAACTCCAAAACATTATCCTACACCTTTAAATGAGCAATTGTTGTGTATATATAATCGTAATCTCGGAAACGGCTCCAACGATTTTCATAAAATGTTGTGTCCAGAGGTTTTCAAGGGCAATAAATCGAACTAGCTAGTATTTTTTTTTAGAAAATGTCGTTTTGTCAGTGTTTTCAGTCAATGAAAAACTGCTACAATATGAGAAGGTAAATTTTGACACTTTTTAATGATCGTAATAGCTCAAGTGGATATCGGGCCGTCGTGAAATCGTAGTGCCCTGGTTCGCGTCCTATCTTCGATCTGACTTTTTTTGCCTTTTTTTTCAAGTTCCCTTCTTTTGTGAGAAAATCTATTATTTCGAGCCCTTCTTTTTGTATTTTTTTAAAAATACGAAAATTTAAATTAAACTAATTGCACTCTTGATTTTTTATATATTATATAGTTCAGTTTTTTCTATTATGTCAATAAGATCAAAAAATATTATTCATATTTCATCACTTCATCAGTCGGTATTTTGTATCTAAATATAATTTCCAAAACACACGATTTCCAAAAAAAAAAAAAAATACCGAGCAAAGCTCGGTCATCCAGATACTAATAATATAAAATGATATATTAGTTATTATTGGAATTATAATACATTACCTTAATATTAACACAGTAAGGATGATATGTTTGCCCACATTGCGCACAAGCAATAAGGCAGCCTTCGGAATCCGTCCCAATAGCGCCGCACATTACGCACAAGTCTTGCGTCAGCACAAACTTGTCTTTACTCGAACACAACACTAATTTATTTTCTACGCCTGTGAAAAATAAAAATCGCTGCAAATATTACAAATACTTAAAAGGACAGGCAAAAAATTACTTTTTTTGTATCCAATTATGAACTTTTATGCAATGAGAAATCTCATTCATTAGCAAGCTGTTCCCGAAGTAACATCATTAGTCATTATTGAAATTATTATATGAGCGATTGAAAGATTATTGTCAGAAAATATTCAAGTATGCTCTTAATCTTGATATTCGCACAAAATCACTAGTTATTTCTTTAAATGTTTTATATATATTATATTGTGTATAAATAAATATTTTATACAAAAACATTTTAAATCTAATAAAATGTTATTAAAATGAGTGCAACCAGTTTGTAGATGAATTGACAGTAGCATTGTAGGATTGTCTGAAATTTTGGGAGTGAGAAGAATGAATATGTAGTTAATATAATTGTTTTACCATTTTAATTAAATTAAAAATAAATATAGTATGTCTAATAAAATGTTATTAAAATGAGTGCAACCAGTTTGTAGATGAATTGACAGTAACATTGTAGGATTGTCTGAAATTTTGAGAGTGAGAAGAATGAATATGTAGTTAATATAATTGTTTTACCATTTTAAGTAAATTAAAAATAAATAAATATAGTAGGCTCTATGCCACATGAAGGAGGAACAATTTGAATAACACGTTATTAGTATAGTAGTGGTTTATTCAAATAAATAATATCTGACATCGGTTGTTTCAAAATCTGTAATTTGTACATTTGTGTTATCTTTACCATATTTTCTTTATAATATATTTTTATTGAAGATGTGATAATGAAAGTGAAATAGCAATTCAATAATTTGATAATAACTATTTGCTGCTGAGCTCCATGGTTCTGTATAGAAACAGAAACAGAACAGAAATTTTTTTATTCAATGTAGATTATAACAATACTTATTGAAAGTCACTTTTTTCATTTACCACTGGTTCGCAAAAAAAAACCTCTGTCCTGGGAAGAACCAGCAAGAAACCCAGCGGGACTATTTTTTTCCAATAATAGCTTACAATCATGTTTAAATTAGCAACACAAAACAAATTAGAAATAGCTTGGTAGCGATCACCCTTCCCAGGGGTTATTATCATCCATAAATTCCTTATATTATAATAACCCTTTTTATACAAACTAAGTTTAATAACATTTTTGAACTTTGTGTATGACAAATTTTGTATATTTTCTGGGATTTTATTGTAAAAGCGTATACATATATACAATTGAACAATTAAAAAACCATTAATTCTATGGTGATTTTTTTATGTACTAGCAAAAGTTTGATATCTTACCTGGATCATCTTCTTGAGTCTTGTTATCTGGCGCTTGAGGCCTTTGCAAGCCCAGCCCTGGTACTCCAAACACGCCCCTCATTTTAGGCTTGGAGCCTCTTTTCCGTCCAAATTCTAGAACAGATCTTTGCCGCTTTTGGAAGCCCAGCTTACCAGCGGGAGGGTACCCGCCCTTGAGTTTATAACCGCCAATCTTTTTCTTCGCCACTTTTGATGACACCGAAAATGGTTTTCCTTTTCCCAGACCTACATCACCCTGTTGTGAAAATGTACAAAATTAACATAAATAAACAATTTATTTTTAATTAAAAACTAAAAGGTAATATATGAAATCATAAAAGATAATTCTTACTTTTGGTTCTATAGCAAGAGGATCTTGCTCTTGTGAATTTTCATCGCCGTATGATGAATCCTGTCCACTCTGCGTCAAGCTGTCTTCTTCAAAGGCTGTTATTTGTGCAAGAATATTAATCAATGTCTCAAAAATAGCAATCAATTTCTACATAATTCTTATTACATAAATTTTTAGACATTGCATGTCATACATTTTTATAAAACTAGGGTTAATTAGTCGTATTAATAAAGTTTTGATTTTAATTTGAGGGACAATCAAAAGAAGTGTGTAAACAACTTACAGCCAGACTTGGAGCCAGTCAATTGCATGTGTGCTTTACAAATAGGGCAGTTGTATTCATAGGCAGGATTTTGATCTTTTTTTTGCCTGTACTGCTGCGGTTCGGCTTCAGGATCGCAAGCTCCGTGTACGTACCTACAAATACACAATTAATAGATCATATAGACCTAACAATACTCCAAAGCACAGCCTTATAAAATAGTTGGTAGCATTTCTTTTTTATCTGGAAGCCTATGTATATTGTCACTCTCAAAACTGCTTAAGCATTGAACAGCAGTGTACTCAGATTTCTGGTTTATACGAAACAAGCATAAGTATAATTATAGGTTAGCGGTGACTGGATGAGTGATGATCTGGTTGAGTGGGGTGCTTAGGAGGCTTGTGCTCAGTAGTATAATGCTATTTTACCTCGTAAATTTTTGTAGCAGCAGTTGGCAACAAGCGAGCAGAGTAGTGAATTAGGAGGGACTACCTCTTCTCGTCACACCCATTCTCTTACTGAATTACTGAACTCACACTCTTTTAATAAACGAAATATTTTAATACTTTTTTTAACTATGCACCTGGAGCTATATATCGTTAGATAGTGTGTGATAGTGGCAGGATACATACTACAATTATTATTACTATGATTGTCCAATTAATCTATTAGTGGTCATAAACGCGACTGATGATCTCAATGCTCAATGGTCATGTCAGATTACCCTAATGGGCTATAAGAGTAAGGAAATAGATTGTGCTGAACCTGAGCTTGCATACACACTTATGCAATATGATCTACACAGAAGACCAGTCTCCATTGGGATTGACCGCCGTGAGTGAAATTCAACATGGAGGACATTATTATTATAACTATGTTGTATCGGCTATTAGCTGCCAACGGTAGCGACTCGCGGCTGTGCCGACGACATACTATTATATGGATTAAGGACTTAGTATTTAAAAAAAATATTTATTTAATGAACTAGAAATAAAAATATTTATTTAGATTACAATTAAAATGAGTCGTTAGGCAGCCACGTCCGCGCGGAATGGATATAGGAACCAGACTGACTTTACAATAGTAAATTCTACAGCACAATGGTTGGTTACGCTTATTGAGAAATTCCTATCAGCCAGCGTTGCTGGTAGCACGAGCCGCACACCGTGTAGTCAGTCGGGTAGCACAAGTGTGGGTACACATGTATAGAGCAGTACCTCCGGCAGGCGGTGCAGCAGATCATGTGTCGCGGTAGGCGCGGCGGCACAGCGGGCAGAAGGAGCCCTTGTTGCGCTGCTGGTAGCACGAGCCGCACACCGTGTAGTCAGTCGGGTAGTACAAGTGTGGGTACACATGTATAGAGCAGTACCTCCGGCAGGCGGTGCAGCGGATCATGTCGCGGTAGGCGGCGGCGCGGTAGGCGCGGCGGCACAGCGGGCAGAAGGAGCCCTCGTTGCGCTGCTGGTAGGTCGAGCCGCACACCGTGTAGTCAGTCGGGTAGTACAAGTGTGGGTACACATGTATAGAGCAGTACCTCCGGCAGGCGGTGCAGCGGATCATGTCGCGGTAGGCGCGGCGGCACAGCGGGCAGAAGGAGCCCTTGTTGCGCTGCTGGTAGCACGAGCCGCACACCGTGTAGTCAGTCGGGTAGTACAAGTGTGGGTACACATGTATAGAGCAGTACCTCCGGCAGGCGGTGCAGCGGATCATGTCGCGGTAGGCGGCGGCGCGGTAGGCGCGGCGGCACAGCGGGCAGACGGCGCCCTCGTTGCGCGGCTGGTAGCACGAGCCGCACACCGTGTAGTCAGTCGGGTAGTACAAGTGTGGGTACACATGTATAGAGCAGTACCTCCGGCAGGCGGTGCAGCGGATCATGTCGCGGTAGGCGGCGGCGCGGTAGGCGCGGCGGCACAGCGGGCAGAAGGAGCCCTTGTTGCGCTGCTGGTAGCACGAGCCGCACACCGTGTAGTCAGTCGGGTAGTACAAGTGTGGGTACACATGTATAGAGCAGTACCTCCGGCAGGCGGTGCAGCAGATCATGTCGCGGTAGGCGGCGGCGCGGTAGGCGCGGCGGCACAGCGGGCAGAAGGAGCCCTCGTTGCGCTGCTGGTAGCACGACCCGCACACCGTGTAGTCAGTCGGGTAGAACAAGTGTGGGTACACACGTATAGAGCAGTACCTCCGGCAGGCGGTGCAGCGGATCATGTCGCGGTAGGCGGCGGCGCGGTAGGCGCGGCGGCACAGCGGGCAGAAGGAGCCCTCGTTGCGCTGCTGGTAGCACGAGCCGCACACCGTGTAGTCAGTCGGGTAGTACAAAAGTGGGTACACATGTATAGAGCAGTACCTCCGGCAGGCGGTGCAGCAGATCATGTCGCGGTAGGCGCGGCGGCACAGCGGGCAGAAGGAGCCCTTGTTGCGCTGCTGGTAGCACGAGCCGCACACCGTGTAGTCAGTCAGATAGTACAAGTGTGGGTACACATGTATAGAGCAGTACCTCCGGCAGGCGGTGCAGCGGATCATGTCGCGGTAGGCGGCGGCGCGGTAGGCGCGGCGGCACAGCGGGCAGAAGGAGCCCTTGTTGCGCTGCTGGTAGCACGAGCCGCACACCGTGTAGTCAGTCGGGTAGTACAAGTGTGGGTACACATGTATAGAGCAGTACCTCCGGCAGGCGGTGCAGCAGATCATGTCGCGGTAGGCGGCGGCGCGGTAGGCGCGGCGGCACAGCGGGCAGAAGGAGCCCTCGTTGCGCTGCTGGTAGCACGAGCCGCACACCGTGTAGTCAGTCGGGTAGAACAAGTGTGGGTACACATGTAAGAGCAGTACCTCCGGCAGGCGGTGCAGCGGATCATGTCGCGGTAGGCGGCGGCGCGGTAGGCGCGGCGGCACAGCGGGCAGAAGGAGCCCTCGTTGCGCTGCAGGTAGCACGAGCCGCACACCGTGTAGTCAGTCGGGTAGTACAAGTGTGGGTACACATGTATAGAGCAGTACCTCCGGCAGGCGGTGCAGCGGATCATGTCGCGGTAGGCGGCGGCGCGGTAGGCGCGGCGGCACAGCGGGCAGAAGGAGCCCTCGTTGCGCTGCTGGTAGCACGAGCCGCACACCGTGTAGTCAGTCGGGTAGTACAAGTGTGGGTACACATGTATAGAGCAGTACCTCCGGCAGGCGGTGCAGCGGATCATGTCGCGGTAGGCGGCGGCGCGGTAGGCGCGGCGGCACAGCGGGCAGAAGGAGCCCTTGTTGCGCTGCTGGTAGCACGAGTCGCACACAGTGTAGTGCGCGTGCCAGCGCGACGACGGGCCCGCGCCCGGCGACCTTGCGCCGCAGTCCGAGCACACGCGGCAGCACTGTCACAACACACGCACGCGCAATCACCACTACAGTCCACTTCCACTACTACAACCTATTTTATTTTTTTAAATAATACTAGTTTTTTTTGTGGCAGTTGCCACTCCCAACCTAAGCATACAACTGCAAGATTCCAAGATACTATAAGTTCGTACTGCATGGATCGGAACAAAAATTAATAATTTTAATCTATGGTAACCGCAGTTAACTATGACGTCTAGACGTTGAACATCTCAGTCTCCCCGTGACCATGGGTGCTGTAAAGTGCTCGAAACGTCGGGTATTTAAAAAGTTAAACATATGCGATAAAATCCGTAAAAACTAGTATTATTTAAATGTGTAGTGTTCGCGTAAATATAAGAAATCATTATTTTATTTCTCTTTGCGTTATCTTAGTTTAGGTTTAAGAATCAAAATTAAGTTCATCTGAAAGTGAAAACTAATGCAGGTTATAAACAAATATCTACTATCAATAAAGAATCAAAATGTAGATATGTTGTCAACCCTGAGAACTAAGATGGAATGCCTGTTTACAAATAAAAAAATCTCTATTACCCTCTACACTCACACACAAACAGCAACATTTTGTTGTATAATCAGTAAAATAAGCTAGCTCTACTAACTTTATGTCCAAATTGTCAAAAATTTAAAACCTGTGTACAGGTACTGGTGTTACCATAGCATGGCAAGTCACCATCTAATTTCTCGTCAAACAATGAAATTGTATGATAAAAATTGTGTGATATGTTTATGCATTTTCTTTTCGTTTGGTAATGGCTCGTATTGTTGTACTTTTCCTTCCCCACTAATAGGGATTATTCCGTTTATCCAGCCTAGGGTGGATAATCGGAAACGCGTGTTCGATTGTCCACCATAGACAGGGTGGATAATCGGAAACGCGTGTTCGTTTATCCACCATAGACAGGGTGGATAATCGGAAACGCGTGTTCGTTTATCCACCATAGACAGGGTGGATAATCGGAAACGCGTGTTCGTTTATCCACCATAGACAGGGTGGATAATCGTAAACGCGTGTTCGTTTATCCACCATAGACAGGGTGGATAGTCGGAATTCTCTTTTTGATTGTTGTTCCACCTTTCCATCATAAGTACAGTTCAACAGAAAATATACTCATACTTTAACATGTTATCGATTAATTTTTAATAACCACTAACTTAAAGAAAAATCATATTACGTATTGCATTTAAACCAAATTAAACTTCTTTTTTTAAATAATAATAAGTAATTTATAAATTCAGCAAAATGTCTAGGAAAAAAAAGGAAAAACCGACACTAATTACATTATTGAGAAGACGTAATTGTATATCCTCATGCACTTATTATACAACTGCATATGGACCGGGGCATTGATTTTTGATTGGTGCGAAAATATTTATGGAGCACCAACGCGAGCTCATATATGCGTGCCGTGCGTCCGTGCAGTATTTCCACTTTTAGATAACATAACATTAACATAAACACTCACGCCCGTCACCCAGAGGGGTAGGTAGACTACGGACTTCCATTTGGCACGATCCTGACATACCTCCTTCGCCTCCTTTACGTCGATATATCTACGCATACATGCTCGACGGTTATGTGTACTACTAATATGACCCATTTTCAAAACATAGTCGATAAACTTTCTTCTAGGATGTCCCTTCCCTTTGCCGACTTTGCTGTTCACATCTGCCATATAAATTTGCTTTGTCACTCTTTCCTCATTCATTCTTTCTACATGAGCAAACCACTGAAGCATTCCTTTCTTAATCCTGGTCACAACATCATCTTGCATACCACATTTATCTCTTATCACGCAATTTCTAACCCTGTCATTTAGATTCAACCCTAACATACTCCTTGAAGACCGCATTTCTACAGCATTTATTCTACTTTCGCGCTTCTTCTGCCACACCCAACTTTCACTGCCATACAATAAAATAGGGACTAACACAGCATTATGAATTACCATACGTGCCTTTTTTGACACATTCTGATTCATCATAATGGGTCAAAAAAGGCAGGGCAGGAGTTTAGTGCCCTATTCACTCTATTCCCTTTTAGATATTTTGCACAATTTTAAGGTAAATCTTCTAATATAGGGGTTCAGGCGTTTCTTCAAGTTGACAGGATTTGGATAATTTGGGGTGAAATCGAGGTACTTCAGGTAACCCTGTTTTCTATACCTACCCAATTTAATTTTTTTTAAGATTTATCACAGAGGATAGGGTCAAGAGAGCTAGAAAAGTGTTTTTTTTTATAGAAGAGGGGGCAAACGAGCATGCGGCTCACCTGATGTTAAGTGACTGCCGCCGCCCATGATCAACCTTGGCAACACCAGGGGAATTGCAGGTGCGTTGCCGGCCTTTTAGAAAGGAGTAAGCTCTTTTCTTGAAGGTTCCCAGGTCGTATCGGTCCGGAAAAATCGCTGGTGGTAAACTATTCCACAGGGAGGTTGTACGCGGAAGAAAACTCCTCTTGAAAACGTACAGTGGTGGACCGCCAAGCATCCAGATGGTGTGGATGGTATCGGGACGTTTGCCGCGTAGTGCGTTCGCGAAATTTGGCGGTTGTGCAAAATGAAAATGTTTTTCATTCTGTATATCGGAATAATGGTATAATATTTTACTTCGTTATAAATTTACTATTCCTATGAGCCCAAGTGTTATTATAATTTGAAAATGAGAATGTTTTCTTCATCAAAAAACTGAAGAGTTTTATTCGTGAAATGATATTCAAAATTTGCAACAATGTTGTTCTTTAAAATATTCAAAATAAGGTGCAATAAATAAGGCTAGGTTAATTTAGGGAGTATTTCTACAGGTGGTAAACCACGCGATTCCGATGATTTCTTAGAATGAATAAACGGAATAACCCACTAATAGTTTAAATGTGTTGACCTTTAATGCACAAAACCGCACCGTTTAGCGTATTAAAACAATTTTCAAACTATAAAAGAAGCAGTAATCACCGGCGGTCAAGTTCCCGCCAAAACTAGTGTATGAGTTTGTCTATTGTATTTGTGTGTACGTGCGTGCGTGCGAGTGTGTGGGTGTACGATGTGTGCGTATGTGTGCAGCGCACCTTGCACTTCCAGCCGTACTTGGGCACGGTGGCCATGACGGGGCGCAGGCACGCGGCGTGGTAGAGCTTGTCGCAGTGCTCGCAGGCGACGGCCCGCGCATCGGGCTGCGCGGCCGCGTCGCCGGCCGGCGTGCGCCCGCGGCACACTTGGCACACGCGGCACGCGCGACACGCCCACCCCGCGCGCACGCCTGCCGCCACACACATTGCATACAGGTTACATTTATTTATTTATGCTTTATTTGCACACCGAGTACAAAAAGGCGGACTTAATGCAACAACGCATTCTCCGCCAGTCTACCTGACAAAACAAATACTTTACAATTTGTACAACAACACTTTTATACATGTAATATGTAATCAAAACTACTGAATAATCTGTTCCAAACCAATTTTCTGAGAATGAAAACAGTGTTTCTTATAAACCTTATTATATAGTTAATTCACACAAAATATAATATTTAACAGATGTCGAAAGAGGCGATAAAGGGAAAGCAGGAAATGGGTAGTAGCATCTAAATAAAAAAACTGTAACTGGCAACCAACCTTACAAATATGTAACTATAGCAAGGCTGCAATGAAATAATTATATCTATCTAATACTTCAAAATTTAGTACCTAATTTTTATTATATAAAAAATAATAATAACCATGTAGTGTCAGTGTAATAATATCTCTCAAGCCATATTTTTCCATGAATATCGTAAAAAGCGACTGAACAAACCAAACCATAACAATTACCTACATCTTCTTGATAACACCTACGAAGGAAGGCAAAGAAAGTCTCTATCAGAATACTGACCAACAGCATAACAGTTTTACAGACTCGTGAGTTTACAATATAATAAACTCGAAACTGATATATGAAATGCTATCAACAACTAAATGAGGTATGTAAATACTGACTCAACAATGGATCACGAGACAATAGATCCAGGAGTAATGACGCAGCAGACAAACTAGATAGGAGAAGATCGGCTCCGGTCGCCATAGGACCGGAACCGATCATACCAATTTCCTTTGGGAATGTACGTTCACTTGTACTAAGCACTGTACTAATCAACATACCTTGGAAAAATCTAGAAAACTGTAGGCAAGCTAAGAAGTACCTGCCAGCAATAAGCAGTTGTTTAACCAGGGCTTTAATAAGACTGCACAATTTAACAAACATTTATTTACCACAGATACAGTTAAGCAACTTTTTTATATAACGATTTTATTATTTACTTCAAATCTCTTTAATCCCTATTGATTTATTAGATATATTATTATTAGAAATTCAAAATGAACTTACCAGGCAACTGTGCCAGGCCAACACACGTGCCGTGGAAATGACCGCCGCAAGTTACGCATGTCATAAGGTTGGAAATATCGCCAATAGTTCTGCAAGTTCGGCAGTCAATGTCCGCAGTACCTGTACAGTCCATTCATGTTAATTTATTTACAAATTCAAGCAATGTGAAATACATAAGCAACTTCCAGTAAACCAACTAATTTTTACAGTGGCAACAATCAAAAAGACAATACTCACACACAAGTGGCACTTGATATAAATGATCTTTACAGAAAGAAGACTTCGTATGAAAATCCATAAACCCTCCCGATGCAAGGACACACGGCAAATGAAAGTATTTGCTGCAGCTCATCTGGAAACAACATAGACAATGTGCATCAAATGTACAGAAAACCTTAAAGAATTCATCGGACGAAATCATCGAAAACATATCGAGACATTTTTAGGGACTTACTATACAGTAGTTTTTGTTTCAGACTGGATATTGGACATTGCGTGTAAAAGTGCGCAGCTGGACAAGAACTCTCCCGTTGTGGCGAGGATTTAGTTTAATCATCATGCTTGGGGGGCAGATTTTGCTAATCATATTAGACATCTCCTACCTTTGACAGTGCTTCTCATCATCATTCTGGGTAGTATATGTCTGTTTCATCACTATCTATTGGATGCCATTAGATACATACATACCGTCGCACCTGTAATCTCCGAGGGGGTAGGCAAGTCCAAGGATCAGCAATTCACTCAGACCATATTTAGCCAAAAACTATGGGTGAAGACAGAAAATTGTGAAATTGTGGTGCTTAAAAATTGCACCTAGCAGCGTTGGACTCAATGGAAAAACTTGCTAAGAGGCTTATTGGAAACCTTGAATTAGTTAAAAACCAATCTTCAGATAGCAGCTTGTTACAACCTGGGTCATCAAGCAGTATTAGTTTAGCCTTGTATGAGCTACATCGCCTACATAATCAAATGCCCAATATCCTGTTAGTAGGCTTTTATGACATACTAGGCAAGAAACATATTTGGTACATTCTTTAATGTAAAGATAGATCTTATATGTGGCTTCCTCAGACACTCACAGGACGAATGTGTGATAAAAGGTGATTATTGCTATCTATTAAAAGCCTATGAAACCTCTCTGGCATTTACTATAGGAGACATTCAAGTATTACGTAACGCAGTTTTTATAGATTTTTGACTCTACCCCTCCCCTTCAGGTAACGCGCCGTAACGTTTTTCTGACCCCCCCCCTCCTTTAACGTTACGTAACACCCAAGTGACCTTTTTTACCTAAAAGTCACAATTATGTTGCGCAAAGTACCATTAAGTCGCTAAAATACCTTTGTTATTGTTTAATCGCGTTTGCGGTAATAATAAATAAAACAAGAGATTTCTAACTCGCAATATACGCATATATTGTTTACTAGCTTTTTACCCGCGGCTTCGCTCGCGTGGGCGTCAATTTAGCAACATTAAAAAAAATTGTTTCGTGCCATATTTAGCAAAATTCGATCACTATCAGAGTCGCTTCCGTGTCTGTGTCTGTTTGTTAAAGAATTTTTTTGAATTCTCAAAAACCATTGGACGTAGATGATTGATATTTGGCATAGATATAATGTGTTGGAAGAACATGTGAATAAGTTTTTCATAATTCCATTAATATCTTATGTCCATATACACCTACTATTTTTTATATCAGGTGTGTCTTTCAATGTACTTATATACAACACGTAACATAATTAACGCACTTTGAGAAAGTAGTTTGTTCAGAATTGTTTACTGAATCGATTCCTATTATTTTTAACATAGGTAATTTTTTATCCCAAAAATAATTAAAACTACGTAAATTACAGTCACACAAAATCCGTACAGTCAAAAAAAACTGAAATGGACCGTAACTTAAGGCAATAAGACTTTTAAGAGTGCAGTTTTATTTCTATTATTACTAATTCTGTCATTCAATAAAAATAAAGAAAAATGAACTTTATTTCAAGCACGTTAAAGTCTTTGCGTGCGTGGATTTGTACTGCGACCACAACATTCTTCCGGAATTAGTATAACTAATTTGATAAATAATCAGTGCATAAAAATGTTTAACTAAAAATTCAGTGTATATATTATGATTATAACATAATATACTAATTGGGGTGTGCGTTAATTACGTTACATATTGTATAAGAAAGGTCAATTGTCTTGGAATTGTGGCCGTGAAGGAAAAGGGGAGATCTCCCGCCGGGTAAGGTGTTCTGCCCGGGGAGCGGCCAACACTCCGTGTGATAATTCGGAGATGTTCTATATATACTGTTCATGATTCGGAATGTTGATAGCGTGATTTAGGCTTCGGTGTGTTTCGGTGTGCTAGTGGCGCGACGACAGCGCCGCTACATCACCCCCCTGCTCAGACCGGAGGTCGATAGTGCAGCCTCGTTGCCGACGAATGTGCAACTGCCAGGAGATTGCCTTGTAGTCTGCGGTGAGTCGAGAAGAAGGCAAGTAACCTGCGAGAGTGCCGTGAAGCAGAGGCGAGCAGTAAGGCTCAGAGCCGTGCCGAACACTGTGTGGCGCAGAGAGTAGCTTGAAGGAACAGGAAGCATTATTATTCCAGTGCTGCGATGAACCTTGTGAAGCTAGATGGCTTGCAGGATATGAAGACTGCAGACGATATCTGCTCGGGAGCGAATGGGTGGGGTATTTTATGACGATGATGAAGCTTGAAGTTTCCGAAGGTTTTGCGTTTACGTTCTATAGTTTTATTTTTACTTTTTTACATAGTGACGTGACTAAAAGAATCGTATAAAATCGATTATAGACAGATTCTTTTCGCGAGTGAAAATCTGTCAACACTGCGTCCACCTCGTGATCACGACCGCCATTTTGTTTGTCTCTTCAGTACGAGTGCAGAAGCCTTGTATACGATACGCGTGTTCAGTTTTGTTGATTTTGTGTTGTGTTTTTATTTCGTTCTTGTTATTGTAGTTATAACTGTTTGATAATTCTTTCGTTGTTATTAAGTTTTGACTGTTATTTGATTTGTTTTTTTTTTTTGTATTTATAAACACTATGGCCGAAACTGAGACCACTAAAAGAACAGTGATGCGCAGTCAAGCGCGAGAGTTTGTAGTACGCCTACAAGATTACTTTGAAAGAGAGTATCAGAATGGTGGTCCATTTGTTGGCTCTTTCACAAGTGACTAACCGAGTAAGTGCAGCTCTTGGTGTTATTCGAAAAACTTTCCCGAATAAGTAAGGAAAAACATGGTAAAGATTTAATGGAAGATAACAAATTAATATCGCTACTTATGAAAAAAGCTCGAAGATCGATAGTTACACATATCGACAATTTTGATAACGACGCCATTAGAAACCATATCTATGGCTACTATAGTAGGAATTGCCGACTCTCGATAAATTGTCAAATAATTTACGAGAATCTGGACTGTTTCACGGCAGTAGAACTTCTTTTTGGAGGGTTTTAAAAAATGTTGGCTTTTCTTATAAAAAATGTGATAAAAGGCGGATTTTGATGGAACGTAGAGTTATAGCTTTAGCCAGATTTAATTAATGCCGTTTAGAATAATGTTATATTTCTAGATGAGACGTGGCTAAACGCTAATCATACAGTTGACAAAATATGGACAGACGACACTCCTCACTCCTCCACAAAAGAACCTAGTGGCAAAGGCGAACGCTTAATTATTTGTCATGCGGGTTCCATGAAGGGATTTGTTCCGAACTGCCTATTGGCGTTTCAATCTAAGAAAACTGGAATACCACGAAGAGATGAATTTTGTTAAATTTAAGGAATGGTTTTGTACCTTATTGACCAACTTTAATGAGCCATCGACGATCATTATGGATAATGCACCGTATCATTTAGTACAAATAAGTAAGCCTCTAACTTCTAGCAGCAAAAAAGCCGATATTGTGAAATGGCTGAATGACAATAATATTGTTGCTGATATGTCCTGATATGTGTGATATGTTGCTATAAACAAGCCAGCTAGACCAAAATACGTATTGGACGAAATGGCTAAGGAAGCCGGACGCAATGTAATGCGCCTTCCACCCTACCATTGTCAATACAATGCCATAGAATTGATTTGGGCGCAAATTAAAGGCAAGAATTTAAACAAATCTTTTTTATAATTTATTTTTACCTATTTTAACATTTTATCTGTTGCTGTATTAACACGCAAACCTTTATTTTAGGTTATACGGCTTGTAAAAATACCAGCCTACCGTTTACTGCAAACAAAATGCTGTCATTGTTGCAAGAAGCTTGTGATAGTGTTACTGCCGCGAATTGGGAAATGGTGGTTTTACGAACAAAAAAAATTGATTTTTGCTGATTGGGACAGAGACATACATATCGATGCCGTCATAGACATCATAATAAATAAAGGGGATTCTACAGACGATGATGAGGGTGATGACGACTATGCCGACCATGAAATATCGATTTCGGCTAGTGATGATGAATATGTTCCATCTTGATAAAAATATCATGTAATATTATCTAATTAAAATTAAAAAAACAGTTTTATAAATTCAACAACAACATCTTGCAAACCACACTCTTCTCTTATCACACAATTTCTCACCCTGTCACTCAGATTCAGCCCGAACATACTTCTTAACGACTGCATTTATTTTACTCTTGTGCTTCTTCTGCCACACCCAATTTTCACTACCATACGTTAAAGTAGGGAACAACACAGCATTGTGAATTATCATACATACCTTTTTTGACACATTCTGGCTTTTCACAATAGAGTGTAGGGACCCATTTACTCTATTTCCTGCGATCACTCGTCGTTCTATATCCTTATCCATTCCCATCCTTGCTGAATACGCATTGTGATGCGTATTCAGCAAGGATGGGAGATAGGATAATAATGATATAGGATATACAAATTCATCAACATGCTCTATCAATTCCTCTTCTATTCTTATTTCACATATCGTTTTACTTTCTTCTCTATTAAAAACCATAACTTTCGTCTTACTTGCGTTCACTTTCATACCCATTTCTTTTAATAATCTGTTCATTAATGTAACCATCATTTGCAACTCGGCCGTTGAGGACTCAAAAATAACTTGATCATCAGCGTACAAAAGGCATTTGACGGTTAACTCACCCATTCTTAATCCATATTCCTCAACTTTCAAATTTTCCAAACAACTGTTCATATATAGGTTGAGCAGCCACGGGGAAGCTACACAGCCCTATCTGACACCTTTATGGATGCCAAACCAGTCCGAGTCAACTAAAGAGCTTACCTCATAATCAATTTTTCTGTACACGGTATTAAATATAACAGTATCGTTAGTCGTTTTGCCAAACGTGGTAATTGCAATTAATCATCATGATGATGGCCACCTGTCTGAGAATTTCAAAGTTTTGATTTGTAACAAATAAGTGTTATGTAGCCTCTATTATTTCATTTTATCTGTGACTTATCATTAGTTTATTTAGCAGTGCATAGATGGCGCTATTATTAGATGAAATAATGAAAGCCAAAACTATGCTATCTAGTAATATCAGCGATAGAAGGTAGAGGTGCGACTAGAAAGCCGCGAACTTTTATTTATTATATAAATAAGGTATAAAGTAATGTTGATTCTACTAAAAACGATGTGTTAAAATATGCTATGTATGTATTGCTATCGCAGATTAATTACTACAATAATCAGTATTGGTATCATATCGGCACAATCATGTATCGTTACATCCCTAAAACAAAATATAAAAAATATTTATAACTTTTGGCAATGCAATTAAAAACGGAAACTTAATTGAAATAAAACAATTTAGTCAAAATGAAATCGTATTCTTAAATTTTTTTTTCTTAAAATTTCCTAATTTTTTATTTAACACTCCATTAGTAGCGCGTTCTACTAATGTAGAACAGGCATGCATTTCGTGGGATTTTAACGTTAATTGTGGGTGTCTAACGCACACACTCATAGTTTTTCATTCCTCTATTACTAGCTGGTGATCACAATTCGGAAAACTGAGCGATCGTCCTAATTAGAAATTTCGCACCAAAACTAAAATTCTACAATAGTAGAGCGCGCGAGCACTCGCGTGTTATTTTTGTCGGAAGTTTACCTAACGTTTTTATTTTATGTAAGTGTGTATATTATGTATAAATATTGTTATTATTAATTTTTTTGTTTGATAATATTATTTTTAACCGAAGTAACTATATTTCGCACAATAATGGCATACATTTTGAAATGGTTGAAAGAAGTTATTACTAATGAAGCAACCAGCAAAGTATGGGATAAACATATTTTTACTAACACATACAAAGGTACCTTATGCCTACCATATGGAAATATACGCAGGTGCTCAGCCAGATGGTCCTTATGCACAACCAAATAAAGTTGTGGACATTGTGCAACGAATGCTTACCCCATTGGATGGTTTAGGTTGTAACATCACAATGCAAAATTGATTCACGAATATACCTCAATGCTTAGAAATCTTAGATAGCAAAATTACTGTCGTAGGCACTGTGGAGAAAAATAAGCCACAAATTCCCAAAGATTTCAAAATCACAAGAAACGGAAGCGAAACGAGGTCAATTTTTGGCTTTCAAAAACAAGGTACTTTAGTATTTTACATGCCAAAATCAAAGAAAGTGGTGCTTATATACTCAACTGTGCACTATGATGATCATATCGATTTACAAACAGCAGAGAAACGTAAGCCGGAAATAATAACTTTTTACAACAATACCAAATATGGCGTGGACATTGTAGACAAAATTTGTAGTATTTATGACACCTCTAAAAACTGGCCACTTACCATTTTTTTTAATTTAATGAATATAAGTGCTATAAACGGTTATATTGTACATACAATAAACAAGGCCTACAGAAATGAGGGCAGGAAGAATTTTTTATATGAACTTGGTTTTCACCTAGTCGCGCCATGCATACAACGCAGAATAAATATTGAAAGTATTCCAAAACCATTGAAAATGAAAGGGAAAATGCTTTTGGGCATGAAAGAGCCATCGGAATTACAACCATGCCCAGCACAACTCCCCAATACTGGTCAAGTCGGGAAATGTTTTTTTTTGGCAGACCTTTTGTGGCAGAGCGCGCAATAAGTCCACTAGAAAACAATGTGACACCTGTAAAAAGTGGATTCGTCCTAAACATCAAGTTCTTCAATGCCTTGACTGTTGTAAAAATGATAAAGACTGTGTGAAGATATGAGCGAGTAAAAAAAGGAGACTGAGAAGGTTTGATGCCAAAAAATCATTGATTTTTCTCAAAATTCACAAGAAGTCTGATATTAAGTGTCTAATAAATGGTAACAGTTATGTTTCGTCTATTTTAGTTTCTTATTAAAGTTTGTTTTCATATGATATTGAAGTATTTTTATATTTGTTTCCTGTTTCAAAACCTTTCCTCTAAAATCTTTACACAAAATAGTTCTACATATGTAGAGCGCGCGAGCACTCGCGAGGGGCGCGAGTAATGGAGCGTTAAATAAAAAAGCAATGTTATGTAACCCTTTGTTCGAAAACCCCTCCCGCCCCTGTAATGCATCGTAACGTTTAACAAGACCCCCTCTCCCCCCAAAATTGCGTTACGTAATACTTCAACGCCCCCATAGATGCCTCTTTGGAAATATAAAATCTATGGTATGAGGTGGTGGAAAGACATAAGAGATGTAAGATTCTATGTTCAATAATCATAGAAATGACTATACCTTCCTTTATAACAACCTACCTTACATGGAATGCTGGCACCGTGTTTTTGACAAAATGCACATTTTCTTGACAAGGCATTGGTTACAATGCCTTTAACTCTGGCTTCCTCCAATTGACTTTTATCTTCATCAGAATTAGAAGCTGCCGCAACCTGTTTAAATTATTTGATATTTTTAAGCTATTGGAAACAAATATTCAGGAAAGTATATAAATTGGTGAGCCACATGAGAGTTCAGAACGCCTTTTTGCTTTTTAGATTTTTAGTCTTACTTATATTTTCTTCTGTAGCATACATTTATACATAACTTATGGATAAGCCCAAAGAATGAGGGTATACAACCCAAAGTTGTATACCCTCATTCTTTACGAGAATCAAATTTCTAATCAGAATTAAAAACTTTCCTTAATTTGTAAATATATTATAAATGTGCTTTAAGAAAAAGATCAAAAGTTTAAAAACAAGAAGATACTTTACCTGTTCCTGAAATGGTGGGCTAAATTCTAGACAGCAACGATGGACATACATACATCCAGAAAAAACAACTGCTGTAAGTTCAAGAATTTCTGAGTATCCAATAATAGAGAGTTCATCAGTGTGCTCCATATTATATAGCGGTGTCCTAGAATTAAGTATACATTGTTAATTTTTCATGATGGAAGTATAACAAATTAACACTTCATCTGTTATATGGTAAGGAGTTAGCGCAGCCTCTGATCCTGCATGCAACTTCAGACAAATAAGACATTAATTAATTATACTACATCTATACCCATTAAATCAGAATGAAGATTTGGGTAATCTTATAACAAATACATAAAGTTAAATTTACAGCTACCTCCTCTCATTTCTAAGAGGGTTACTTACAAAAATATAGCAACTTGGAAAATGATCAATACACCAAGCCAACCAACCAAAGAATTAATCAATTTATAGACTATTACTATTAGATATGCTACAGCAAACAAGTGTATAAAGATTTAATACTCACTTGCATTTATTAAAAGCCTTCTGTCTCCTACTCAGTGGTAGAACTAAATGTTGTTGCATAGGGTCCACAGGCTCTGGAGGTGGAGATGATAGGCCATGAAGCATGGGTAATGCTGGTGTGCTTGGTGTTGAGACACTTGTGGGAGTTGTGCCTCCAGAATTAGTTACAGTTGGTGTTGAACTTCCATCACCCTCTTCAATGTTACAAGTTATTTGCCTCATTTCTCCCTGCCCTAGTTGGCTTTTCTCACTTAGATTACAAAGTGCACAAACTTTGCCAGGCCTAAAATTTTAGTTTTATCAATTAACACTACATCAGTTAAATTTATGCCTCATCTACTTGTTGAAATATCCTTTATTAGAGTATCTGTATGTCTTTATTTAGAGTGTGTATGTCTCGGTGAAAGTGATCAAGACATACAAGGGATGATCCAAAAGTAATGATAATTGGTTACTTCAGGTCTGCATAAAAATCCAAAAAAAATATTTTTTGCTTGCTTATATACTCACTACGTCAGCCTAAAAAAAATCATATAAATAGATCACGATTTCCGGGAGATACATTCATTTGAATACGAACTGTCAAAGAGATAACATCAACATGGAGAAAAACGAAATTAGAGCTGTCATCAAGTACCTCTGTTTGAAAAAAATGTCTTCAAAAGACATACACAGTGACAGTGGAAATATTAGGGGACTCTGCTCCTCCATATTCTACAGTTGCACGCTGGGCCAAGGAGTTCAAACTGGGCAGAACATCCACTGAAGATGAACATCCACGTCCCTCACTGAAGACAACGTGAAAAAAGTCGAAGATGTTGTGTTGGCAGATCGAAGAGTGACCATCAGGCATGTAGCTGAGGTCACAGGGATCTCATATGGCAGCGTTCAAAGAATCCTTGCGAACAAGTTGCATATGAAAAAGGTCTCTGCGCGTTGGGTACCCAGAATGTTAACCGACGAGCAAAAGAAAAATCGAGTTGACATTTCGAGGGTCAATTATCAATCGATGACTTGGAAGCGAGCTTCCTCACCGACGCCAAAGAAATTCAAAGTTTCAAGTTCGACGGGAAAGGTTATGGGCATCTGTTTTCTGGGATGCTCAAGGCATAATTATGGTGGAATATTTGGAAAAGGGAGCCACTATTACGGGCTCTTACTACGCAGACCAAATAAGAAGATTACGGGAGGCCATTAAGGAAAAAAGACGCGGCAAACTGCGAGCTGGAGTGCTGTTTCACCAAGACAACGCACCGGCTCACAAAGCCGCAGTTGCGATGGCTGCCATTCAAGAAACGGGATTCGAACTGCTCGAACACCCTCCCTATTCACCAGATCTAGCTCCTAGTGACTTCTACCTCTTTCCTCGGCTCAAGGAACGCCTCCGAGGCAAGAAATTCGAAGACGATAGCGAAGTAATGGCCGCTGAAGCATTTTGGGAGCGTCAAGACAAAGAATTTTTTCAAAGGGAATCCTGGGTTTAGAAAAAAGATGGACTAATGTATTGATTTCTTAGGAGACTATGTAGAAAAATAAATTATTATTCTAACTTTAATTACCGTGTTTTATTTTCATTATCATTACTTTTGGATCACCCCTCGTACACACTCTAATAAAGAGTTATTTCTAACTATCATAAATTATTTGACAAATGGATGAGAGAAGGTGGGGTGGGGTGGTAAGTTAACTGACACACTGAACTTTGTTTATTTTTATGCGATTATTTTATAGCTGTTCTGTTGTATTTATAAAAAGTTTGGACAAATAGAAATATCTATAAATATTAAATAACACCCCCTACTGGATTATACAGTCACATTTGTTTTTTTTTTTGTCTTAGGTATTTATAAATTAATGACTTACCATTTTTCAGGCATATAAGGTGGCTCTTCTGGTGCTGGCATTGTAAAGTCATCTTCATCCATAATTTCATCGAGAGCATCATCCCGACTACTTCGGTGCCTTTTTGCACCTCTTAAAGAGCCTGGATTTCCTCTATACCTATGTAAAGTAAATAATAATTATTTATATCTCTTGCTAAGAGTAACAAAATATAACTTGGTCAATATAGTTTTATTTCAAGTACCTAAATAGTTTTAGTAGTAGTAGCCTCTATCTCTATCTATAATTATGAATAAATATAAATATCCCTTCTATGTTGCAATCTATGGGGGAGGCCTATGTTTAGCAATGGACTTTAATAAGCTGTAATGGTAACGGTAATGGTAAATATAAAGCATTGGAACAATTTAATATACATAGTATCCTTTCTAATATAAAAATATAACATTACTAGAGTGTTTCTGCCATAGGTGCCGTGTATGCACAGTTAAGACTTAATGAGTTGCAATATCTAATTCCATTCTTTATGCACATGGATAGTAATATTTTTTAATTATTTTCTAATTAATTAAATCACACTGATAATTTACAAGCTATCTTGAGAAAACAAAGCACTTCCTCTCTCAGCAGATCTTCCTTCCAAGTATAGAAATATAAGTATAATAGGTGCAATATATATGTTGCAATGTGAAAAAATGTTTAAAATATAAATTTAAAATCTATTTATTTTATGAGAGAAATGGCATTGAAATTAAAAATAAAACTTTCAAAATTAATTTTGCATCAAATCTTTATGAGAAAAATATAAGCAAAGCAAGAAAAAGAGGCGCCAAAAAGCGAGTCCGAGGCTCTTTCACCACAAAAAAACACGCCCCCGCCAAACCCGCGTATAGTATAAGAACATTTTTATTGTAAAAAAATTGCAAACCATAAGTTTTAGTTAAAATTTTTTGTATCCCTTGTTACTTGTATGGACCATTTATATATATATTATTAAATGCGGTAGTAAGGTAAGTAGTAAGGTTCTCATATAAATGTGATTATTCTGAGTGTAATTTGAGAAAGTTTATAGAATGTATTAATGAGCTCAAATTCAGTGAAGTTTATGAAACAAATGACACAAATACAACTTTCACATTGTTTTATGATTTATTTAAATTATTTCATAACTTATGCTTTCCAATCCTATATATTGAAAATTAAACTTTAAGAGAAAAATTCAACCAAAATGGCTCTCTCTTGGAATCAAGAAATGTAGTAAATGTTCACTTCTATGGAAATACAGATTATCTAAGAACTTAAGATAAATTACATTTCTAAACATACTCTAAGAAGTATAATAAAATTATCAAATCAACTCAATTAATCTCAAAATAGTCACTCTATCCTAAATGCTAGAAATAAATCTAAAGCCTCTTGGAATGTTATTCATGACAATAAACTAAAATCACCCCCTGAAAATATTAAAGAATTAAGAATAGATGATCATAAAATTACAGACCCTCAACAAATAGCAGAATCGTTCAATAATTACAATACATATAATTTAATCAACAAATGAATATGTGATCTAAGTAAGAACTACAAATGATATTTGACATTTGTATGCTCATGAGGCTGATCACAGCCTGAACTTTATACCTTTTTGTAACCTGTGAATCACAAATAAACTATTTAATTGGATTTCATTTGAAATGAAAATAGCGCTAACCTAATTAAAGTAGTAGCGAAATTGATGTAACATAGTTAGACTAGGGGTATCAGAAGTAACTTGTACTTTAACTGTAAAATGGACTTTGAATAGGCTGTAATGATTACGATGAGTGGTGATGATGCATTCGTCAATTCCTGCTGAAGAATAATAAATTGTGTCCCAACAACAAAAAGTATACTTGCGCTGGAAACAATATTATGTAATTAGGTTTAAATTAAAAAGACATGTAATAAATTGTCACAAAATAAATAAAAAAGATAAGTGTAACAAACTAAAATACTTTTTACCTTCTTACAATCTTGCCTTCACGGGCTAACTTAGCACCCTCTTTCCTTGGCCTGCCTGGACCTCTACGCCCAGAGGAAAAGAATGGCCTACTATAAGGTTGATGATGAAAAAAGGCTGGTTGTGCCACAGCACCATGTGGAGAAGCAGGCTCTTCTCCACGTGGAGATGATGCACATGATGTCGGGGTTGACCCCGGTCCAGCATAAAAATCTGTAAAGAATAAAATATTTTCAATATACACCTGAACTTTTATCTTATTTCTTTAAACACTGTTTCATATTATTATGAATTATTATTTTTACAATATATTTATATGTTATGTTATTTATATTTATCAATTGGTAACTCCAACAATGTAGTTGGAATCATTCTTTTATTTTTGCTATTAGCCATAACTTTTTTTTATATACTGTTGATTTATATAAATTAACTATTTATATATAAGACAAATAATGAAAAGAGAACCATTATAGCTTAGTAGCACTTAATTTACATTTCACATTAGTCAAGCAATTCAAAATTGATTTCCACCAGCATCATAGAACATTATTAAAGTTGAAAATATCAGCCCTGCCCAATTACAAAGTACAGATACACCATTTACAGCATTGAATTTGATTTTTTTTTATATTAACTTCTTAGTTGTGGATCTATGAGCCAAGTAGACTTTGTACTCATTTATCACCTTTTCTTGTATAAAACATTATCTAACTGATCCCCAAGTTACCTTTTACAAAACCATAGCAAGAGATAGGATAATAGTTTTACTTCATGCTGCTATTTAAAGACAGAAAACATTAATATCTTATTCAATTAAAAGTTAGCACAGAAATAAGACAAAAAAATAACTTAATATTAGGAACATGGCTGAGAACTTTGTATCTTACTAAGGTAAATTATGAAAAACCCCTAAATGAAATAATTCCTGATACAGTTACACTATTACTTCTTTCTTGTTACAATTATGAGAAGTCATTACTAAAAAGCAACACATAAAAAGTCACTGTAGCAATTTTATTCCCTGTAGATACAAAAACACACTAAAATGTAAATAATTAAAGTAATTGAATCATAAATAATTAATTCATACCAGACGACGGCGGCGCTTCACCTTCATCGTCTGATCCATCGTCAGGGAGTAAATCCACATCTAAAACACCTTCGTCGGGAACGTCCATCTACAACACATATTGTTATGAACATAAACAAACACTTAAACACCAGCGACAGCTTTAACTTCGTTTTCAGATATAAATAACAAGCAACATGTCATCAAACATAAAAAAAGTAATGTAATCAGACCGCCATAATGAACGACAAGTGGATCCAACCAAAAGTTTTTTATTCTTACCGCAAAAAGTTGCGATGGACTAGTTATAGTTTCAATTTAATGACAATGATTAAAAATTAGTAAAGAACTCATTTTGTAGACAATTTTCTAAAATGTTATTCATTACAAAGTCAAAAACCCTATCAAACAAGCAACACATTCCCTTCGCGAAGGAAACCATAGACTACGACATAGATAAATAAATATTAGACTACGAGTTTCAGAACTAGGCATAAGACCGATATATCAAAACGTAACTAATAACGTTATGTTATCAAATATCATATCATATCGATAAACCTAAGTACAAAACCGTTATCACATATCCAACCAAAACCATATACCTAACCAACGTACGAAAACGAAACCGAAGCGCATAACATAACGCAAACTGTGGAACGATATCCCCAAACTGAAAACGGCTCACTAACCGATGACCTTCGTTGTTATTCATTGCTTCTCGTTCTTGCAACGATAGTTTAAATAAGTATAGAAAGAGATGAAGCGAATATGGATATCGTTGCGACGTTTTGGTAGTTATCACACAACGGTGCACATTGCGAAATATAATATATAGCTAAAGCAATAGGGTCGAATTTTAAATAGTTAAAATTGCTTAAATTTTAAGTTTGTGTAGTTGTGAGAGTTATCAAATTTCAAATGATCTTTAGCTCATTAGGCACAATGCTTAACTGCAATGATTTGTAAAACGTAAAACGCAAACACCGGAACGATATGCCAACACGACCCACGAACTAAACCGATGCGATGTCCTTCATTGATATTCATTGTTTCTTGTTCTTGCGACGGTATCATAAATTTGTATAGAAAGAGAGGTTTTCTGTTTTGGTAATTTTAGTTTCACACGTTACACAATGCACATCCAGATATAATTTATATCTGGATATAAATTACCTAAAGCAAAAAGGTCGAATTTCAAATGGTTAAAATTGCCTAATTTTTGAGTTTGAGTAGTTGTGAGAGTTGTCAAATTTAAATGATTATTAGGACAATAGACACAAGACTTGCATTTGTATGATCATATTATATTTGGTTTAGGCAACTTTATGTTTATGTTTTTTATATTTTGGATGGAAAGTTTAGAATTTGCTTTTTTCTAGAACGCAACAATTACGCACTTGGTCTTGGTGGCTCGTGCCACAGTAATTTTATCTATATAAAATTACCGTGCTCGTGCTTGTCCCATTCGCTAAAAGTGCGCTTACACGAGGGCAATAATTGCTCGGCGACACGAATAGACCGATCTGGAGCAATTAATGGAGCAATTTCAAAGCAATGGCGCAAATTGCGGCAATTATTTCCGCGATATTGCTTCTAATTGCTCCAGATATTTCATATCGCTCAATATCGCAGATACGAATTGACGAATATCCAATGGGCTTGGAAATTCCTAGCAATTTTTGTATACATCTCATTTACACTTGTTTATTTTGCGGCTTCCATCTTGCTTCCTCGGGGGCAAACCAAGCAAAATTATTTCAAATTTTATTTATTCGAAAGTAATTCAAAGTCTGTTCGTGACATTCTAGTAAAGATTTTGAATAATATATCATCTAAATCTTTACACAATGAAAATTGCCGCCTCTTTGCCAAAAACGATCGTACCCAGATACGCCTATTCCTTTTCTTTCTTTTTTGTTTTTGATTAATAATAAAAAAAGCGCTACAAGCCGCCGCAGCAAGAACAATGTCGTCCATAGCGAGCGAATACTGAAATGCTCGTGTAGGACAGTATTGCCTAGTTGATGAAGTTGCGCCATATCGCTCAATATTGTATTGCGCAGTATTGATGCTTGTTGCCGTTGCCGTGAATTGCTTGAAGTAGTCGTGACGTCATAGTTGACGAGTATTGACTGGAATTGAGCAATTTTAGTTGCCCGTGTAAGCCCACCTTTAAGGTGAGGTGCCTAAGATACCTAATAATATCCATGAAGTTATTAATTTTTGACGTTGCGTTTATGCATTTTTTTGCAATATTTGTGTATTATTGGCATTTTGTGCATTAGGTAGTTATAATTCAGACAATTATGTGTAAAGATTTGGACTTTTAAACATTTTTGAATATTGACATCCAGAATGTCACGTAAGGCTAGTGAAATTGGCTAGAGAACAAAAAGGTTGCGGATCTGCATTTCAATCAAAGCCCTCCCGTAAAAAGTTTCACTTCAAAAAAATTATGGTTGTCAACCCGCTTGCCAAGCGTGGCAACTATGGCAAATATCCCACCTATGATACAATCTATGAGGAGGCCTATGTGCTCAGCAGTGTACTTTAATAAGCTGTAACAGTGACGGTATAATTTATTACTGCGTAACATTGAATATACAAAAATTATATATTAACATACATATGTTTAAATATTACATCTAAGATAACAATAACATTAGAACCTCTGACTTCTAATCTAGAATAATCTATGTAATTCATAAAATACATATTGCACTGGTAGTACAGTTAGCGGTTTTGAGTATTAAACCAATTTGGTTTAATACTCAAAGAGTTTGCGCTTATGGTTCGGTTGTCGTTTGCACATTCAGTAGCAAATATTTTTTATTACTATAATGATACCAATAATTATATAACCATTATATATTGATATCGATATCTGAAAACAGTTTTCAATAACGATATGAAAACTAGATATCGGTTATGTTACCGTTGCAGATAAAAACAGAAAACGCCCATGCTTATTCAGAACACTATTACCAGTGTTGCCAGATTCAATGGTCTAGACCATAAGTCTTATAAAAAAAGCATAAGCAAGCAAGCATAAGCTCATAGGTCCAGTTATAGACGGCCGTAGTGTGCAAGGGAGAAGAAAGTTCGTTATTGCAATATATACCCCTATTACACTAAACTGAATCAGGGCTATGAATTAAGGGAGAGCGTGGGCCATAATTAGAGACGTCAGTTATTACACTGCGCTGATTTTACGTACTTAGTCATAGGGATAGGCAAGTAAAAAATATCGATATTTATCTTATCGATATTTTTTAAACAGTATCAATATATATCGCGTAATAAATACCGTTATATCGTAACGATGTAGTAGGCACAAACTAATAAGAGTACTAACGTAGTAGTAGGGTAAGGGCACAGATTACCCCTAAAAAAATTCCACATACAGGGCCTAAACGCGCGCAACACATGCTTGCTGTAGCTAGCATATGAATTAATGTCAAGAATCACGACATCAGTGACGACCAAATTTGTGACCCTTAGGCACGTCCGAATTTTTGAGAATTTAAAAATAGTTTTGTATCCAAAATACATTACAAATGGCTTCCTGCGCAGTGAAATGGTGTTGGCAAATCAGCTAAGACATCCAGTTATCAAAAAGATGGCATAACATTTCTAGGTCGGCTTCGGGTCTTGTGCCTACGTCACAGCGACCAAGTGAAGCCAGTCACAGTCGATGGTTAGGTGCTGCCATCTGCTTAGGATTCTATTATTAACAAAATTAAGAATTAACACTGCAAGACTTCAAGATACTGTAAGCCTGTTCTATGTAGATCGGACCAAAAATCAATATTCAAAAACTGAAGGTAGCCGTGCTGACTACGACATTGGGATGTCAAACACCTCAGTCCCCCAACCCTTTCTTGACTAAACGTCGGGAATTAAAAATAAGTTAAAATAAGTTAATTAAACACGATAAAATCCGTATATATTATAGTTTTTTCAATGTGTAGTGTTCGCGTAAATTTAAGAAATCATTTAATTACATGAACAAATATATATGTTTGTAACATAATTAACGCACATCCTGGAAGTAGTTTGTTCAGAATCGTTCGTAAACGATTCTGATCGTTTACTGAATCGATTCCTATTACCAAAAATAATTACAGTCGCACTAAATATGTACAGTCAAAACAAACTGAAATGGACCGTAACTTAAGGCAATAAGACTTTTAAGAGTGCAGTTTTATTTGTATTATTACTAATTCTGTCATTCAATAGGACTTTGCGTTCTTGGATTTGTACTGTGACCACAACATTCTTCCGGAATTAGTATAACTAATTTGATAAATAATCAGTGCATAAAAATGTTTAACTAGAAATTCAGCGTATGTATTATGATTATATATATATATATATATATATTCAATCATATTGAGCGCATTTGACACGTCCCCCGCATTTCATGAATGCCGCAAAATTTGGTGAAATCGAAACAGAACAAATATTCGATGATGTGGTACCTGATAGGGGGTAATATGTCAGTAAGGGCCAAATTTTTATGGGGTAATTATTAGTTTTTAACAGAAAGCATGTATTAATTTAAATATTTCTACTTTTATTTTTTAATTTAAATATAAAAATGTTGACAACCTGGTGACAGTAGCTTCCGAAATAACCAGCTATTCGAAAGTATAAAATTCCATATGTTGAAAATTGCGAACAATGATTATCACGAACTTTATTAATAAAGAAATAAAATAAAAATCATTTATTTCGACCACAAGGATCATAGAATGTTAGTAATAATACAAATCTTAAAACTAATGTTAGTAAAATTTAAAACTATTTACCTAATTTTAAAAACTATATCTAAGACAGGTCCGATTAGTCAGTACGTGCACCATATGACAATAGTTCAGGTACTGACAATCAAGCCTGTCAGAAAATGCCCTCAGGATACCATTGAAACTGGCCCGCACCCTGCGCACCAGGGATGTGCATCGTTTACGCATGGTGGTGTAGAAACAATCCACACGCGCATCCGCGAACATACCCGACGCACTACAAAAAGGAGGCAGACCCAACAGCACCCTGAATACATTATTATATTGAAGACGCAGGGCATTATACTGTTTCTGCGTCTAGTCCACCCACAGACAGCTCGTGTAAAAGGAAGTGCAGTAAGCTCTAAAGAGCGTTACTTTAACAGGAACTGAACAACTAGCGAACCTGCGAGCGATCATGTTCGCTCTAACAGACAATGCCTTGCGCTCTCTCTCTCTATGTCAGCATCATCTTTCAGGTCAAAGGATATATGACCCAGGTACTTAAACTGAGACACCCTTCTTAACGGGGTACCGTATAACTTAATGGGTGGTATATATGAGGGCAAGGCTTTACCTTTAGCCTGAAAGACCATGCATTCGCTTTTCTTGACATTGTAAATCAATCCATGACTGCGGGCGTAGCTCTCACATATGCTCAACAGTTTTGCCAAGCCGCAAACAGAAGCAGTCAGCAACACCATGTCATCTGCGTAACTGATGTTATTGAGGCATACTCCGTCAATATGACAACCGACATGTGTGGTGCTAAGCAACTCTATCAGGCAACCGAGGAAGGCGCCGAGGCACGATGGGATTACAAACGCTGCACTCCGACAGCTGCCCAATAGAGTCCTAGTAGAGATTGGTCGACTCTATAATAGGATACAGTGGACATCCCACTTCACAGAGGACTGGAAGAAACGCA